ACACTGACACACTGTATATACACTGACCGCAACAAATACACAAAGCATTCGATTATGCACTCATGGTCAAACTGCTACTGTATGGATGCATGGTGGTGTCCATAAGATTAAATTTTATGACTTATTAATAAAAATTCTTATGTGTCCCACGCCAGTGCTTTACCTGAGAGCTGGACTAACAGGTAAACTGAATCTTAAATAAATGCAAGCTCCTGGCCTTGCGTGGTGCTGTTAAATTAAATAATTACATTACTGATTTCCATTACCTTGCCGGCATGTGAAAAAATTCTGTTGGTAATCATTCTCAAAATACGACACAAACTAACGATCAGAAGATCTGCACTGCAAGTGTACAAGATCTCTTCCGTAAGTACTTTAAGCATTATCTTTAAGTATTCCTAAACGTACCGGAAGGCTGTTCATGTTCGTACGTATTAAAAAAAATAAACGAAAACATCCTGTGACAGAGATACAAGTAAATCATATTAGCAAATAATTACTCCGTGGCTGTGTAATAGAATGTACTGCAGAACAGAAGACATAAATGGAAACAACGAAGTTTTTTATTTCAAATTATAACGCTACTCTTGTCTACGAAAAGACTATAATCAGTGAACAAAATTCGAAAACACATTAGAGTTTTAAAAGGTGCTAAATCACTGCTAAGCCTTTAATGAAACTTCAAAAAACGTACCTTCCCCGAATTGATCTCGCTTCTGCAGGGATTCTTTTCCCGGAAATATTGAGACGAATTCCTGGACGCCCTTCTTTGATCCGTAGTGTTATCTTTCTAAAATTGCGTTCTGCTGACCATTGTAAGAAACAAATCAGTATCGCTTTTAAATCGTTTTACTAAGCATTCTGTAAAAGATTTTACACTTTCCATCTCAAACTGATTTAAGCGTTATGAATAATGTGGTGGTGGTCAGTGGTCAGTCAAGATCGAAATTGTTGTCAGGCAGCTTAGAGTGCAACAAATAGACACCATGTTGCCCATTAACAATCCATGTCGACGTCAGCGAAGAGGTGTCGCCCAAAAGTTGTAATGGGCGGATCTAAGGAACACTGGCACAGAAGCAGCGCGTCCTGACACATTTGCTTAGGTGCTGTGGGAGGTGGGAACAACGATGATTGATGATGCTTTACATTATAGAAGAATTCAGAAGTCCAGTAAGTACAGCGGTTACGAAATCTTTAATAATATGTGCGGTAGTCGTACGTATCAAAATAGGTGATTCAGCAGCGCTAATGCAGTTGATAAGAAATTAAAAGGATGCAAATGATTAACTACCGGTAACTCTATAGATTTCATAACTTGTATGTACAGTAATAATACCTATTTTTATCTGCACTTTTTTTTCTGACGTGCATAAATAAATATTATCATCCATTGAGATGGATTTTTATTTGCTTCCTATAGGTCACTCACGCCGAGCCACGCGTAATCTACAACTGACCACGCTTGCAAGCAATATTTTTGACTACTCAGTGATCCGAAAATATCGCAGAGTACCAGGTAGTCATTTAAAATTTGAGGAAGATGAGCGGTTGTAAGTGTAATACAGGTTTCTCACGCAAATTGTGTCAATGTGAATTATTGGATCGCACGGAAGCTTATACGAAAAATTACGCTGTTAATGCGCAATTTTTAAATTAATGAATGCATTTTTTATTTGAGTTCCATTAATTGTAAGAACTAAACGTTCAACCCGCTTGCACATTTAAAAGAATGAGCTGATCGTTACAGTACAGATACACTAGTGAGTAAGTATTCGCGCGAGCACCGAGGGAGCGTGGCGCAGTGGTCAGATTGCTGCCGGTAGTAATGACACAAGCGCGGGGCAGCGGCGGTATTTTTCGCCGCTGCAATTACCAGTTTTCGCAGTGGTCAATGAATTTTCTTGCTATAAATTCCCTAACAAATCATTAAGCGAGAAGTCCATTTCGTCTACAGCACAATAGAAAGCTCTAATTGCTTGGAAATTACAAGCTAGCACCGTAATCAAGGGTCGATCAAGGATACTTGAGGATAATTAGAGCCGCATTTGAAGGCTGATGGATTTGGCAAGCGTGGCCGCGAGGCCTTTCTGCTAGCTTACTTGCTAACAACTGACCAACCGAATGATCTTTCGCCGGTTGGGCTTCGAAAACTTTACAAAGGCAACTTGTTTTATATTAGATAGCCATCTTGAGGCGAAGTTAAATGAGACAGGTTTTGTCGGGGAACAGCGATGATTGATGCGCACTGGCGCTAGCTGCATCACAGTTGCGCTGGGGATGCGGCGTAGGAAAACATACACAGAGAGGCCGCGTGCAAGACGGGCCGCATCCTAACCCCCTGAGGGGCGCGATCATCTGCTGCCGTCGATAATCCATCGCGGCACAGGAGCGGCACGTCGCACGAGCAAGGCAACCAGGAAGCAGCGTGATTTATTGGTCTGACTAGGAAAATTACATGCTGGCTGCTTCTACCCACCGCTTTAATGGTAAACAAACAGAAATATAATGAATATTGCAGAAACGAAAACAAAAGAATATTTAGGTGGTGAATTTGATAGCGTTGCGAATCTGCACCCTGTGACACTACAGTGCGATGCAAGATGCTTCGCACTGATTTCTCAAATTCCTGGTTTTAACGGATTTGCTGTGGCTAATGCGCTTACTATGTAAAGCCGTCCGGGCCACTGCGCTGCTTGGTCAAATTCACCGCATCGTTTGGCTTTAAAACCAACAGATACCTGAAGCAAACTGCCGCCATATGCATTATTTAAATCCTAAATTCACTCAGCCGTTAAGGCTAATCATCTAAAATCTAGTTTTGGAAGCTTAATCTGGATCAAATAGTCTGAGATTTCACCCCACGCATTCCTAATCAAACATGATCTGATAATTTTCCCCACATTTCCCACGTTAACTCGTCCGTGTAAATAATTTGGACGCATACGCTTGCCAAACAAATTATATTTGACGGACATCACTGTCCGGGTGGTCAAATTAATCAATAATTATCCAAAATGTTGCCTACCCGCCGTGTAAAATTTCCCAAAGACTTCACCGCCAGTATCGTTTAGCTGGAGATTTGCAGTTTTTGCCGCTTTCAGAACCGTGTTAACAAGTTCGTCAAGCTACTAATCTTGAGGCAAACTATTCTTAAAACAACGTAATATTTACTATGCCCTGCTCCTAGCTAGCTTACCGGTTAGTTACATCCTACCGGATTTTAACTTTTAATAATACAAGATGCTGGTCCTAGCCTCCCAACAGATCTTTCCGCACACACGGTGTCCAGAACAGATTGTACTACTTTATCTGCACATGTGCCGTAGCTACTGACGCCTGGTTTTTCTGTCACAGATAAGTATTATGATGCCCCGCCATGACTTGTATTGTGCACGTTCGAATAATACGTTACTGTTGTATAATAAGACATGTGAAATTCTTATAACACAAATCACATGCGCCGGGCATGATACGATGCTGGAACAGAAATGTTGCATTTATTGCAAGCATGTTCGTGCATTGTTTCTCAAAGTGAATACGAAAGGAGGATCATGGAGGCGTAAGAAAAAGTAATTGATTCTGCCCACATTAGAATTCGGAACTTGTGAACCCACATCGGTCGTTTTTATGAGACGTTCCGATGAAATCCCCGCTGGGAGTGGGGCGTCTAAATTGTCCGCTGGGTGTGGTATTTAGGTAGACTTGGATGCTTTGATGTTCGGCGTTGTTATATGACTGATAAGTGATAGCACGATCATACTAGTAAAACTGTCCATATCCCGGTTTCGTTGTACTCGTACCTTTGTAATTTTGGGCCATCGATGTATTATTGCTAAAATGATAAGAGCGTCTTAAAAGTATGCCAACAATAATATCATTTTGCTGTGAAAACGGTAAACCCACCGGTACCGCAGTTGCACAAATGATTAGCGCAGCCAACAATACGTGCGAGACGGTTTTGTGGGTGGCTTTACGTATTATGTTAGCAAAATCCGTGATCTGCATTTTGTGTGATAATAAGTTAAGGTTTACTGTGCCATTTAATACTAATTATGTAAAGCACTCTGATCGCAACAACCGTGGATAAACAATAGGATCAACGATAATAAATTCTACGAGAAGCTGCAGTACTGGTTGACGATATGTGCGCGTTATCTATATGACCTTTATCTGTTTGGTTAACTGTGCACGTCGTTAATGTCGAATACCAGGCTCGAGATTAATAATTGTCACAACGGTACACTGACGGCGTTGTTGAATGATCTTAGTTTGGTTTAATGAGATATGTAACTCAAGTCACGGCAGACAATGCACAAGATGGAAAGGCAAATAATCATCGTTTGTCCGCATCAAAGCCTCCTTTGCAAAAGCAACAAATGCATATTGAATTTCATTTAAAAGTAGATTTTCCGCCTGAACCAGCGGGAGAATTCCTGTATTATTGTCTATCTGGAAAGGCGTGATTGCTTTAATGGCAATAAAATAGTACGTCTCAAGGAAGAGCGCACCGCTGTGTTTCGTCCCGGCAAGAGCAGCAGTAGGGCATTGCGGGTCACCGAGTCAAGACGTACTGTAGTTCTGTGCGTCCTTGAATGCTCTAGGCTGCACTCATCGAATTCCATTCAGACTCCAGACGGCAGTGTGCCGCGCAGGTGTTCACGCATTTATCTAACCGCTGGAAATCTGAGAGGTCAAAAAGAAATCGGAGCCGTACGATCCATGGCGTTCGACAGTGTAAATTAAATCCAATAATTTGTCCAAGAACTGGAATTACAGTCAAAGAACTGGAATTACTAGTGTCGTAAAGGTCGTTCACGGCATTAGTTCACATTACATATTATAGGTAATAGGGAGGCATTACGAAAGCTTTCGTAAGGCCTACTATTGTACCACTATTACCTGTAATACAATAATACGAAGGGATGCGGTACATCTTTAAAAAAAACGGTCTGCTAGGTCGGGTTGATCGCATTTCATTATTTTGACAATTTAAATATACACAAAAGTATACCCTTCTTTAATGATCAAAACCGATTCGATAATAAAGGCGCTCTAACATTATTAACAACAAGCACATTTTAAATAAATACTTAAATGATCTCAACTTCAGCGACTGCATAAATGCAACTCACACTTTACAAGAAAAATCAGAAGACATCAATCAGTATAAAACTCGCAAAATGCGGCATAAATATCATCAGATACACAGTGGGCACTGGACAATGTAATTATTTCCCAATTCTATCACAGCCAACCGGAAGAGAGACAACCAGGCGAACGTTTGTGGCTAAACAGATTTTGAATGAAAGCGCAACAGGTGATCGCATGATCAAGTTCCGTTTTGGGATGCCTTTGAGTGCAGTTCCGGTTTTGGCCCCGGCAGCCAAGACTGTTTCCATGCTAAGATCTCCCGCAGCCATAATTCCTCTGCCTGTGTCAGACTAAGCAAAACTGACACCGCGCGCACCAGCTGCAACGCCTAAAATAAAACTAATTTTCAGCTCATCCACTATACAACTTCCGACAGCATCGATTTGGCAGATAAAACTCTATCAAAATTCTTCGTGCATCCAGATTTATAGTTCATACTTTTACCAATCCTACTCGTCACAATTATGTATCAATCTATTAAACTAGTGCATGCAGCTTAAGTTGTCAAAAAGGGAAGGTATAATGCAGTTCTAAACAAGCTAAGCGCAGCTTCCAGTTTTCCTATGCACGGCCACAATCTTTTGGAAATGATTAGCTTCTCCGCATTGTACCACATAGCACATACCTCATCAAAAGATCCGGTGACGAATTTCAAAAGAACATTTTTCTTGTACTGATCACCAGTCTCATCGGGAGTTTCCACGAGCGCCACCTGTGCCATTTTTTCGGATAACTCCTGCATTTGCCGCTCCAAACTCGCAATTTGGCGATCACGTTCACGTAATTTTGATTCCATATCTTTTGCTGACCGCCGCCGGATGATTGCCAAAGTAGTCTCTTTGCCTTCCAAATCTTCCTCAAGAGTTTTTGTGCGAACTTCCATCTCAGAAATCTTCTGGTTTAAAGCACTGATTATGTTCTCATTTTCACTAATGATTCTTCTCAGATCAGTATTTTCTTGCGACCGTTCGTCCAGCATAATTTGCAATTTTTTCTCGTTATTTTCCCTCTCCTCTCGCTGTGATTTCGAGGCATCTGCGGCGTTATTTCGAACAGTTTCCAACTGTTTTTCTTTTTCTATGATGATCTGCCGCGCGTTACCGAGTTCCTGTTGGTGTTGTTCTGAAAACATTTGAATTCGTTCGTTCAGCTGTTTAATCTGTTCCTGAGCGGTGTCCTGGTTCTTTCCTAATTCGACTTGCGCTGCTTCCTTGAGATGGCGCTCATTCCGAATATCTTCCAAAAGCTTGTCGATCTGTTTGTCCAATGTTCCTACCGAAGCTTTGACCGAAGCGTTCTCTTCACGGTATTTTTCGATTTCTGTCGTTTGATCAGAAATGGCAGTTTTAGCCAGCGACAATTTGCTGTCAAGGTCAGATATTCGCCTTTGCATGCTTTGCACTGTGGTATCTCTATCTTTGCTACGCTTTTCAGCCTGGTCGTGGGCGATCTGAGGAAAAACTGAATTTTAACTCAATGCGAGCAAAATTTAAGTTTCCCATACCAAAAAACCAATCACAGAGGAAACTGTTTATACTAACCCTCCAAGAATCTCGTTCGAGCTTCAAAGTATCCAGCTGCTCCGTTACATCAGCAAGTTTTTTATTCGCTTCCAATACGCGGTCTTCGTTTGCTCGATGCTGAAATATACACAGTAGTTTTGACATTATAAGCATGGTGCATTTCTGCAAAGCCGGGAAACTTGCACACATACGTTCGTTTCTAATGCTTTAAAATCGATAATCATTTAGTTTATTTGGTAAGAAAATCAACATGGTCTATCTGTACTTACTCGGCTGACAGCTTCTCTATACCTCTCCAATTCCGCTTTCAGTTTCGCACATTCCAAATCCTTATTAGCCAACGCACTCTTCCAGTTCTGATCATCAGATTCCTTTTGTTTCACCTGCGGATTGCAACGTTCGTAAAAATATAATTTAAATTTGCGGTGGTAAAGTGCGACAAATTTGCGTCTACTGATTTTCAAAATAAGTACCCAGTCTACTTTTATAGAAAACACTAATTTCAAACGAAACAATTACACCACCAACAGTAATATTGCAAAATACCTGCAGATATAGATAGATATTCATTCCAAAAATATATATCATTCCAAAAATATATTCATTCCAAAAAGGCAACTACGGCCACACTCTAATCCGTAGTCGCGTAAAGGCCCAACTTTTATTGAACAACGCAACTGAAGCTTTTTGAGATTCAACCGTACCTGTGCTCTAAGAGATTCTAATTCTTTGACCAAATTATCCTGGAATATCAGCGGCTCTGGAGATAAACTTTGGCTTCTGTGCAGTGAAAATTCGTCAACTATTTTCGGCAGCAGAACGGGACTCGAATCCAGGTTATCCAGCACCGGCTCATCCACAATCGACACGGATGGATCGGGTCTCGGGCTCGAGGGAGGTGCAGCGGCATCGGAAATACTCAGGGTAGATGCTGCGTCCGTAAGATCTATCACGCTTAACTCGCTGTCTATAATATCCTGGGTATGATTTGCGTCACTTTCCGGCTCAATGAGCAGGGGCAACGGGACAATATTATTCGCTGCGACAGATGCATCTCCAGAAGAGATAGAAGCTGTTCGGATAACGCGCGGTGAATCTGAATGAATACTCTGCAGGCTCTCGCGTGACGCAGTCATGCTGGACATTTTGCTCTCAGAGCGTCGAAGACCTGAGCAACAATCAGCATCAGCGACGAGACACATAATAGTGATTATACGAATTAATTTTGCTTTTCGCTTAAACTATCACTTAGAGAAATCCAAATTTACATCAAATGTAACGATTCTTCGAGTTATTCTCTATGGATCCTACAATTCATGTAGAAGTCATCACTCACTTGACTGCGAAGAGCCCAGTGTTCCGGGTAGCGCCACAGCGCTCAGATCAGCGCCAACATCTTCCATTTTCTTCTTGAGATTTTTAAACATCTTGGCGGTTTGCTGCGCTCGTGCGCTAGAAATCTCCTCAGTACTCTCTGAGCGCAAAAATGAACTCTGTAATCACACTGAGGTTCACGGCCACCGTGGCTCATCAGACCCGGATTCAGCAGGTAGGAAAGTACGAGTACAGAAGAAAGCTGAGATTATTCCAGATTCCACGTAGCAAGGATTCCAAAATGAACAACACCAGTCTTGGACCAAGTTTAGAATAGAACTACCTCCCCATAATGCTGTTTTGCAGCGTTAATATACAAGAAAACTGAAGAAACTGTATTAATTTTAATTTGCGCTGAAAAAGATAAACTGCTACCTTTAACTTAAAGTCTAAACAGAAAGAATAACTCGGATGCCTTTGACGAGTTATGATAATAATAAAATTAGCATTGCCTACTATGTAGTATATGCCACTTACTATAAGGTAAGTGGCATATATGTACAGTAGTATGTACTGCGATTTCAGTTTTTCGTGGTTCATGTTTTTCCCACTTGGTGGTCGTTCATGAATGAGGTAACAGCCCTTCGTCCGGCTACACGCCGCTACAAACGGTCGTCGAATCTACCGCTAGGATGCAAATGACTATGTAGTACACGCTAACACGCAGAGCTAGCAAGCAAAAAAACCTCAACAAGTAATAAGTTGGCAACAAATTGTTGCCAACAATCTATGATAAAAATTTTTGAGACATATTTTTGAGCTTTTTTCGCTGAAGAGGCCTAAGAACGGGACGGAGAGGACCCGGTGGCTACACAGTAAAAGCATCAGGAAGGTTAGCGTCACTAGCTACGGTGCCTCGGGTGGGCTACCCTTCTCGTGCAACTGCTGATTTGCTGGCTAGCTCATGGAACATTCATTCAAAAACCGCCCATCGCAAACAGAACCTTGAGTGAGTTGAGTCTTTTGAGTTTTTCTTCCAACAGGAAATGATAAACAAATCACAAAGCCAAACGGTATGATTTTGTCATGGGCACGTGCATACAACTTCATTCACATTTTTTTCGAAAATACAACTTTAGACCTTAGAGACTTGAAACTTGATGGTCCTTGTGAACTGGAGTATACCCTAGCTTTCTAGCTTTCTGGACGTTGTTGTTCGCTATCCGTTATATTATTGTGTTAGTGTTATTGATTTTTACGAACGTTGCCATCTGATCTTGAAGCAGAAATGGGTTTGGGATCTCGGATAAGGTAAGTTAACAGTTTTCAACTCGGAACGTGGTTACCTGATTTTGGCGAATGGTTCATGCAGGGAGAAGTCTCCTCGTCTTTTTAATGTTTTTGCTGAAGTGGTTGGTCCCTCCGAAGAGCAAGAAGGTGAATTAAGTGCGAACCAATTCGCAACTTTTTGTTTTTGAATCTGGAAGTGATACCAGCGCCACTAATAAATGAACTATAATTTTAGGTTGGATTCTTCAAAAATTTCCTGACGATTATACCGATCAGGCAAGAAATCTGGACCAGGGGATTATTTAATCAAATGCAGCAGAAATTCCGAAATTCCTTGGTGATAAATTTTATCTAGACGACACCTAAGAAGCAAGCCGAAGGAAATTTCTCAGAAATAAATAATATTTTTATTACTAAGTAATCTCGGAATTTCTACTGCATTTGCAAATTCGGAGCGAAAATATAAAACGTTTGATCACTTTGATTTGTAGGAGGTTTTGAAAGTTATTCCCATGTTTTGCTTTCCCACTGGAATATGCAATCCCGGTCCAGTGCAGCAGTTCTGCTTCGTCCTGACAGACGTAGAGAGCAAATTCGTATTTGGATTTTGTCGACTAAGCACCGAAGGGAAACATTGCATCTGCATTTTAAGGTAGATATCGGGACGAATATCTTCGGTATGAATTTTCTTTGGCACATTTTGCATGATGAACGTTGTCGTTCCTCTAGCTACTTACCCTGGCACGATCTGTATTATAAAATGTTGAATTATATCATGGAACTTATGACGAAAAACCCCAGCGATGATTCCATTGGATTTCTTCGCACGGCATATCAGACGGTTGTTCCCAGTGGGGGTGAGGAGCTGCACGTTATATACAAACTGCAGAAAGTGGAATTCCAGGCATGGTGTCCGGATATGAAGAAGCTACCTACAATACCGGAAAATCGTGCCATGACGGAATTCTATAATGCCCTCGATGTCAACAACATGATTACAATTTTTGCCAGGTACGCTGATAATGGTCAGACTTTAGAGCACTTTTAAATAATACTGTATACCAGACCTATTATGGTTGATTTCTTTGATTCTTATCGACTTACGGTTTTCATGATTTTTGATTATTCGTTTTTGTTTTGCATTCTAGGATGCATTTCCAGTTTTACTCATTATTTAGCCTGCGCTAGCAGTTAGGCTTTACTTTGTTAGCAGTATTGATTTTATGTGTCGCTGCTAGTTATACCTAAGTAGAGGTTTATTCGTATCACTGGGTCCAGACTTCGGTTCAAATTGCAAATTGAAAATACTTTAAAAAAGTAAATCTAGAATTCACTCATCTTTTTTGCGTTTAGCTTGTTAAACGAAAGGCGAATCATTATTACATCAAACAAGCTTGGTCGACTTACCGCTTGTGTAATGGCGTGCAATACTATACTTTATCCAATGCACTGGTAAGTGTTGTGATTGTCTCTAAATTTGTGTATTCTGTGAATACAAAAACTGATGCTTATTCAGGCAATGGATTTTCGTTACGGTTTTGCCAAAGAAGCTGCTGGATCATGTGATGTAAGAAATGCATTGTACTCAGTTTGCTTTTAAAAGTTTTTCAAGAAAATTTCTTTCAGTGCTCCAATGCCATACATTATTGGAGTTCCCGGTGAATTACTTTCAGTAAGACGGAGTTCAGCTTTGAATCCCTTTTGTCATTCGTACCGGGGCTGATTTTCTTTTCATTTGCGGGCGGTTTTGGAAATGGATCTCGGTGAAGTTGTGATTGTCGATTGTGATCAGCGCGTTGTGAAGACGCCGCACAAGGATGTTCAGGACCTGCCCAGTGCCGTGGTGAGAATTTGCTTGATCATCTGTGTTTCAAAGGGCACAGTAGACGCGATTTTCTTTCCCTGATACAGGTGTCATCCATCAGGAACTCTTCGGGAAATATGTTTGGAGATGGTGTGGCGCGTGCATTCATGCGTGCCCTGGTTGAACTTATTGGTGGATATCGCTTCGGGTTGAGGTGCTTGAAATATTATTTCAAATATAATAGAGTGATTATTTTATCATATTAGCCAAGAAATCAGTTATCAGTTCCCAACATTTCAGCTTTCCGCCTGGTGAAAAGTGTAATTTCGATATGGAGAAGTTCATCCGCAACAGACCGGCAGTTTTTCAGCCATTTTTAGTAAAGTTAGTAAATCACCAAATGTTCCGCCAGGTAAATGTTCCGCTACCTTCAATTTGGATGAAAATACGTTTTAGATTTTATTGTGATAAATTTGTCACCAGTAGTTGCACAATTCAAAATCTTTGTTTCTTGACGGTTATAGTTTATTGATGAACGACTGGAACTACTAAACAAAGGCGAGGGCTTCAGCGATGAATTCGAGCAAGAAGTCTCTCTGTTAATTGATCAGGACAACGAATCCAGCGAACGTTCGTCTATTGCCGCTCAGTACCGTCGCTGGAGCACAGTACGATGTTTCGAAGTTACAAAACAACAAATTGGTGGATCCTGTTTTGTTGTTATAGAGAGGCGGAAATCTCCTAAAAAGCGTGACCAACAAGGTACTAATTAATTTTTGGAGTTCAGTTGAAGGAAGATCGCCTACCAAAGTTTTATAGTCGTCCTTACTTAATATCCTTTTGAGTAGGGCATTCTTTTTTGCGTTTACAGATGAAAGACAGGAGCAAAGAAGCTGTAAAAAGAATCAACGCAAGGATGCAGGAGGTTAATGTTAAGGTACTGTTAGTGATGTTACATAAGGTTAAACTAATGAACGAATACTAGTCGTATTGTACACTCTGTTTTGTTTTTCTAAATATTGCTCTGTATAGGACAACTTTTCCATTCCCGATATTTTATCGCTTTCTGATACGAAAGACCCTCCGCCTGGCAGCCCCAATCATCGACGACTCTTTTCCACAAATACTCCGACATCTGGAAGTTTGAAAACATCTTCGATGTATCTGAATGAAATGAATAGGTACTGTTTTCGGTAAAAGGAAAAATTCATGCATTTCAGTAGCAAAGGACATTTTTGACAGTTTGTTGACATACTCGTACATAAACGGTACCATATCAAAAATATTTATTCTTTCGTAAAATAATTCTTGTCTCGTAATTTTCTGCTTTATTGTTTTCAGAATGTCAGTCATGAAAGTTCCCAGTGAAGACGAGGATGCTTTTAGTGATAAAAGCTTTGCATCTACATCGACGCCCGAGAAAATGGGTTCCCAAATTCTCCCAGAAACACAAGATATTTTAACGGTAAAACCGCTATTCTCTTAAATTTTCTACTGAGTAGTATTATTGTTGTTCTGCAGTAAGGAAGTTAGTATTCTGTATTCCTAGTAATTTCCTACTGCAGCCGAGGTGTACTGCAGCAATAAATAATTTAATACTCGTACATTATTTTTTAAGTAATTTTGGTGCGTTTGTCTGCAGGATAGCTTGTCAGTGTCTGTTGACGAAGCATTGATTGATCTCGAAGACGAAGCAGATAAACGAAAACAAAAGGTGATGGAAATAGTGAATCAGAACAAGTATCAAATACCTAGTCCGGTTATGATACCCATGCGCAACGGAATGCCAGGCCAAAACCAATCTCCAGCGCCTCCATCCTGGCCACGCATCTCCCTGGACGAAATAAACTCACGTAAAGCTACTCTTCTCCCAGCCATTCGCAGTACGGCGCCTCAACAGACACGTTCCGTATTTTATGACAATTTTCCGGCTAACATTTCTGGATATTCGACTAACCCACGATTCGTTGGCCCGGCTAGTCCATCCAGTTCCACATTCTACAGAAATTTGACGCCTGGTGCGAACGAATTCGCGGCTTCAACGAGAGCCGACAGCACCATTGATTCGAACAACAGAGGGAGTGGCAGTGTTCGACAGCCCATACGAGCGCATCCTCAAAACCCGGCTACCTCTTCATGGGAAAATTTTGACAAATAACAAAAACAGAATTGTGCCATGGCTTATCCATCTCCGAAACTGAAATGTTGTGTTCCTAGTTGCACCAAAGTCTTTCCCGTGTAGAGAAACACATGTAATTTAACTTGTCATAGTAACTATTTTGGGTGATAAGTAGTATTTGACATCTGGACTTTTCCTGCTTGTATTAAAAAAATAGTTTCAAGCGCTTGGCAGCACTTTCAAGGTATTTTGTTTAACAAAACGGATGAAAAAACATCTCAAGATTTTCGATTTAAATCATCGGGAAGCATTAGCAGCTGCTTGAAGTTGAAGTATTCTTGTCGCCCTAAAGATGAATTAATACCAATACTAATTTTTTTTTGTTTTTCACCCCACAAGCTTTTGTCCAACCAACGGAAGTTACGGAACAGGTTTGCGATAGTTGCCTAAAGGCCGTATGAAAGCAGCAACGCGGCCATAAATGTTATTACGATCATAATTGCTAAACGAACTTTACACTGCGTACAAGCTACAGTGAATAGTTAAAAAATCTTTATTATTCCAAGCTTTCAATCCAGCAAAATCCAGGGATGAAGTTACGTAATATCACTAATATGCGAGTACTGTTATAGCTTTGTGGCGTTCAGTGATGTCCCGTTTTTTTCGCGGGCTCGGTAAATCACGGGAAATTCCCGCACCCCGCACCCGCTTTTGGCTCGGAAGCGGTAGCGGGAGGCTTTCTGCTCGGATCGGGTGCGGTCGGGAATAAAGCCTGATTAGTATACCCGCCCGCTACTCGGGAAAACACGGGATTTCTTAGAATTAAAAAAATTTTATAGAATTTCTAGCAATTTTCGCAGCCAAAAAGTGCGTCAGCTTCGCGCTTCGCGCGAAAGTTGGTGTCTTAGGGTGGGTCTCAGATTCAAAGCGCATCTAGCTGCGATACAGCGACTCCAGTCTCCTCGCGAGGTGGCATCGAGTATCGTATCTGTAACCGTGGCCACGGATACAGCGGCACCGGCCATCATTTCGGAAACCAATTTCGGAAACCGTTCATTTCGGAAACGTTCACTTCGGAAACCAATTTCGGAAACCGTTCATTTCGGAAACGTTCACTTCGGAAACCATTAATTTCGGAAATCACAAATTTCCGAAACAATCAAGAAACAAAAGAAAACATAATAAGAATAACAAAAGAATTCATAAAGAAATAATACAGTAACTTAAGGAAGCATAAAAATCTAAGAAAAGTTTAGAAAATAAGAAAACCTAATAAAACTTAAGAAAAAATAGGAATAACAAAAGAAAACATAAAAACGGAAGAAAACCTGAAAATACGAAACCTAAAAATACACTTGGATAATAACATAAGAAAGAAGCACGAGACAGCCTAAGCATAAGAATAGTATAAACATAAGAAAACCGAATAAAATTTTTCTGTTGTTTTCACAAAGAATGGTTTTCAAAATGAATGGTTTCCGAAATGAATGGACACCCATACGGCCACCTCGTGTGGTTGAGCTACAATGCCATAGCGAGATTTGCTTCGAATCAGAGTCCCACCCTTAGGCACTGTGCTGGATCAAAATTACAAATGTAATAAGCGGCGGCTTGCTCGTGACGGAAACGTGGGTTTCGAAAGGAAATCGAATTGTTGATGGCGATAATAATATATTTATGGCAATTCTATAATTATAATTAAGAGCCAGGCTCAGTTTTTTTGAAAAGTAAAAAGTAAGATTTATCATGCAGGTGACAGCAGGTCTAGTCTTCTAAAAAATGCCTATCCGTTAAACTTTTTGCGAAACTTTATCACAAAAATTTTGTAATAAATTTGTAACAATTATGGAAATTATTGATTCATTGAAAATCGGGAATCGGAGCGGGTTGCGGGACGGTCCGAGCGCTCGGGTGCGGGAGCGGGTGCGGGAAAGTTTTTGATCGTGAAAGTGCGCTCGGGACATGAAAAACTGCAAACGGGTTACGGGACATCACTGGTGGCGTTGTTGCTGTTACGTAAGTACAGGTTACGACGACCCACGTACGGTGACGGCTACGTTGTTCATCAGTTCCTTTAGCGTGCCACCGTCCACAATCCACAGCTACCGTTTATACTTTATAGTGCGTAACCGATCCCACTTAGCAGTCGTTGCAAGCTCCAAGCTGAATGCTGTTGAAGGTTCAAAAATTTTCGTTCTGATGTTTGTACATGATTTATTCTAGTTTGCGAATTACGTCAGAAATGTACATCAACAGTGCCGCTGGACTTAGTTTCGGAATCTGCCGTTGATGCCAGCGATATGGAACGTAACGCTAGAAGATCAGACAAACGCTCTCGTGAGGTTTTTGACGAGGATTCTCCCGTTCCATCGGGAGCAGATGCCTCTCGGTCCATGCAAACCCATAACGAATCCAATGCAGCTAACGAGTCCATTCCAGGCTTCTTTTATGATGCTGCTCGTAAGCGTTACTTCCGAACTGGACACGGAGCTCCCGAGAACAACTTCACCGTTCCCGTTTCTCAGTTGGTTCCTAAACGCACACGGCCGCGCTACCCCTGGATCCATCCGGAAATTGTAAATTGCACGTCCAAAGTGAATCTTCTGACAAGCTGGGAGTTGGCCCTGCCTGGAGAACCGTCGTATCGCTCTCGACGCAGCACCGTCGGTGCGTACAATCATGCCAATCTGGCCAAAATCGGATCGACACCCGCAATGTACAAATGGGCTGCCACGCAGAGCAACCAGTCGTCCGTCCAGTATTCTCCCTTCTTCCACACTGTTGATGTTCTGCTGAACGCTGAACACCCGAGAGCATTTTTTGTTGCGCATTCATCCGGGCAGCGGACCACGGGAGTTCCCGCAGGAAATGGAGCGGAATTCCGCACAGCCAATTTTGAATGGAAAAATAATGAACTCTTAGCCAGCGATTTCCGCGTATTAAAGTAAGTACTTTTATTGCACTGACTCGTATAATTATTGTATTAAAAATAGCAAGTGCTAGCGAATGCAAATAGTATTCTATTTATGCGTGGTTTTTAATCTTAACCTTAACCTGTTTACGGATTATGTGATGAAAAGCGGATATTTTCTGGTCGGATTTGTTATGCAGAATGATGCATATTATAATTATTATTTGTATGCTTTATTAACATGTGTTTTATTTAATGATTTTGCAGAGCCGGATCGCTTTTGCCAGCCGAACTGTGTACCATTCATTCCGTGGCACTTTTTCCGCCTGGACGAGCATTTTTCAGTTGTGTAGCCGCCAGTGGGACGTACCGTATCGGGTTGTGCATTAGCGAAACAGCCACCGGAATCCATTCGATGCCCGTCATCACATCTCATGACATTGTGGCTGCCGACAAAACACAAGCGCGTGTCGCTACGGGATCCCGAGAGTCATCAGAAATCCGCCTCTTTTCGTTGGACAACATGCAGTTTTCGTCTGTTGTGGTCACGGATGACGAGCACGCTGAAGTGTTTTGCTGCAGTCTGGATTTCACCACCAGTCATCCGGACGTCCTCCTGGTGGGCACCAATCGCGGTTCTGTTGTACAGGTCGACCATCGTCAAGATCGTTGCACCAGTATTATTAGTGCGGATGTTTGGAAAGAAATTGGAATTACAGGGAAGTGCACCGTCAAGAACATAAAAGCGTGCAATGTAAGCGTACCAAATTGGATTTTTCTTAATATTTGTACAGTAATTGTAATAGCATTTTGCCGAATTTAAATTTATACCAACCTGAAATGTTTCAGACTCAGAATCGATTTATCACGAACATTGCTGGACTTCCGTTGGAATCTCCTAAGATGCATTTATGGGATGAGCGCTATGCGAAGTCGCCTTTGTCGTTTTTCGAAGAGACGACCTTTTCGTTCTCTCGGGAATCGTTTCCGATTAGTCTTTCATCGGATGATACTTTGGCTGTTTGCTCAGATGCAGAAGGAACTGCTCGATTATGGGATGTGAATTCGGGACTTTTGATGGCAAAGATCCCCGTTCGTAACTATGATAGCGAATCTACTGAGCCAAACTGGTTGCCACCTGTTGCTTTCTATTCAGACACCTGCGCTACATTCGCTGGACAGAAGGCTTTGGTGATTGCTCACAGGGGAAGTGATCCTCGCTTGTCCGTGATTTCTTTGTAATGCAGAAAGCGTATTATAAATGTGCGGCTTAATTGTCAAAATTTCGGAAGCATTTTTTATTGTGTATGCTGGAGAGTGGCCTTTCATATACCGCATCCAAAAAGGCGGACATGATGATGACTTGTGCTGTTGATTGTTGGTGGTGGCATATTTCTTGTTAATGATTTTTTCTGTCAATCAATGTACAATATGGTTTTACTAGAAATTTTTTACTTGTACTGTAATTTTAAAGGAGAAAAATCGTTTCCTGTGCCAGTATCCTGTTTTCCGTGAGCCGTTCATGCATTTGATCAAATGTCACTTAACCTTTAACTTTGATCCGTGTTTTTTTTTATTCCATGCGCTACATGCCTAAATCGAATCGCCTGGACATCTTACAAATACAGGCTGAAAGTGCAGCCTGCAAGTTTTGAACTCGACCGAAAGGTTGAGCATCACCGACCCCGGCGGCGGCCGGGGCTGAGCCTGAGCCGGGGTGCGCAGCGCGCATTTTCGTACTAGTAACGCACTGTGCACAATGCACCACAAACTGCGTTTTGTCCTCGCGCGGTTGTTGAGTAAAATTTAAGTTAATTTTTGCTCTCAAAATTACGGGACACGGTACTTTTTTAAACACTTTCAAAACGACATAATTTTTATGTGTGGACTTTTGAATTTTTAGTTGTTTACTTTTCAAATGTCTCATCAGTAAATTTCGTCATTGTGACATTGTTTTTTCACCAGTTTACTTCAGACTGAACAGACGAAGCAGAATATTCCATTGAGTAATTTGATTTCAGTGTTTTATGGCATGTGAATCTATGAGCAGTCGCAGTTTTGTTGAATTTGATTGTTTTGTGTCCTCGTCGTCACTCAATCTGCAAAAACTTTTGTTTTTGAATACGGAGCTCTTCGCTGGAACTGGAAGTAAGCACTAAGCATCACACTTACAGAGACTTAGTTGAGAAGCACTGTACTCACTTAAAGTCACTTTCATATATGATATAAGGGCAGAAATTATTTTTAACAGCTGTGTGCTGGTGAGAATAAAATCACTGCACTGATTGTAGCAGTTTATTCGAGGACATGAAGCAGACAACACCTCCTGGATCAGCTAAACCCAGAGTATCTGGATTTACTCGCGTATCCTCCACCAAACGATTAACGAAGTCACCCAGCGAACTGGCTGATGGCGCAAAAATTTCCTCAGCCCCGAGACGCATTTCTTTTGCTGACAGCACTCCGACACGAACAAGTGTGGGCTTTGCTAACGATCGCTCTGGCGCCGCTCTTCCGAAAGCGATTTTGAAAAATAAACCGTTTTCGAATAAAAGCCCCGAAGAAGCCCCGGGATCGCTGCCAGAAAGGGCGAAACCACGAATCAGTGCCATCTTCCCGTCTCCTGCTCCAACACAGGTGAAGAGCGCATTTTTGAAATTGCGAAAGCTTAATGATGTTACATTAGCGCTTAACAACGGTGTTCGTGGGATTAGAAAACTGTAGCTAGCAAATTTATTCTTATCGATTTTCACGCTACCGTTTACTGGGAATATAGGATCTGGGTTTTTTTCTTCGATATTGATTGTATGCTGATTTTGTAATTGTAGTCCGCACCGACATCCCCGACTGTCCCTGATTTATCTTTCACCATGGACGGTAATAACAATGGCTTCACACCATCATTTCACGAACCAGTTAATCCGCTGTCGACCGAACTAAACGATACAAGGACCAGCACCTTCTTTCCTCCGCCGTCATCCTTGCTCTCGGCGATATCACTGCCCAGTGCGAATACCACTTTAATTCCCAATTCGTCCGGCCAAAATTCAACACCAATGTTTAGCGCGTCGCCCATATTTGCTTCTCCAACACGGGAAAGGCAATCCAGTCACTTCCCTGAAAGTCCTTTTTCCCACCATTTGATGAATCCGTTTGATAGTACGTCACATCCAAACTCAAATCCTGCACTGCCCGGAATGCCGCATGCCGGTCTTAATTTATTGTGGAATCCGTTCAGTCCGGTCGTGAACAGATCTCCGGCTGCATTTTCGTACGAATCTTATCTTCTTCAGCGCGTTCAGTTCCAGGAAGGTCAGATTCACATGCTGCGTTCGCAGCTCCACAAGTGCGCCGAATTGTACAGTTCCCTTTATGCCAAAAGTGTTGAAAATTTAAGCTCGACGTCGGAGTGTGCTACGCAAACGGAAGTGACGCAGACGTGCGACGCTAGCACCGCAATGGATGAGATGACCGGTGATTGCCCAGAGACTAAGTGCGACAAACGTTCTACTGCGGGTCCTCTCGAGGTGGGAAATTTTTTTCTTCTGCTGATCCCGGGTTGACATCAGAAGTTCACGTTCGTTTAACTAACTGGTTATGCTTCAGAAGGCTGTTGGTCCACCTATAAATGGACAAGTTTCTCCGGAGCAGCAGGCCTATATGGAAATGATGGTACGGAAGTGCAGTAAAAGAAGTTGTATCAGTTATAAAGGTAACTAACTTATTGATCCTTGCAATTCTAGGCAAATATCCAATTAGCGCTAAAAAACTCCGGAAATGACAGCATTATCGATCCGAGGTACAGTAACTATGCCTTTTCATCTTTTTAGAAACTATACATAATGCGATGAATTATCAACGTTTTTTCGTGTTTAGCAAACAAAAAATGCCGAACATTGGTGACCCGGTTAGCGGATCGAATGACGTGAGTGTGTTGTGTGGAGATCTGGCAAAAAAATATTTAAATATGGATATGCACCATTTCATCAACAAAAGCAGTCGAGCAGCCTTGGAGCAAGCTAATTTCTACGGGATGCATGGCAGTGATGTAAGCTTTGCTACGAAAAACTATCTGGAACGTCACGGACTAACAAAATCCGGAGTTGCTCGCAATGGATTTTTGCGCACTGAAAGTATTATAGAATGGAATGAAGAAGACGAGGCCGAGTGTGATGGAAGCAGTCGAATACAGTATTTTCAGCAAGCCAGAAGGGACGCATATTTTTGCAGGGGACAACCGTTTCCAAACGGGTACCTAGGTGCGCAATATACCCAAGGTAGTGAGAATTACGATTTGGGGCTCCATGGTTAGCTTCGACATGTATTTAATGTAAAGATTTTGTTTGTTCTATACTTGAGCCTGCACAGGTGCACGGGTTGCTTGTCCTTGCGCTTTGCTGCATTTTCAGTCATTATTGTTGTTGTTTTTAGTAGCTTATTGATACGACAAATTTGTCATTGTTATATTACTCGTGTTGGGTGTATTATTCGTGTTATGATAAGACAGCACCGAAATTCTTCCTGAGAAATGAAACATTCAATGAAACAGTCGGGACTTTTGGCCGAGAATTCCATACCGTGTTGTCGCTTTTGTATTGTAGACGGCTAGGCATAGCGTCCACAAACTTGTAGGTATTATGATTTAGCTTTCATTTTTTAGGCATTCCAGAAACTTGATGTTCTACTGATAATGAAAAATAGCACCGGTCATCTAGTCACGGTGGAAACAGAATGTGGCACACGTGTTTGTATTATGTACATAAAAAATTTTGGATAAGATTACAAAAACCAAGATTTTATACCCGGTATTCTGCATATGTCCTTATTGTGGAAGAAGTAGAAAGGCCATCATTATCAATTCCCTGTTGAAAAGTGTACTTGGGAAATTCATGATCAATGTTGAAGACTTCGGACGGTGTTGTTGCTCTCAAGACCGGCGCTTCCGAAGTGATAGTATAAACGGATTCACTGCATGTATCGTACCAAGCTCGAATATCCTCCCTGTGCGGTACCGGCTCCAGCTCTTGTCTGCCACCCAATATTCGCGCTATTTTGCTCCGAATGAAACGCTGCTTCCAGCGCAGTTTACCTATCGGACACCATTTCATCATCAGACAGAATACAACCGACATTACCAACGCGGTCATCACAGAGCACACGACAATGATGATCCAAATTTCAGCGGGAAAAAGGCCCGAGGAATAATCCGCAGAAGGCAAGGACGGTGGAATGGTAAAAGACAGAGTGGTTGTTTTTTGTAAAGGAAATATCTTCGCTGCTTTTGGAAAATCAGCAGCTTCCATAAAGGAGTAATGCCGTAAAGTATCCGAATTTATAGTCAGAATTTTTCGGTCTTTCAGTACCTTCGGACTGGCACATTTGAGATCCTGTGCTTTGAAAAATCTATCGGTATCTGTCTGGATCATCTGGATCAGCCATTTATTCCAAAGCGAACACGATATCCAGTTTTGAACTAACTTTATCCGCGATAAACGAGCGAAAAACGGAAAGAGCTCCTCACCTAATAAGGCCAAATTCGTGTTTCGCAGGTTAATTGTGTGTAGTTTGGGTAAAAAACTGGAGTCATTGGTAATCGCGGCTAAATGCAGTAATTTGGCGGCAATCGCCGGACTACCGGACACATCCAGCGTCACCAAGCGGGACAGGGCGTGCACCGTGGGAATCTCAACTGCAAAAGCGGTGCTGTCCACGCGATTCACTTCCAACTGCTTCAGTCCTGTCAGGCCGTCCAGAAAGTTTTTCCCCAACATCCCCAGGGGATTAGCGGACAGATCAAGAGTGGAAAGTGAGTTGACCAGGGGGAATAGTGTGTCGTTGAGCATTTCTAAGCGGTTGGCTCGTAAATCGAGTAAATGAAGCCGCGGCACATCGCAAAAGGCACAATATTCAATAGATGTGATTTGATTACGCCGCAAATGAATCTCCTCCACATCGGGCAACATGCGCCAATGTTTGCGTGAAAGTAATCTAATGCTGTTTTCATCTAAATACAATGCCCTTAAAGAAACCGGCAATTCCGTGGGGACTTCGCGCAGCTGATTGCCATTCAACCAGATTCGCTGTAGTGCATGAATGTCGGCGAAGGTGTCGTTGGCGATGCTGGTGATATTGCAGTCATCGGCCACGAGAATGGCTAAATCCCTGTAGCGCCCCAGCATCTGGCGATTGAGCACGGACAGTTTGTTGCCACTGAGCCGGATATCGCGGATGGTCACCGGGAGATTCTGCGGCACGGTGCTCAGACGGTTATGACTGAAGTCGGCGTATTGCAGATGCGGCAATTCCAATGTGACTTTCTCCACCGACTGGATGGGATTCATGGCCAGATTTAGATGAACCAGTTGGGTGGTGGGACTGAAGACGGCCGTGTGGATGTCGCCAATGTGGTTGACCTCAAGATTGAGATAGTGCAGTGATACTAAGCCAGTCAAGAGGTCGTTGGGGAGTTTGGTTAGTTTATTAGCGTTGAGGTCGAGCCGAATCAAATCTCGTAGATAAGCAAAGGATGCGGGATCAATTGCGGCGATACGATTACTTGATAAATCCAAGTACAGCAGAGAAGACAATCCAATAAATGTCAAATTAGAGATCTGACTCAATCTGTTCTCACTGAGATCCAGTCGTTTTAATCCTTTTAGCAATTGTAAGGCGCTGTTTCGCACCACATTCAGGCCGCAGTGCTGCAGACGCAGTTCCTGCAGATGCGATGCATTGCTGAGAAGACCGTCCATATCGCCGGGATGCAGGTCATTTTTTCGAAAGTTTTTTAATGCAACCCGAGCCGTGGTGGCGGGAAATCTGACGGGAAATGGAAAAATGTGCTCTCCGTTGCAGCTCATTGTGCTTTCCGCTGCGCTGCACACACAATATTCTGGACATGACACTTCCGGTGGCAAATGCGAGCTATCCGATGCATTTGCATTTAGTTCCGCGGCAAGGCCGTAGTCTGTTGATGAGCCCTGGAAAAAAATGCTTAGGCCGTTTTTGCATCAAGTACAATTTATATTACCAACCGCACAACGTATTGCAGGACGATACAGTTCGTTTTCTGTGCAAAACTGCAAACCAAACCCAGCGCTTGTACCAAGGAAATAATTTTGATGCAGTTAACAGTGCAGTTTGATAAATAACCTGGTACAGTAAATCTCAGCCTTTATTCAGTTCTGGTTTTAAACAACAATTACCAGTTTCACAAATTAGGAAAAACCACGCATAACCTATCCTTTTCGAAAGTTTTGTTAACAAAACATGTACCTGACAAGCCACCAATAAAATGAAAGGCTGATTTCTCTGCTGCACCCACGTATCATTTTACAATTATTCTTGAAAACAGTGCAAGAAAATTGATTCTCATCTTGTGTAGAAAGTCAACAGTTATCAAAATTGAGTAATTTTATAGATGCATTAAATGTGTTAACCAGGTTTAAGTAGTATTAAGTAGTACTAATCGTAACATTAACCGGTTATAATCGTGCAGTATCTAAATAGTTACCATAATTATAGTATTTATGACTCTGGGGTGCAAATAGTTTGAAGGTCATGGCGGAGGGGAGCTTATTTCGGAGAGGGGCGCAATTTCGGGGGGTGGCATTGTTTTTCAAACGGCAAATTTTGGAAAGGGGCAATACATTTCAAACAACTGCGCATGCTGTTCTAGTGAAACTGAAGTACTGAACGCAGTAGCTGCCGGTATATGCAATTACGCAACCTTCCGATATATACAACCTTCCGAGCAACATTTTGGAGTATATTCCTATCAATACAACTGTTTCTATTCCTGTTTGCCAACAAACACCACATTATGTTGATGTCCGTGTACTGTTTACCCTTTAAATCACAACAATTATTATAAAAAAATTTGTGGTATTCCTACCATTTTGCATGCTTGTAATTAATAACGGCTCCCTGGGGCGTAATTTCGGGGGGTATCCTTATTTTTCAAACAATATCAGGGAGGGGCGCTTATTTCAGGGGCTCTTATTGCGGGTGGCGCCAAAAATTCGATAATTACGGTATACCTTAAGGGAAAGAGTGGTGCAGCGCATGGGGATATTTGATTCTACTTAAAAGTATGCAAAAAGCTGTCGTGAAAAATGGGAATAAGGAACAATCACAAATTTACTTTCTAAGGCTCTCTCCTGTTTGATATTTTCGAAAAATTTGTATTCTATCCTTTTTATTTTTAAACCAGAATGTGCGTCTTTTAATCTTTCGTGAAAGCGTTAACCTTACTGCCATAATGCCATATATTTGGTACTGCATTATCTGACTCCGATCACAATGGGAAAAGTCACATCAGACAACATGTTTATTTAGGCACTTATTACGTACGTACCACGGTACCAAAGTGTTTGAAACAATGTTCAGGAAACAAATAACTGCACTTCCACATTAAAGAACAAACTATTTAATACAATATTTTGTTACAGGCTTGCTTACTTACATCGTTGATGTCATGACTGTATGAAAGACAGTGAGTGAAAGAAAGCATCAGCGTCAGGAAATGTATCCATACCGCTGTCCCCACGGAATTGGTCCATACGTTCCAATGACCTGTCATGGTTTTTTACGCAAATTTAAGCCATAAGCGTTGAGGCCGTAATCTCAGTAACGCTCATTAAGATTGTAAAAGCAACCAGCAATATGAGTAAATAATATAAGAAAGTATAAATGGTGATAAGAAAGTAGTGCAATGAAATTATGCACTTATGTTTAGTATAAATGTCGGCAATTGCATAACACAGAGCGATAATGCAAATGTATATTGTAAGGCGTATGGGAGTCGCTGTCACAAGCGCATCTCACTGCAACGGATATCAGCGCAATCCTGTATCGCAGCGGGAGGGAAACACCATTAAAGGTCTCCCACTCACATTATGGACGCCGGTGATAAACAACATAGCAGATGAGGGGAAAATTGCGCAAAACTATTAGATTAAGGAACATATTACTGATTGGGTTCCGGCGCATCTATGTGGCTTTATTGTTGTGGTTGGACACGGGTTGTCTGTTTTGCCGGCTGGCCCCGCATCCCTACGCAGCAGTACAGCATATATGTAAGTACAACCAGCATACGCAGCAACATCAGGAAGGGACAGTCTTTTCTTTTATGACTGATAATACGATAGCATCATTCCGTCTGTGGATTGACTGTGCAGTGAACAAGAGGCAACGGAAAAGGGATACACTCGTCAGTCATCCAGAATGCCGGCACCAAAGTGCACAAAGCGTTTTATCATTTAAAGGATACGTTTTATGGTTTAAGACAGTGTAAGGGAAACGTCTTTTATCCTAACAGCAACAGACCCCGGCCATGGACGCATGCCGGATCAATAATGACAGGGTCGAACTAAGCGCAACATAATTTGTTAAGAGGACATAACGCTGACATTCCAAAATGATTTACTGACCAGAGTAATTTGCAAAATAGCGTCTTGTGGATAATGTATGGGTATTTTGTATAAACATCCTCCTCGCTATCCATTCAAGCGATCAGTTAATGTTCGGACTATCGAAGTTGTTAAGCATGACCACATAATAAAATTGCAACTTCAAAATATAACTGTACGGCTGTGATTTGTTATCAAGCCAGTAGGTGCTTAAAGAAGCTGTTCTGCCAGCATCATAATATTTTTAATACTTTAACATAATAACTACTCAAAAACAAGAAAACATAATTTCTACTGCGGTATCACATCTGACGTGCTTTCATTCACCTGGTCCGTTTCAGCAACACATAACGAAAAAACCAAAAACTCCGTATCGCATCATATTCTTTCACTGTACTTTCTTTAAACTTGACCTCGATATTTGTGAAATCTTAGATGTTCTTCGATGAGCGTTTTATAAATTTCCCGCGATTCCACTCCGATACTAGCGTTGCCCATTTGTTTGGAATGGGGATCGATCATGTCCAACAACCGGTATAATCCGGCCGTAATATGCTCCTACATTTAAAACACGATTATCCCATGAATACCCAGCAATCAGACTAATACAAATGCCTTGCCTTGGCTTCTGGATACAGTGTGCCATTCTGCATCTCCAAACAGTACACGGCAATTAAATGAACAACCAATTTGGAGAATATTCGCTTATGCCGGACCAGATTTCCAAGTAATCTGCAATACAGAAAAGGGACATTTGATGAACATGCACACATGGAGAAGAGTTTCATCGACAAACCTCTCAACAAAACTCGCGTTCCGGATCATGACGAGTTTCCGGTTGGCATTACGGGCCGTTGCGCTATCGCTATCCTGACGGGCCCGTTGTAGAATGCTGATCAGCCATACTGAAATGGCTTTCATTAGAACCGGCACTGTCTGCGTCGTGATCAGCCGTGACTGCTTGAGAATTTCGTTGAGAATCAGCGTGCAGTTCTGAAAATGCATCGTGAAGTCCGCGTCACTGGATTCTTTGTTGAGCAGCAATCGAAATACTGGTTCACTCAAAGCAATCGTGCATGCAGCCAAGGCGTACTGCAAAAACAACATAGGTAAATGAACGATTACCGGTGGGTTAGAGTTTCCTCTCGCGTTAGGTTTTTTTCAAAATATTTTTATCTTTTCATAACGTTGCGTTTATAGTAGATGGCAAAGTATATTGCATATTTTCATCAACAACCAATTAAAACGAATCACCAGCAATGGAGAAGAGCTCAAATCACTCAGAAACTTTCGGAGCTAGTAATTTCAAAAAATGTGTACTTACCGAACTGTCCAGCAATGGAAATAATACTCCCATAAATGCTGAGCCGATCCGATGGTCGGTGCCAACGTAGCAGACCACAGAATTCAGTCTCTCCAGGATAGCTTCATACAGTTCAGTGCATTGTTTCACCGTTTCTAGAGTCAATTGAGTGGATATAATCAGACGCATGAAGGTCAGCTCCCAAAGCAGTGTAGATTCTGAATGTGGCGATCTTCTAAATATCGACAGACCATCCAGTAAAACCTGGGAAAATTTCACCGGCTTGGAAAATCGTCGCATCTGCCGAAAAAGGGCCATATGATCGGTTAAGGTAAAAACACAAGGAAGTTCTTCATCATGATCTGACGGCTCGGCTGTTGCAGACTGCATTTCATCAACAGAAGACAGCAAAATTTTAAATAACTCTTCATAGGAATTTGAATCCAGTTCTCCTCTATCCAGTGGCACAGAAGAATCAGAGTGACGGTGTACACCAATTTCCGCTAGTGATGGGGTCAAATACTGGATGACCGAAGTTGCCATCTTTATCGAGCAATGTTGAGTGCCCTCCATATGCAAACACAGCCATTTGACGGCAGTTTCCATTCTTACAAGATCCGAGCTATGTCCAAGAAAATTCAGAGCGATATTCGCTCTTTTCGTTGTGAAATTTGGCGCAAGCTGTGTAATCAAACTACTGAATCGAGATTTCAAGTACTCCTCCGAATAAAGATTCGTCAACACGATCCGCAAAGTGTCTGCACATTGGAGAAGTAAAAAAACTTCGACTTCCGTCGTCTGACCATCTGGTACGAAAAACGCATTCGTGCACTTTCCGAAGAACTCTACTGTGGACGGCACTAGTTTATCAAACAATGCTGGGTAATGAGGCTGGTTTGTTCGAGGGCTTAGTACTCGCAGGAATACTGACGGCAAATAATTCAAATCGACATTCTTCACATTTGCCACGCTTTTAATTGCTCTATCCACTGCTTCCGCTTCTCCTTGTGCTATTATCCTTTTAACTAACTGCACATCTATTGCGTAAGATAGGTGCAGACACGAAGAAAGCGCAGCGGAATGCTCCAGTCGCATGGCTGTGTCGATCAGTTTTGGACGTAACCGGGCGTAATCAATCAGAACATTCTCCCAGTATCCAGCATCCACAGCAGGGACGGACATTATGGCGTTAATGAACAGCCTTTCAAGAAAAATTACGTTGTCGGCGGTATGGACATCCTGCGACCAGTTGGATTTATTATCCAGAATGAATTCCATGGCTTTCCATAACAAAGACATCGAAAACACCAGCTCTTCACGAATAGTGAGGGATGTCGTCAGATGTACATACAGCTGCAAACACCGGCCATACAATCGACAACGAGCTTGTGCATCCTCCCGTTTGGCTTTCTTGGCTTTGCGGCCAGTTGGCTGGCAGTCCGCGTCATCAAAGGACTCGCGCAAAATCATTTCCACGTTCTTTAAACATGCTGCGCGCAATGCGGGTTTTGTGCGCACACTTCCGGATGCAAGGAATTTATCCGCCACCGTGAACAATGTGTAAGTATTTTCGGCAGGAGAAGTTTGGAAGTGCAACCAGTATCGCACGAGATGTCGCCCAAATTCCATATCATTCACGGTCGTTTGCTCCTGGGGAAGGTGGACGTAGTGCGTGCAGATAGAGTTCCATACAGCCACGGGAAGACTCTGGGCGGTAATGTTGAAGACATTTCCATCCCAAACCGCACTGTGTGTGGCGGAATTCAAGACTTCCCAACACAAGAAGCCACTTAAATCATCGGCTGTCCATTTGAGCCTCGTCGAGACGGTGTAATACTGAATCAAGCCAGACTGTAACCAGAATTTCAAATCTGGTCTCTCCGAAGTTGTAGTTTCCTACGAATAGACACATTGCTGAATAGGCACCCTGCACAGCACGATACATTTATTACATTTGATTTAATTTGCACGACATTAATTATTCAAAAAAGAAGTTCATGCCTCATTGCCTGCACGTGGTGGCGGCGTTAAGTCGCCTCTCAAAATATCGTACAGCGAAAAACAAAGAACGAGAAAACACTAACCTTCATAGTACTGCTGCAGTTTTTCGCGTATTTTATTGCGCTTTTGGGCGATATTTCGAGCCGGTCACTTAAAATTAAAGCGAAATCATTCCAAGCATGTAGCAGGACCACGCAGGTATAAACGACATCGTCATCACGTAATTTTTCACACAATCCCTGCAAAGGTTCCAGTACAGTGTCTCGCATCTCTGTATGCAGTTTCCACACAGTCTGCAGAGTTTCCTGACGGGTGGTATTTTTTATACGAAAATGTTTTAATAAAATCCATAATATCCTGGCAAGCAGCTTGATTTTTCCGCCGAGTGCCCGATCCTGAGCAGTGTCCATGTGTTGCACATAGGCCAGCAGTTCCTTAAGGAAACTATCCCATACACTAGCCATCTGCGATTCCGGCGCTTGGGCAAAGGCATTTCGCAATTCCGCAAACAGTGTAAAAGAAAAACAATCCACACCATGCGGAGAAGCAGGTACGGACCGGAGGCCTTGCAGAAATTTGTTGAATAATCGCGGGAGTTGATGCAGCTGCGTGTAGTTGTACATCAACTTCTGAAGGACCAGTGCACCGTCTTCGCCGTGGCTAGCAGGTGAATATGCCGGATTCAAAATATCCCCAATCAGCTGCACCCAGATGTCAACACATCTTTTATCGATTTCACTATGATCGAGATGCAAAACATCCTTGAAATGCAGGACCTCCGAAGATGGTCGTGGGTCTTCGGTGGCAACAACACACACGGTCATTTTCCCTTCAGTTCTTCCCAAGTTCTTGTATAGGCTTCCAAATGTACAAACAAAGCAGCCCTGAACTTACAATTTCATGTATTTAATGTGAGACGCTTAAACAGAACAAATTCCTACAAAAAATTTAACATTCCTAAATAGACTGGCCAAAACTTAAAAACTTTTTTGACACCGTTGTGTCACCGGTCGACCGACCAGTTGTGTGAAGATGATAGCGTAGCGTGGTGGCGCTTACCAATGTCGACCGCCCGCGCGCGCTGCGTGAGAACAAACGTAAATGTATTTACCGGCGCTTACCGGCAAATGAATGTACAATACTCGTACACATACTAACTTTGAGCGGAATATATATACTTTTTATTAATCATTCACAAAAGCTATCAATCAAACAAATGAAAAACAGAAGCATCACACAGCATCAACAGACAGCAGAAACAGGCGCCCGAATCACTGAGAACATTTGATCTAAATCAGCCGAAGCTGGTGCCGTTCCCAGGACGGATGCGGCGTTTCCACGCTGGATTTCGATGCTGAACCTCTGGCGCAGATACTCAGTTGCACGTATCTCGCCTGTTTCCTGCCATATCATCTTGCCCAGTTCACTGATCAGCCGAGAGGCTTCCGGTCCGAGTGGTCCTACTGTCTCCACGCCCACTGCACGGAACAGGTAGTCCTGGGCGATGTTCTGGTACTTCGCGGTTTTCTTCCGTTCGGCCTGTGCCGCTGCTGCGCCAGCTTGGGTGGATGTTGCTGCAATATGGGAGAGGGCCATCGTGCACACACAAGTCACATCCCATGTCAACATTTTGCCTCGTTCCCATGGCACTAAGGTGACACCGTCAGGGCGTAGGCCGTTGGTCGGTGAAATTCCCAAGGGCTCAAGTTCAGTCTCAATGGTGGCTGAGGCGAAGGCTCGTTTAAGCGTGGCGTTTAAGCTGCTATGTCTAGACTTTCGGCCTCGACTTTTTTTGCAGCTCAAGCCATGGTATCCTCGATCGTCCACCCATTCATTGCAGATGCATCTGTGCGGAGTTACAATCGGTGCTCCCAAGCGCAAGCCAACGGCAATCCGTAGTGCAGAATCGTTTAAAAGATTACCCAGAGATGCAGCTGGTAGAGCATCCAGCCATGCCCCGTTGTCCTTCGTGCTAACACCTAAAAGCCGCGCCTGGCTGGAAATATCAGACTGGGCAATTTCGGTTAGCGTCTTTACGGAGGTCTGGATAACTGGTTCATCCCACACTTTCTGATATTTTCGGGCTTCTACAGCTGGAAGGTTAGCTTCCGTCACACGCTGCCACTCGGCTTCGGCGTCACCGCAGTACACCTCCGGGTCGAAATCGGAAATATCGGATGCCAATTGGGTCACTGAGTATTGGTAGATATTGGTAGATTCTTTTAATATATTGGAATATTGGTAGATTCTATTAAAATATTGGTAGATTCGGAATATTGGTAGATTCTTTTAAAATGAAAAATGCACATTGGTGCTTTGGTAGATTTTTGTCTTTTTCACGTTTCTTTCTGCTCTTATGCCGAAAACTGAGAAAAGACTGCATTTTTGTTAAGCACTTGGGTGGCTGTTGCCAATTTAATTAAAACTTCTTTCTGTATGTTCCATTAAATTAAGGAGTACTCGCCGCACTCCGGACGATTACAACAATATCGTGTAAGAGATAGCAAATTCTAGATTACAACTTCCAAAATAAAAAAAAGTTCACTAAAAAATGCCCAAAAAGCCCAAGGAAAACAGAGTGTACTGTATTAATGTTAACACTAATGGTAAAGCTTCAGTACTGTACATGCAGTACGACCATATTGAATTATTATAACTGACAGTTAGTGTACTACGGTAATATCTATAGATACAATATCAGGACGCCTTATTGTTTACAGTGCCGGTAGAAGCAACTGCCTTCGATGTCCATTCATTCTCGGAGCACTAGTTTTGAAATTAAAATTGCTATGAAATTACTATGAAGACAAAAATGTACTGTAATACGCTGTAAAGGGTAAGCTAAAGGAAGCCATTTTTGTTACGCGATAAGATGCATTTTCAGCACACATATACGGTATTTATACAGTACCGAAACAGAAATCGGCTCATCCACATCCCGTTATTATAACAACTTGAGCCGGCACCGTAAAAAGTTTGGAAGTCTGGATCAATATATAAAAACGATTTCTTGTGTCGCTAACCCATGTATGCTGCCGCGAAGGTGGCCGGGAAAAACTAGTTTACAAAGAAATTCTCTCGATAACGGGAGGATATTCTCCGATCAAGCAGATCTGCATTACAATAGACCAGAAACTGTTTACTTACGTTTGTCTGGTTAACGATCAGGCTACTAAGCAGCACTCCTTGCTGACGCTTCACTCAAGTAGAAACTATTACGTTAGTGCTCGTTTATTTGTATACGTTTCCATAGTACTTCCTGTGAGAAGAATTTATTCTGTTCCACTCTTTTGTGCTGGGATTTTTTTAGAACTGCTCATTCTGCAGTGACGTAACTAAAATTGATTTGTCTGGTAATTTCTTTTTCATATAAATTTTTAAAGATTCACAAATGTCCTCTTAAGGGAAGTGACCCGGTATATAACACTAACGTAAATTTTGGAGTTTATCCTGTATCAATTTTAGAGCTTCGGTACTTCTATATCTTGTATCTGCACGCATTCCGGGTACACCGTACAAGCACGGTTACTGATACACGTTTAGGGTTCTAATTAAAGATTATGAAGATGCATGATATTCGATTCCTGGGTTCGATTCCTAGGTGGGTAACTTTTATCTCATAAAATCAAACCAAAAAAAGTATAAAATTTTCAAAATTAACAAAAAAAATTTCCAATAGCCTGGTTTGCCCAACGGTTTTCTCCTGAGGGTAATAAGTCTCCGTAATGGAGTTTGGCTACTGTAGTACGATAATAATAATAATAATAATAATAATAATAATACAACTACAAATACATTTTTTATCACGATATGTTCAACATGCTAAATTTGTTGTAAATTTAATAGAGTGTAATTAACAGTTGCGGTTAGACAAGAAGTAAACTCTCCTGCATATAATGTTCTATGGAAAAATACTCTAAAACTGAATGTGCAATCATGGTTATCATTTTATGTTCATAAATTGTTGTCTCAAAATGCTAATCAGCCACCCTATATAATGATAATCAGTAAAAACGTACGGTGAGAAAAACCAAACTTTTTTAATATTTTTACAAGTGTATAATGTACCGAGTTCTGTCCAACTGCTAAAACCATTTACCCAAATATTGTGGGAATGGTGATAACCAAACCCCGTGGCGTTATTGCTTCCGTATATAGATTGCCGGGTAGCTCGATATGTGTATATCACGCATTTTCCGGTCAGTTTGGTTGAGACTTGGAGCGCGATCGGCAATCTAGGCGGTACCGTGACCGCATCAGAATACGTATGGTCGGTGTTAAAATGACTAAGCGACCGGAAACTGTTGTGAATGTGATCTGGATCCGGATCTCTTGATGCTGCTCGACATAACTTGGATATTTAGCAGTTAAATAAGATTCTTCATCATCATTCTCCTAAGCGCGTGTATATCGTCTGGATTAAGCTTCGCCGGGCTCCAAGGCGCAATACGGTTTGAGTTGGCTAACCATACAGTCGTGAAAATTTGATCGGTCTGTGTGTGGATGTTATGTGTGTTGGCTTTCCGTGTGTCAGCAGCGTTTGTGGGCATACGGAATTGGATTAGGAATCAGCCGGCGGTCAGAAGCGCCGCAGGAACGGAAGTCGCATGTAGAAGACCTCTTGGATCGCATTACTCCGCAACTCAAGCTCCATTGAATACCATGACCAAAGGCTATGCTTGCCGACTCCGGAATTGTTTGTGAAATCATTTTTTCTCTACCCATAAAGCACTTGATTGGTTCCAATCCAGTTATCTCGCTGCCCCGGTCGTTGTATACAGCCGCCTAATTATTCGAAATATGTAAAAGGACACTCACTGTTATCTCATTCAATTATCCCGCTGTGATCCGTATTAGACGCTGTCTTCACCCAGTTTTCTCAGCATGCCTTGACGTCAAACGAATGTAGAAAAATAATGCGGATTATTTTTGAGATTCTCAGTGAAAAAATACCGCATCCCCCTTATTACAAGCAATGAAGGCTATCGTTGCACGTGGGATTGCCAGTGGGATTTGGCTGCTGAACACTCTTGTGTTTGTTTACATGCACAGGACCGGCGATCTTTCGTTTTTATCATCAAACCACTCTGTCGGGTTTATTGGCGAAAACAATCGAGGTATTTAAACACAAAACATAATATACCGTGTTTCTGATGTTCAGTGTAGCCACGTAAGAGTGCAACACAGGCGTTTATTTCACTGTTCCATACGTTAAAGCTTAAAAGCGCAGATATCATTAAATTTTGTGTTGTCGTTTTTATACATGAATTTTCCGCACGCGATTTCGTTTCTTTATCTGAATGTGTTTACTATATGCAAATTTTTGCTTTTCCTGAGGCTTGGATAATAAGTTGTTTACAGCTATGTACCTTTCATAATTATATAAGTACTAGTATCTAATTTAATGCGAGCTAAATACTTAAAGAGCTGCGGAAAATTAATACAAGTGAACTGGTGGAAGGGCAGGAAGCAATTTTACACACATTTGTTCGTCATACAGAATTGTGCACATCTGCACACTTATTAGCGACTTTGCCGTAATTGATATGCAGGTCAAACAGTAAAAAATATTTTTTACAGTATTACGGCATACGATTTTATCTGTTTAAGTAAGTGGCTTCTCTTATTACTTATTGCACGCCTCGTAGTTTCGCGCGATTACTGTTATCTGAATAGGCGGCCACTGATGTGCGACAGTCAACAAAGCATTTCGTTTACAGAAATTGTAGGCGATTTCTAAAACTCAACGTGGAACAGTTGTACATACCATTAATCTATTAAATATCTCTAACAATTATAAGAAGCATCGTTGAAATCACAGCATCACCGACTATTCCTGTCCTGTGTCACAGTTGTGGTAAAATTTAAATTCGCGATGTATTTAATTTCATACAGTACTACAGATAAAATGTGTATTGTGTGCATCATAGTGTTGTTGAAAATTTCTGTTGACAGATCTTAGTACACAAATGGTAAATGTCATCGTCTCATACTTCTCACTTCTTGTAGAATGCATACCGATTGGAGTGAAGTTTTATTTCGAGCCAGTGCCGCATGCATATTACAGCTCTTAGGCTGCAGTTTTATGATCAAATCTCTGAAAGAGGCTAAATACCGTTACCATAATTACAGTATTACCAAAAGTAAGACATTTATAATACCAAGTACTTAATATCTATATAGTGTGAACTGTGTACTTACTATAGTGCACAGCTGTTCTTCATAATACTCAATTAAAACACTTAATTACTTAAAAAAATTAAATTTTCCTAAACTTTTATTAAACATTTGCATGTACACCTCTGAATTTCGCATCTAGTTGTAAACTGCCTGTTTAGTAAATTAAAAAATTTCTATAGCATTTAAAAAGATGCTAATATTATCTATCTGGATTAGCATGCATTTAGCATTTGCAACTACCTTGTATCCAAATGCTCACACACGTGCGATTGTCAGTATATTTCTTATTTTCTTCTATGGGAAATCAGTCAATGGTCAGAAGTGCTTCAGGAAGCTTTTGTCACTAAGAGTGCTGAAGTGGGATAAAGCCTGAATGGCAAATGTTTTCAGGAGCAATGAATCTTTACAATTTGCACACACAGACTGCGTAAATTTCTGTTAAGTATGCCCTCAAGTCAAACTGCGGCATTTGTACATGCAGAAACGAATTAAAATTGAAATACTTAATAGTAAAACTGTATTTCTTACACTTTATATGACGTACGCCGGGCATTCTGGTTCGACGTACCGGTTGCGTGATATCATTAAATGCAGTAGAAGTATCCGTTTATTATTGCAACATATGCGATTCTGAATCGCCGAAACTGCATAACTAGAGTGCAAGTACGTAACCATACACATACCATACATTTGTTAAGTTTAAAATAATTTGCACACTTTAAAATTTTGGATGTTATAGTTATCCCATATCTTTAAATGTACGTAACTCGATGCTGGTACAATGATCATTATATAGCAGTAAAGCGAATTCCCGTTTCATTTTTGGCAAATATTTTGTTAAATTTTGCGCAGCTATTATTAAGCAGGCGCTTCTAAGATGAAAATTGGACTGTAAATAGTTGCAAGGCCATTTCTGGCATTTCGGGCATGGAAACGGATGCGCGACGTGTCCCGCTGATTAGGTTTGTGGTTAGATGCTGGCTGTCAGCCGGAGTCAGAAGAAGCTTGAACAAATTGTAAATGACATAGCAGCCAGCCAGCCTGCAGGACGCCTGTACAACGTAAATTTGAGAAACATCTAAATAGTACTTGACAGTTATCTCGACTCTCTGCGCTACGATCAAATCAAATCGATTTGTGCGAAATTTTCAAAGCTAATAGGATAGCCTATTAAAGTTAGCACAAAATTTTGCTGCAATTTCACATGTAATTGAAAAAAACATTTATTACTCCTTATTGGTTTGTGCGGACAATCGAGAGAGCAAGCGTCACGATGGATTTGATGCATTTAGATTTCCATACCGATCGATATTCTTCTTGCAATACATGAGAAATGGATATTACCCTATACCACTAACTTTTTGTTAACATTATGGATGTCAGCAGCATATGCTGATATTACGCATATAAAACATGATCAAACAGCGGATTCAAGTGTGTTACTTCGGGCACAAAATTACGTAGTTTCAAAATATGAATTTAAAAATAGTACTTACTTGCACAATATAAGATTAAAGTTTACATATTCTCGCTATAGCTAAACAAGCAGTTGCAATTGTGCATCATAGGGTAAATTTTGCATCATAGCAGCAGCATGTTCCAAACTTTTTTTATTCTAAACTTATTTTGCTATTTTGTCTTTACAGTTGATTTCTGGACATTGTCCGAAAGCGGGTGTGCTTGCGCACATGATAGTTTTAACATGACTTGTGCGTGCTGCGATCCCGGTTAGTAAATACAGTAACTGCGTACATATAGAACCACGTGAAGTGGTGCATGAATAATTAGAGTGGATGACTATACACAGCTTGAGAAATAAATCTTTTTGTGGGTGCTTTTTTTGCTTTAACGGTTTTAACTATAAGAACTGCTTATGTCGGTCTTGTTTTCAGGAATAGGATGTCCGTGCTCGGCCCCACTATCCAATCGCTGCGCTCAATGTGGTCTGGAATCGTTTTGCGGAAAAAGTGAGGAGCTATATTACGACAAATTTTATAGATTTTAACAGCTTTCATCTATTGGTAAATATAATTAGCTGCCGGTGACAACGGTATGCGAAAGAACTGCATGCAAGCTCTTCGATTTTGCTGTGCTGGGTTTAATACCTTTTTTTCTGCCCATGAATCCGCAAGTGTAGGGCGAGACCGGCGAGCAATAATTTTATTATGCATTACTCCCGCTAAGCTATGCCTGTTTTTAGGCTGAAGCTTATCTCACTTGTTTTTGTTGTTCGTGCTAATGTTTTCGAGTTGGGCTGAGTAAAGGGTAGGCTGTCAAATTGGACAATTATCGGATGAGTATAATTTTCTCTGCAAGATTGATTATGCTGTTGCACTGCATGACGCTGTGGTTAGCTGCACTTTCGACAGGAGCTTGGCTAGCTCGTTGAGTTTCTGGACGTGACGGACACTTTGTCGAGTCTGGGTTCATTTGGCACATGTTTTGCGTGCAGGATGATGTTGGAGTGCATTGCTGAGCTATGCTAAGCAAACCTTGCTACACAAAAGTCATTCATAAGATCTGCCAACAGTTATGCTACGTAAACAGAGTAAAAATAGACGTGTTTCCTAACAGCAGGATTTAACTTTCAAGCTCAAATAAACCCATAATTTACCGAGGTATACGCATGTGTGAGAACTGTACATCTCTTTTCTCACTGAAATTCCGGAAGTCGTGATAACCTGAATAAAAATTGTTTTGAAGTGACCAGGCATTTTAATCAAATATATTGCTGGGGTAAATGGTTGCACATCTTTGCAGACCTAATAATGTCATTATCCACAGTAAATATACAACATAATAATGCAAATTTCGTTTCGGTGCTGCCGGCTTTCAATGCGTTGCCTTGTTAGGCGGTAGTAGAGTGCGTTATTTTGCTCTGACCTCGATAAGCATTTTCACACTAACGATAATGAGCTCGTCTGTCATTCGGAGCAGTTGGCGCTTATCATTAATTTCTTGTTGTTTTAGTGTGCAATATGACCATTGATATGAGTCAGTTGACAACTAAGCATGGAGCCATTTATAGCCCTCCTTCACCTGGACCAATTTTTTGCTCGTTTTATGTTGTTGCCAATCCGAGCACACGGATTCAGATTGACCTTTATCGGATGCAAGGCATCGGAGAGTACAATCCCCAAACAAAAAGGTCAGTGTATGACTGCACTGTTTTTTGTTTTTAATGATCCTGCATACCGGTATCATGCGTGCTTCAGGAAATCATTATCATTAATATCATACTTTAATTACACATGTTTCATTAAATACCATTGCCAAACTGATCTCTAAATATATTTCATAAATGTTCGACGAATAATTATATAAGTCACTAAGTAAAAATGCATCCGAAATATTCGATGAAAAATGGTATCACTGTATCAGTAATAATTTTAAGTCAACACTGAAAGACTTCCAGGCTTACTAAAGTCACCTTTTTTACTCATTATTTATTATAGGCAAATCTTTTTTGATTTACATTACATATACAGTATAGTATGCCCTGCAACTATTAAATGGTAATTTGAAAAATAGGAGCATCGTTACCGTTTGTTCGCCAGTGGGAGTGTTGTCCGCTATGCGCGGGAACTGAAACTCCACGAGCCTTCGCACAAGCACTTAAAATTTATTAAAATACCGATAAATTACATAATCGTGCTAGAAAATAATGAAAACCGGTGACAGTCAGTCTCCGGAATCGTCGTCTCAAGAACCGAGGCCGGAATCATACTTTCTCGAAAAATTTCATGATCCTGAAATCTCGTATATATGTTAATATATATGCACGATGGACGGAGTGGATAATTTAAGTGAAGTTTTGCTGTTGTGATTAATATAGCGTGTTTCTTTCTTATTACCATAACTGTGCGATGATTATTAATACAAGCAAAACCCAGAAAAAAAAATGTCAAAACAGGTGATTAAAAAAATAATTCCAGAATGGTATGTTCATGAGAAAGAACTTCAAACAAGGTGTGAAAACCGGTATTTATGATACACGGGTGTCTGAATGGATACTATAAGGGCACCTTTTTTTGCGGTTAGAGCAGTGTTGCTTTCACCCTATATATTCTTAGTCCGTGAGTGTTTTCAATTATACTTATATAACTGACTAACACTTCTTCAAAACCCCTGTTCAAAATCAAGAGAGTGCAGCTTTCATTCATGATCTACGGTATATACTGTAATTAATATGATGTGGATATTTAGTTGGAGGAGTTCGTTTGACAAGCGCGCAGACTCATCATTAAATTTAGGACCGCTATTCTAGATGTTCGCAGTGAAAAACATCTTTATACAGTGCGATTTGCATTGATAAGTTCATTAATTCTTATGTGACAAAATTAGCGATATTTGTCTTTAAATTGCTTTGCAGATGCATTGGCGGCTTTTTGCAAATAATTGACGGAGTTCGTGCGCTTAGAGGAAATTCATCCGCTGTCCATGTGTTTTGCGGCGCTGATAGCCGTTTTGACCGACCGGTGACTATTTTTAAAGAGCGTAAGTGTCAACTCTTGAGTTATACTGTTCCACTTTCACATCGATGGTTATTTGGCCGGTCTAAGCATATAAGCCGTTTCCATTAATAAGTTTCTTCCGTCCATTTGTCTTCCATGGATGTGAAATCAGATACTGGTTGCATCGTATGAAGATATTCCGAAGAAATACTTTATTCAATTTGCAGGCGCCATGGCTATCATTCAATATTGGGCGGCCACTGCCATCCAATCGAGATTTATGTTGGAATTTAGTTTCCATGAAAAAAGCGAAGGTAGCCAAAAATATCCCGCTGCATTCCATACAACATTCAAATAAACGTTGCTTGAATATTTGCATCACTAACTTTTGACCTTCCGCTGATAGAGAATTATGCGCTTGGTGGGACGGCGATTCCTAATTCAGGTTGACATGTTCCGTTTAACGCCATTGCTTAATTAATTCGCAAAATGACTAACGTGCAGCATTTTTTTCGCAGAATGTGACTGGATCTATCGGCAACAAAACTGCTCCAACTCAGAGGAGCCGTGTGACTTCTCCACGCCGGGTTATCCGGGATTGTATTCCAATTATCAACACTGCCGGTATTTCTTCCGCAGCACCGATCCATCATTGCAGATTCGTATCCAGTTTAAAACCTTTGATTTCCCAGCCGGGTAAATGTTTCCGACAAAAAATCCAATGGGCAGATTTTAATTGCAGTACTATTCACTCGCGATTTTTGGAAGTTTGAAATGTAATTGCCGGGTCGGCAGGAGTATCGCATATATCGAATACCCATCGCGAAACGCTTACGAGAAGATATTGATTAGCCTTGATCCTTGCAGGGACTGTGACACACATTACGTAAACATTTTTGACGGAGCCTATAGTACAAAAACTGATCCTGCTTTACAAACCCTCTGTGGAGTACAAAAAACAGAGGAAATGATTTATTTTTCCACCGGGCCCTCCTTGGTTATAGGTAAGCAAATAACTCGCAGTGAAATTTCAAAATCTAAATAGCCATGAAGCCTTGTTTGGGAATTTAGAGTTTATTAGTGGAGCTCTCTCCCCGCCGTATAATTATACCGGCTTCCAGGGCACCGTTGTGTTCGGAAACAATCCACCTGGTGCGTAATTCAGTCATACAAATACGTAGTTTGTCGTAACTGGAACTACACCCATAGTACTAGGAATGGTTACAATATTGCAGTGGAGCAATTAATAATATCAATGGCCAGATAGCATTTTTGGCTAAAAGTTCAGACAGCTTTAATTAAGTACGTAGAGGCTTATATTAAATAGTACAAAATATTTTCTGTATCTACTTTGACATAAGTAATTCTACGTAATGCATATACACGTGCTACTGATTATGAAAAAGTTTGACCTTTGTTTCGCGTTCCGTAGATCGCATCGTGGGAAACAAAATCGAGAAAACTTTCTGTGACTGGGTATTTTACAGCAACATGACTCCCTGGGCCAGTTTCAGTAGTCCAATGGACTGGTTTCCAAAGGAGACGCGCTGCCGTTTTAAATTCATTCCAACCACTCTCACTGATCAAGTTATACTTTCCATGCACAGCTATTTTTTGGAGTAAGCCCCAAAAAAGTCATCCGCGGTTGACAGATTGACCGGTCTGTCGACGGAAAAATTAATAGTTCGTGCTTTTTGTCATGCTAGAAGTGATCACTGTAATACAGTTATCCGCATTGCCGAAGTCGATGAAAAAGACGAGGAGACACACCTCATCAAGCGGATATGTGGCCCTGCATCCAAATATGCAGCAGCCGGTAAGAAGAGGCAATTTGTTCCATGTCGTTTAATTCATTTGTCGGATGTGGCGACGGAGTGATTCAAATTTGATCAGATATCCCAAGCTATGGTTTTTGTGTAAAGCTATGGTTTTTGTGCAGGCGATCAGAAGGCCATCGAGGAATACGCTGCAGGTGCAGGGAAAACATTGTTGTTAACATTTTCTTCTAAAAATGGAAACCTCCATCTCGGCAAAACATCCGAGTGGATCAGCGGAAGCTATTTCTTTCACAATGGTACGTCGGATTTAATTTTCAGATCAACCAACATGTACATTAACAAGACCTATTTATAGAGGTGGTCTTGACAATAATTACACCTAATGTCATAGTTCTGATTTCGTTGTTGTTTTTTTCAGAGCGTTTGTTAGGAAAAAAGATTTTGAATACGGGTACGGTGAATCAATAAAAAAATAGAAATATAGCTCGTAGTGTATTTTTTACAGCTGTATAATGTCGGTTTTATACGTCGGACTTCTAACAAATGTTCGAACCAAAATTGCTCGTATATTCCACAGATGACCCCGGTCTGCTAGCATTCAGTTGTCTTTTGTTTTCCAGTCTGCGATTACGCCTTCAGCAGCGAAAACGTCCAACCCAAAGGAAGTGTAATGGGTCCGAAACTGGATTACAATCTTGACCAACAAGTGTGGATTTCTACCATTACAACGGACTGCAACTACGAATTTTCTTCCAAATCGAACCAGTCCATTAGCATTCAAATTAATCAGGCGACAATGGTCAAGTATGTTTACTTACTTTTCTTAACATGTGAGGCCCCACTGGCCGGCATACTATAGCAATTATTACGTTCATCCCCGTGTATGATTATTTGCATTTGGTAAACAAGTGGTGCCGTTGTAGACCTGGCGAAGAAACAATGTTTTGGCTGTGCCGCACCCACTGTAACCGCCATGGGTGCCACTGTACAATGGCTGAAAATGAGGCAGAGAAGAGCCATTCATTGAAGGATGTTTTCCACATTATGGTATTGAGCCGGCAACATCCGCGCGTGGAAATATCATGTTTTTGTGGTGACCTTACTGACATCCTGCCACTGACAATATCGGCTGTTAATGGAGCAATTTTGCGTTATCATCGTTTGGGTTTATCAGTGACCGATGCTCACTTGTACGACTTCAGCGCAGTTTACGATTTCCACGAACCGCTATACGGTTAGTACGGTTACATACAGTATACCTGGCCATATAGTAACCTTACAGAGTTTGCAAAAAAAGCCTGCTACATCATTTAACATCACTTTAGAAAATTGTAACGACACGCCGTAATATTTATCTGCATACAGGGGAGTCTGGAACAGAGATTTCGATGCTGCGTGCAATGCGGCATGTTCTTGAAGAATACCTACAAATCTTAATGCACTAATGTATCGCGTTAATGTATACGTATATATGTTACTGTAGCTTTGTCGTTAGAGTGCTCAAGAATGTCCCGGAACCGCCATCAAGGAGCTCTATATATCGTTCCGCGGCGTAACATTACAATGAGCGCAAACATTATCCACCACATTCAATGCGACTGGACCATTGAAGTAACTCAAAAAATGTATATATCTCTGGATATAAAATTAATGCAGATGGACAAATCCAGCGCTAATGTTAAACTATCGGAACGCAGTAAGTGCACACCAGTAAGATAAAAAAGGTCACACCTTTCATCGCGTTTAAAAGTGTACTTAAGAAGCATGACTTTTTTGAAGTTTTTTATGGTCGATTGTTCTTGTTTTCTCCAGGTCACTGTTTGAAGAAGAATTTGGTCAAGTTATATACCTCCACTGTTTTGCGCGATAAGGATAAGGGTATTGAGGTGTGCCAAAACAAAGCCGTTACCGGTACGACAAAGCTCTGCTACGCAGTACATTTACGGTTAAATATATTATCTTGTTTGCTTTTTAACTTTATTAATTGTGTGTGATTTGTTGGTTTACAACATGAGCCGCCTGTTTATTTGCACACATTATGATTGCACACATTTTTTTCGCAGTTAACACTAACAAACTGTTTATTCGCTTAACTGCGACTGGAACGTTTTACAAACATCGTATTCTATGGAAAGAACTCAACCCATCGTCCATCGGTCGCGGGCAGCACGAAAGCAACACAACAAACGGTAAGTATTATGAAAGTTAGATCTCGTTTAAAAAAGTTGAAATTATATGTACTATTTATAATTAACGCCAAGATTGCACTAACTGCACGTAATATACTTCTGTTCTTTGCAGACTTTCCTGGTAGAACTTGCCGCATTTCTATCATTGCATTTCTCCTGATTCACTTGAGCCTCATATTCTTATGGCGATAGAAATGATACCAAACATTGTTTCGTTTTCTGCATTAGTTACCTCATGCAGTGTGATGATTTCGGTCTTTCAGATTAGAGTATTACTGCTGTTTTTTTGGCAATTGCTTTGGAATTGTATATGCTAAACTTTCATTTTCTTCGGGACCAGGATATTTTTGGAAAATTGTTTTATGATAATATAGGAAAGCAATAAAGTTCTGTTATACGTGTAATTGCTGAAATGCTTTCGTATTAGTATTGCAACGCTTTTTACAGTACTGGACAGTGGACACAGACTTACCAGGGAACATTTTGAGGCTATAAATTCAGAAAATCCTCAATTTTCGCAGAAAGTTAGAACAACTATATAGGTTGCCTAAAAAAATTATTTCATGTGCCATGGCCAATGGGCGTGACCAAACAAGCTTCTACAAAAAATACTACCCTTACAGATTCTCCACAACAGAGCCCATATGTCCTCGGGTGCTAAGCAGTAAGCACCCGCTGTCGCATGGCTATCGCCTGGCGCAAAATTTGGAACGAGTAAGCTAGCCTCGCACTGGTAAAGATTGTTCAGTAACGTTATATTAGTCTTGCCAGGTATAATGCGGTACACTGCCTATAGGCAACAGTGTAGAACCACACAGTGTAGAACTAACTTTTAAATTCTGTTTTGGCCACGCCCATTGGCCATGGCACATGAAATAATCTTTTTAGCCATCCTGTATAGTTGTTCCAACTTTCTGCAAAAACTGAAAATTTTCTGAATTTATAGCCTCAAAATGTTCCCTGGTTAGAACTGCCTGTTGTATAATTTGTATTACGAAGTCGGAGACCACTTGCGCAACTCGCTATGTAAAGTGTGGAATAAGTAGAGTCTGCAGAAATTTGGAATGCAGTGGTTAAAATTAAACCCAATTAGCTTACTAATCCGTAAACTGAAGCAAATAAAATTTCATTAGAAAAATGGTGCGATGGTAAGGGGAAATCGAAAAGCGGCGAAAACATTTGCATAACGGCGTAAACCGTGCGGAATTCAAGCAAAAAGAGTACATTCATTAATAATCATATGTACACGTGCACGTTATACAGTACATGTTTGTTCAATATCATTATATTATATACACAAAAAATTATTGATGTTGAATTTGTCGTTCATTTTTATTGTTAGAGGTTTTATTATTAACTACCCATTGTTTTATCCGCGATTGTATCATATTAATTTGTAAGTAACTAACGAAACTTTCGCAGCACTTTTTTACAGACCTTTTTCGCCAAATTAAAGATTCTTAACAATGAAGATTTTTTTGTAAAGTTACGCAAAATTCTGAACTGTAAGATTATTATTATATGTGAAATAAAAATGCCATGATAAATTATTCAGGACGTCACCTCTGTGCGCCTCGAAAATTTCAGGCGATTTGTTAATTTGAGGTTGGTAACAAAATTTCCTGTCCTGATAAAAACGCCAGTACTGTACTTATATCATGTTATATAGATATGGTATATGGTATATATGGTATATGGTATATGTATGGTATATTCTATATGGTATTTATTGTGTACAGTAAATAATTGGTAATCTTTTTTCCCTACTCCCAGTATCTTATCTTCACGGGATCCCTAGAATCAAAAACCTTTCTTGGATTAATACGTTGTGATATAGTACAACGATGACGTGGCCGAGTGGTCCAAGGCGCTGGATTAAGGCTCCAGTCTGTTCGCAGGCGTGGGTTCAAATCCCACCGTCATCATATTTTTTTCTTCTTTAAACCAGTGATTTTCTATATGTACGGAATCAGTCGAAAGTTCACAATACTAAAAAATTTATCAAGAGACCTAGAAGTATCTAGGAATTTGGAGGGATGAATTATCCGTTTCCGCCGGTCAAGAAGAGTTGGCATCTGTCCGGCATCCGGGCGGATGGCAGGCATTATGCAGATAGGAAAACAACTGGCGTGCGCGGGCGGATGGTTAACCGGATGTCAACGCTGGCCTAACGAGTGCAATGCTATGTTAGTGTGCAGCAGTGGCGTTTTAAGCAATTTTATTGCTGATTTTACTGGCATTGCACCATTTGTGGACCCTCCGGTTGTCGAGCGACAACGTAACAGAAGCACGCGTGCGGTGGCCCATGCCACAGGCTGTTTTAACGTAAATCTTTGAAAATTCATAACTTTGTTCATTCCTCCATTAAATTTTTATGCATAGTCTTGAAAAATGCAGAATAATACACAGTATCAGGCAAAAGAAATGCTTTTTAATTTTTCTATCAGGATTGTGCGCTGTTAGCCTGCGCGGCTAGCATAGCCGCCTATGGAGGATTTCCCATAGGCGGCTATGTTAACCGCAGAGGCTCATACTGCATTACCCTAAAGAAGAAACAGAAAACATTTATTCTGCCTAATACTGTGTGTTATTCTGCATTTTTTAAGACTATACATAAAAATTTAATGCAGGAGTGAACAAAGTTATGAATTTTCAAAGATTTACGTTGAAACAGCCTGTGGCATGGGCCACCGCACGCGTGCTTCTGTTACGTTGTCGCTCGACAACCGGAGGGTCCACAAATGGTGCAATGCCAGTAAAATCAGCAATAAAATTGCTTAAAACGCCACTGCTGCACAATAACATAGTATTGCACTTGCCTAACCTGTTTTGACGTTTTCTTGCGTCAGCAGCACGCGATGTCTCGTTGGTCCGTAGCTGCGAGGTTTGCGGTAACCTAAATGTGACGTTCTTGGATATTCTCGTCATTTCCTGCGGGCTTTAGCAGTTATCAGCAGTCATACTTCTAGTGGTAACTGGTAAATATGGCAAATACCAGCTGTTTAGTGTTTACCTTCTCGTTATTATTTTGCTGTTCGCAATTGTCAGTTTCGCAGACTTTTAAAGTTTAAGTAACTTCATAATAGCCAAGATAGATACAAATTCTCTTTTCCTGAAGGAAACGTAGTTCTGTACGCTTTCGGAAAGGTTTTCCCTTATGCGCTCCTTAAGTGCTTCGATCTACCTGTGTTGAAATTTTTATAATTATTTGCGAAGAATTTAAATCTTCCATGAAACAAGCGCATCATTTGACCTGTGACATTTTTTCTCTTGAAATTATTGTTTTCTCTTGCGATTATTGCGGCCATTTTCTTAGATCTCCAGCGGTCATTCTACCGTTGCATAATGGCGGAAAGGGATTTGCGTTTTTACTAAAGAAGCGGATCTGTCGATCTGGTGTTGTGTGATGCGTATCAAGCCAGTGACGAAATCGTGATCCAGTGATCCTTATCTATACAGAAGCGGAGACTTGTTCACGTCGCTAGATTTCTTTGCTGCTATAAAAGTCAGTGTGACGACAAGGATTTTTTCGTCACTCGACACTCATTATTTCCTGATCAGTGTTCGCCTTCGGAATCTTTGATTTGTACCGATAACACGTTTACAAATTATCTGCTCGTATTGCAGTAGTGATTATTCAGCAGCTGCCTAGTGCATACCGTAGGATTCTCAAAAATTTTAAGCATTAAGCTGTTTTAACTTGCCCTGGACCCTGCCCCTTGATTATAGTTGCTCAGATGATGTGAGCAGCAACCTGTAGTCTATAGTTCATCCTCGTAAATCTCTGAATTTCCGAAAATGGGCAATCGTCTGTCCAGTTTGGTCATCTGCCATAATACTCCTCCGCAACCGAAACCTATCTTTAACGTAAAGGCCACTGGTGATAGTACATTTTTGGGAAATGGGCAGCTGGAAATCACTGGCGATAATCTCATCTTGGTGCTCCTGGATGGCAGTAAAGAGCACTATTCCTGGCCAATTCGCAGCATCCGCCGCTATGGGTGCGAGAAGAATCTCTTCATATTCGAGAGTGGGCGACGGTGCGCGACAGGCCCGGGTGTCTATCAGCTGAAGACGAAAGATGCCAAGAAAATCATGCTGCTAGTGCAACAGAGCGTCAGTGCCATCCAGGAAATGGACAACGCATTCCGCAAGGAAATGGTCGAGACGGTTGTGCGCCCGGCGAATGAGACGGAAGGAAAACCGCCAGCAAAGAGTAGTCTTGATGGCGCGGAAGACGGAAAGCCACGGTATGTCAACTGCGACGCCATGGGCCGGCCGTTCGTAACCAACTACGCGTCGCTGGATTTACCGCGCAAGGACGACACGACCGGCAGCATCAAGAACAAAGCGGACCTTTGGAGCGGAAGCTACGATGTCCTTGGCGATTTTGACCAGAAGCCGACCTGCGTGAGTGGCTCACCTGTCGAAACAGTTGAATACGTGCGGATTGACCCGGAAGCTACAAAAGCACTTCTTAGCTGATGAGCTGCAGCTGGCAACCTTTCATCTTGATCTTCCAGTTCGCACTAATGAATCACAGTTCCCCTCTCAATCACAATTCGATGTGGATAACCAGTTTTGTATTTGTATGACTTTTGTCTTCATAACAACGAAGCAGCCTGGATGCCCGCGGTAATGGCAGGAATTATCGGTACCATTTGTTTCGAACAATGATGTGGTGTTACGGACTTTTGTCAAATTTATGGATAAGTTATTGTGCTTATTTTGTCATTTTAAGAGTACGTTCCGAGCAAACCCGCGGGCTACGGGTTTGATTTAGCAGCTTGCATGTGATGCACCTTCTTACCTTTGGATCTTATATTTTCTTAGGCCGTTGAAGCTTTTCCAACCGTATGTGGTTAAATCAAAAGGCGTCCAATGCAGAATTTGTTTTTACATATTTTTATATATAAGATTTTAATTTATTAATTCTGCTGCTGTGCGAAGTGAGCTTCCTTGAAGGTGACGCAACTTGTATTAAAGTTCATTCATTGCCGTTAAGCAAGAACTAAAATTAAAAACAGTGAGCTTACTGGTTTGACAAAGTACGTAAGTATTAAATTTCATCATCAGGGACAGTCGCAGACATACCCTGTAGCAATACGCTGGAACAACGCCATCTGTAAATTGAAAAGATTTAGGGTTCTGAGCGTTAAAAGAAGACACGACTGTAAATGCGATCATGATTACCGTACTTTTCAGGTTCAGTGTTTTACCCTTTAATTCGTGCTACCTTATAAGCAATTCCTTCCGACGATTACTGAATAAACACCTTGCTCGGTGCAAACCGTAACATTTCAATTACCCAGAAGCTCCAACACCGTACAAAAAAGCTCTAATCAGAAAGTATCAATCGCAAACTACGAAAGAGGATTCACAGTCGAAGACTAACAAGTATAAACCATTAGTTAACTGTCCGATTTCCACCAAGAAACGTTCCGACAACAATTAATTATCATTTTCATTGCTTTATACTACTTTCAGTGTTACAAAACCAAATTCGAAGTTTACCCACTTCTACGAATAACAGCTTACTATCGCTCCTCTAAATTCTAACCGTTGGAGCCATTTTACAAAGGTAATGCCAAGGAACCATCTTCATCTGGTCCGAATTCTCTGGCTTGAAAACCGCCTCTCTTCCATCCACAGAGAGCATCTTTCCACATATATCCCTTTCATCTCCGAGAATAACCTTAACCTATATTGTATGCAGAAAACGACACAGCATAAACTTTACATTCGATTTTTCGAATGTGTGAGATCACTTGCACCGGCACGTACCAAGTCGCCCCGAGATGGGGTAATTGGCTCCACCTGAGATACTAAAATGGTGATCACTTTATCTTTTTCCGGTAGAAAGATGGAACACATGGCTCCCGATTCCGATCTGACGTAGCCGATCAGATTCAGCAAACTGCGATCATCGTGCCGTTTGATACGCACTTGAATATCTGTCGTCACCCAATCTGTATGATTCAAATCAACGCCTCCGCCTGGTGTTTCGGGAGGATTATATAAGCCCGATTCATAGCCAGGAGTCTGTGGGTTATAGGGGGACGGTGCCGCACCTCCCGGCGTATAGCCCATGCCCGGTGACTGGATATAAGAATTGTAAGACGATGATCCTACACCACTGGCACCGTATCGCGATGGAGCCGGGCTGTAGGGCGAAGGAGCACTGAAGGTATCGCCACCATACATTCCTCCTGGTGTCTGTGGAGCGAAATTAACAGCTGGTGATTCCGGAGCCTAGGGCAGATGTAAAATTTCAGTCATCAATAAAAGCAAAATTTCAATCATCAGCAATTACAAAATGTTACAAGTGTTAGCTTTAACAATGACAAAAAGACTATCGGTACTACATTTTGACTCCAAGAGGAACTCTTCCAATTTCAAGTTGTTCTTTCTACATCGAACTTACCTGAAATCCAGGAGTTCTGGGATTTACACCACCACTGTCCATGTCCTCCTGATAACCACCAGGAGTGGGTGGTACCCCGTAGTTCGACGGTGGCGGCGCAAGATCTTCGTATTCATCACGTTCCTCCGGTTCCTCCTCTTCGTCCTTAGTGGGACGAGGAGATCGTCTGTCATCCCATCGTTCTCCCTCTTCTTCGCGCTCGGCATCCCATGCACTTTCGTGGGCTGGGGTACGCATGTAAGAAGGCGTACGACCACCATACCCAGGAGTGCGTGAGCCATACGCAGGCGTTCGGCTGCCCATACCGTACGCCGGGGTACGGCTGCCATCGTTGTACATCGGTGTCTTCGTGGGATCTTCGTACCGTGGAGTTTTGTTCCCGGCTTCAAAGTGAGACGACGGCTCGTCCGGACGAGCGAAATTCGACGGGTTTCTCCTCGGGTAGCTGTCCGCGGGGGTTCGTCTAACAGTGTCATCGTTTCGAAATGGTGCAGGACCGCGAGCGGTAGGTCTGCCATCGCTGTTGATTTCTGTCAAACGGTTGCGATCCACTGAAATGGTAGTGCAGTTGGCATGCAGTTCTACACGGGCTGTAGCATCCGTACAGTCCTTCACCACTCCGATGTAACCTGCAAAATACAAATCTCAAGCAAAACAATTCACTTTTTTTTTGTAAATTATCCCAACACTCATACAATTGCCACTTTTTATACCTTTGTAAGGTCCCTGAATAATTCTCACAGTTTTTCCAATCATCGTATTGTCTCTGCGACCACGATTCCGGTTCGCAAAACCCATTGGCGAATGAACTGCAGGTTGATTCTGGCTTGGTGTGCGTCCCCCACCACTTTTAGGGGTGCTTCTTTCACTAGCTCCACCCTGAATGCTTCCTGAACTGGGATGAACAGGACTTGCTGCTACACGAGGCGATTGCGGCGCAAATGAATATTGATTATTATTGGTTGTACTGGACGATGTAGTCTGGCTAGCGCCTGCCAAAACAGTGCTACGCGCTTTGCAAACGAAAATCCCCCCATTTTCGGCAACCAGTTTGGAATGCAAGAATAAAACTCCGCGGAATATGTGCTTCACCTCTCCCTGTTTTCCATTATGAATGCCGTCCGTTACCTTAACAGAATCTTTCACCTGAAAAATAATCCGTAATAAGTTCCACTATGACTGCTAAAATGGCAGAATGCAATGGATTACCTGAATTTGATTATGCTCGCTGTCGAGAGCGACAGCTCTGCGACTGTCTTTCTTCCGCAGAATGGCGCCAGGTTTCATCTGTAATAATTTTCCATGCATGTTTAAAACATGAAAATTGTCCTTTTCAATGCGCACAATGACGCCGACTGTCTGTTGATCAATCTCCACCAGATCGCCAAACTGAAACTGGCCCCAACTGTCAATTCCAGATGCCCGCTCCGAACTGACTTGCACGTCTTCCGGCAAAACTTTCATTTCGTGCATTGTCAGATCCGAAAACAGAACAATGAGATTATCCTCCACTCGAACCACCAATCCTGTATCACCTTCATAACGTCCACGAAGAACACGTACGTGGTCGCCTGTGCGGAAAAATTTCTTCAGCTCGCGAGCCGGGAATTCGATGGGGTCCTTCAGATCCTCATGATCAGGCTGAATAACGACTTTTTTGCCTTCCACACGAATAACTTTCCCCTTTAAGTTAATAAGTTCGCCTTCGCACACCACCACATAATCCCCGTGTGTAAAACGAGTGGCATCTTGATTTTCCTCAGTTTCCGAAACTTCAGCAGCCACTTTCGACAAATCCACTCCTAGAAAAGAGTTAACAATTTACTTTATCAATTTTTACGAAACTTTTACCAAATTCCAAAACAATATCTTGCGCTTAAATACGGAAAACATTACCTCACCTACAAACGACTTTTTTTATTTATAACAGTCTTCCTAGCATACTGCGTTTTAAACTCAAAATTCATTAGAGACCATAAAAATCGCTTCACCATACCTTCGATTAAGTCGTCAAACTTTTCTAATTCATTCAAAGACGGTTTCACTCCTTCTACGGTAATAGCATTCAAGGGGAAAGTTTTGATCAGGAAACCGCGCATGGTGTAACGATTTCCATGGAACAAATACATATCACCATCACGGCCATAATCCGCCCCACACTCTCGAATCAAATCCGGTTCGAACAATTTCTGAGCTGGACGGCTACCGCGAGCTTTAGCTAATCCCGTTTTCGCACTGGCATTTCCCCTCTTCGTCTCCTTGATGTGGTTATAGTCGATCCGCGGTATCAAACGCAATGAAACAGCATTCTGTGCATGGTCGACCCACTCCACCTGCGCCAGATCATCTTTATACAATCCACGTTTCACTCGGACCCACTGCTTGTTCTTCAGCCGAGCGGTTGTCTTGACCACTTTCAGCACGTCGGTCATTTCTCTGATCGGCACCATCTGCTGATTATTCATGCCCATACGCAGATTGGATATATTTTCAATAGCCTGCTTTACATGGGTCTGCTTGTAAGCTTCAACGTAAATGTATCCTTTAACCCCTTCGACCGTTAAAGCGGATTTTATCTGCAGCGGCTCGGAAGAATTTTGAAATGCAATGAATTTCCGCATCAGCTGTAGACATGTTGCTCGTTCTTCCCCGATCTTACATTTGACCATCCACAAATTCGGATCTTTTACGTTAGGCAACAAGCTCTGCTTAGCGATATCCTCGGATGTCTGAGAATCAGCAAGAGCCCGATCCCGAGCACTCGTTTCAGCGTAGCGGGACCTAAATGAATCCAGAGTACATTAAAAAAATAATCCGAAGAACAAGCTCGGCACGACATTTCCCTATCGAGTCGCCGGTTACTTAAACGATTAGCAAATATGATCACTAGATTCATAAATAATGGAAGTTTATTGTCCTTGCACGGAGCGAGTGCCCCCTCTAAGGTTCAGACAGCGAGACAGCGGAAGGAAAAACGTACAAAACACTGCAACAGCATTACTGTACTGTTACTCTGTATCCAGCCATCCTACAATTGCACATAAGACTAGTCACTAATAATGCAACAGACCTATAGTACGCTTCGATTTCATCTTCCTTCTCGGTATGCAACATCTGCGCCAGTCGCCGGTGGCCTTCAATGTCCCGAGCGGAGGGCCCACCTTCGGGTTCGTTTCTGTAGTTGTGGCGATCGTTTTCAATAATGGCAGCTTCCACGCCGTCTTCCCACTCTTCGTCCTCTTCATCATCATCGTCAACTTCTGCTTCATCAAGGATGTATCCGTTAGCTGGCTTCTTCTTCTTTTTACGGCCTTTTCTTCCTTTGTCGTAATCCTAATATGATGCAAAATCTTTTTTTAAAAAAGGCCATATTTTGGGCAAAAATGATAAGCTCAAAAGTGATAAGCTCAAAAGTTCTCGATTACAAGTGTAATCTGCAAGGATGTAATCCACATTTACAGAATGAAAAAAATTTAAATTAGTGAACCGTAAGGTAAATAAAATTTAAATCAATTTAAATTTAAGAAAAAATTACTACTTACCTCATCATCCTCTTCTTCTTCTTCGTCATATTCGTCATCGTCTTCATCTAATTCATCATCGTCTTCCTGTTCGGCGTCGCGATGCGAAGTCTTCTGTTTTTTACTTTTGCTAACCTGGAAGTTAATTACCAAAAATTTAATTTACAATTCGGGGCCGATGTGGGTATCACGCTTTGTGATTGTTCAAGTTCAATTTCAGTTGAAGACCTAAAGCCACATTATTGATTATGTACTTGAGGTGTTCTAGGTACCCTAAAAACCAGTCTGTATATTACGTGATGTGCAACATACCTCCACTTCGTTCTCCGAATTTTCATCGCTGTCCGACATGTTCAAACGAAGACCCGGAACCCCAATCACAGCAACTTGCAGCAGCGAAGTGCGATGCACCAAACCTCAGCTAGAGCTTAGGGACAACAAACAGTTTATACGTATCCGCAATTTTTCCAGAAACAAATAGGATAAAAACTTCGGAAACTAACTTTAACTTGCTAATTGCAGCTTTCAGTTTATTATAATTACAAATCATTTAATCATAGAGCCATGATAGAGGGACATTTCAATCAGCGCACGTTCTAGTATGTATTTGTGAATCGCACCTGGAATCTTTAAGGAATACCAACCAGAAACGGATTCTGAAAAAAAACGTACCTCGTTTTCTGTTCCCGGTCCTGTTTTGAGTTTCACAGAAAAGATTCTTAAGAAGCTGCAAAAGTTAAACTATAAAAAATCTATATTATTGTTTTAAAATTTAACGTTTCCCAGTTTCTGCTGCGTCTAGAGCTCATGCAAGACGTGTACAGAGATATGCCAGTGCACCACATCATGATTGCGCAATAAAATTCGTGACGGTGAAGATTTGACGCTGGCCCATAGACACATATGCTATAACTTAAATTTTCAAAAATTCATAACTTTGTTAATTTTCGCGTTAATTTTTTGTGAGTATGCTTTAAAAATATAGGATAATATCTACTATTAGGCAAAATGATTTTTTTTCTGTTTCCATCTTAAGGTTTGGCACTGAGAGCATACGTGGTTAACATAGCCGCCTACGAGAAATCTTTAAATCAAATTAAATGACTTCTCCATAGACTTACATGCTAATTACCTAGGCACATAGTGCGCAACCCTAAAAGAAAATCGAAAAAACATTTGTTATGCCTACTAGTATATATTATTCTGTATTTTTAAAGCATATTAAACAAAAACTAACGCGAAAATTAACAAAGTTATGAATTTTTGAAAATTTAAGTTATAGCATATGTGTCTATGGGCCAGCGTCAAATCTTCACCGTCACGAATTTTATTGCGCAATCATGATGTGGTGCACTGGCATATCTCTGTACACGCAAGACACGATGTTTTGACGCACATGCGAAGCCAGTAGCTCGAGAAAATAACAAGATCTCTGCCCCCATGAGCTGTCGTAGAATGCTGAGCCCGAGGTGCGGTGAACATTGCCACTAAGCTAAGGGATAGATAAGCCAGCCATACTTGCCAGCCATGCGTGTACTACTTGAAAAAACGACACAAACGGAAAACCGTGGAGACGCTACGACGGCTATGCATACATACTGTTTTTTTTTTTTAATTTTGACTTCAGTTAAGTTCCGCTTTATGATAACAATGATATCCAAAAGCTTTCTTAGGCACAATTACCTAGAGGAATATTATTTAGAGGAAATTTGTAAAATAAAGATTTACCGCTTATCCTGTAATATAAATGTTGGAGTCAGATAGTTTTAAAACTGATCGAAATTGAACCATCGCGATACTTCACTCACTTCATTGGCTTCCACTTTCCATTTCAAAGGTATGAATACTTACTACTCTAGGGTAGTGTAGAAGTACTTGGCAGTTTGTACTCGTACTCTTTTGCGCTTTTTTAATGGTGGAACCTATTAGATTTTTATTCACTTTTTACGATTTTAACAAAGACTCCGGTAACTACTGTTCGCAAGAGTTTCTGCTGTCTTGTGACATGGATTGTTAGTTTGCAAATTGAGATGACGAATTTTGTTTGGTACTTACTGGTACTGCTGTATGTAGCCGTTGGTCGTTGTCCCTTCTTTCTACCATCTCATTCTGACTTATATAGTTATGTTTGTAGAAATTGTAATAACAAAAAATTAGTTTTTGGATCATACTTATATAAGTTTATAATTTATATTGAATATTAAGCATAAGGATAAGGGATTAAATGCATAAAATCTATCTGTTGCCGGTTCTTATTGTTACTGTCATTTCTGTTGTTTTCAGTTTTCTGAATATCCTTTTAACTTTTAATTCGGCCAGATGGCCTCAGGTCCTTACAAGCAGATCGTACATTTCGAAAAATGGACATCAAAACAAATTCTGTTGTTCTTTGGATGCCTAGCTTGAGTGCGTTAACAGTAAGGAAATATGGCTACAGATACATTTGGACGTTTGCAGTGTCCAAGTTTAAGTCAGCTTCAAACTTTGTATGACGAAATCTGGAAAACACGGGATTAAGCTGTGCAGTGTGGCAGTTCTGAAACCCTACATTTTTTGCCATTCGATGATTAGAAGCTATCCGGGTGATCCGCAAAGAGTCGTTAATCTTAGTGCATGATAATATTATGTTGAATTTTTTTGTTAATAAATTTTGGTAATTTTATGTTTGCCTAGAAAAATTTTCCTCATGCATTGCTGATTTTTGTCCTCCATTCGTGCATTTTGTCCTACAGATACCATTTCTGTAATAATTCATAATCTGGAGACTGCAAAAATTTCGTCATTAAAAACATGATGCATATAACATATTGCGTTTCATTTGGGTCTTTTTTACTTTTTCATGCAGCGAAGGCGCGTTTGCGTAATTCGTACATTTGCATAATCGTGGTATTCTCGTCAGTGCAATTACCGAAGCTATGACCAATACCATAAAATTACTAAACCTTAAGGTTTAGTAGTATTATGCCAGTACATATACGTTACTAGTAAACATAGGTATTCGCTACTGTATTAAGCTTCTTTGTATGTGCTATTCACGTTTTTGTATTTTCATAACGCTCGTTTAGGGTTTGGTTCGGTAGTTTTCGAGATGACACAACGTTTTGTAAGTATCAGGGACTTCATTCATCACAAAACCTGTTTTTGACACATCTGTATAAAATACTTGAGAGGATTTGTGCCGGGCATGTTTGCATTGGCTTTCTGATGAGCCGTATTTTGCCGCTTAATATTTTACGCATATAGTGTTGCTTGATCATAGTTTTATGGCAAGAAAATGCCGTAAGTTATAGACCGTTAATGCGTTGATGCATGTGAGATACCTGTGTAATTTACCTTAATTCTTTACGTGTAAGTACTAGTATATAAACGAGCTTTCGTGAATGGAAGTCTAATGCAATGGTCCGTAGTCCGTACGTTCCCGGGTCAGTCAGGCCCGACTCAGTCTTCTCACTGATTTCGAACTTATGGTTAACTCATAATTTACGTTTGTGTGGTAAGTACTTGTACTTACTTTTGATTATTTTCTCTTCCTGGCCAAACATGTACCGCTTTAAGCACGTAAGTAGTGTACTTTCTGTTTTTAAAAACAAATTGTTGCATCTCTTGTTACATTCTGTATCGTATATCCTATGTGGTGGTGTGGATTACTTATATGTATAGGGGTACGGGTAAATCTAAATGTGACATTGATTACGACGATATTTAAAATTAAAAAATCTATGCGAAAGTTTTACTATCTAGTATCTACTCTAGTCAGGTGTGAGAGCTATAGTGCTCGCTGCAGGCTTGCAAGTTATTACAAAGCATGGGAAGATGCCCTGAGGCTCCACTTCATAGTTCATACAGTAACAGTTTGTCGTCTGGCGGTTTGATGACGTGTAAAAACGGCAGTGCAAATGACATCTTCGTAATGATTAGGACCCAGGTGGTAGTATTAATAACTGAATTATATACGCTGTTAATCAATGGAATTATCGTTAATTATATGGCGTGACTATGGCTGTGGGCCATAATAATTGTTACCGCACTGAGTAATTTGTTTCAACAGAAATGTTCCGACGCATTCCGATCTTTTGATTAAGCAGTTGGGACCTAAAGGTCACCACCAAGACTATTATCCATAAACCGCGCGAAAACATGTTTCTGACGTGTTGTTCACCGTCTTGTGACTCTTGTCTTATAATAAGAGTACCTGTACTTCGGCAGCAACCGTGCGTTGTGCGGTCTCGAGCTCAGTTTGAATTCCATTTTATCACTGTACGAAATGTACCTTTCTTTATCAGCGTGTCGATTGGTTCCATAACCCATTAGCTGCGTGTATGGTGCCTGTTAATTTATTTTAAGTAAATTATGTGTGACCGTTGGCTATAAAGGGCAAATATAAAAACCAGTTGATCACATTGCGAGGCTACTTTTATTTCCACGATTAGCGCTCATGTGATTATTCTTTTCCTTGCAGCTTGGTAGCCTCCTGGCTACAAGGACATTGCGTGGCTGGCATGTTTCCGGTTGCAGGACAGCATAGCTGTGACAGGAGCCGCTAGTGTGAAGCGCATTTCATCTGCATTGTATTTATGTAGAGTGATTGATTTATTGATACGGCAAACTGGAGAGAACTTACAATCAGAGAAGTGGTGTAATGTAAAAGAGGTGGAGAAAGATAAGGGCGTGGTTGTGCCTCTATAGCGTAGTGTACGGAGCCGATGTTGTTGCCTGGTAAAAAGAGAGCGGGATTACTCTGGTCCATGCCACCGGCAATTTCACAAGTGTATTTCCTCAAAGTCTTAACGTGCATGTGCCATGGAATGACCGGAAAGGCAGACTGTGGCATAATTTTTTTGTCCATTTGAACAACAAATGTGGAGAGGATTATCGAAAGCAGGGATTTCAATATTATGACATCCTGGACTAGCCGCGTTCATCGACGAGCCGAAACCATGAGGCAGGCAGTCACTAATTGCGGCCATTCACATGATCCTTATCCGAAGAGATTTGAAAAGTAAGCACCAGTCCTGTAAATTTTTTGGGTGCTTCCGGATGTTCAGGGAGGTTCTATATAACTATTGTTTCATTTGTGTTTTTGGTTTTACTTTGTCAGGTTATTTAGGCCAGCAGATTCTGACACGCTTTTTGCAGTTCAATGTTAATGTGAACGTTACATGCGGATTAGATGTAAACATTATTAAACAGTAGTATTACCAATATTTGATTCGTAATTTAATTGACATGATATGCCTTGGATTAAAAATTCTGCTGTTATATTTCGCTGATTTATTGCCCGTCTGGTTTGGCTTTCTAGAGTGAAGTTTGGTATTCCTGTGGAACAAGTGTGCAAAAATGATATTCCAGCTCCTTTACTGGTAAGTCGCGAAAACATGATGGTTTAGTGATTTGGTATTATATTTTAAGTTATCGAAAACTTGGATTTTCCGGAGTCGTACTGCCAGGAATATGTGCGCTGGTATTTGTGTAAGAAAACATTGATAACTTGAGCCAACAAGCGGGTGCCATATTACATGCGATTTAGTCACCACGCAAATAGACGGCAGGAAATGTATGTCGATCTAGGAAAGTTTTAAGATTTATTCAGGAACTGTTGTCGAAAAAATTGACTGATTAGCCATTTTCTGAATCAAGCTTTGCTGCTAAGTTTACTTCAGACTTTGTGATTAACTCTGGGCGTTCAGCAGTTTTTCTCCGGCGTTCAATTACTTTAACGGTTTAAAGGTTGCAGTCGGGTTGGGTGCCTACGCTTCTTCGGTGTAGGCGACTGTTTTAGGCCATCAGTCGCAAATAAAATCAATAAGATTGCCGGGAATACGGGTTAGCTGCCTCGCTGCCTTATCCACGCGGTCGACTTCCTTTTCGCTCCTTTCGTCTAAACTGTGCCATGGAATTCACACATACCGTCCGAGAGGCTAAATTAAAGTGCTTTAAACAAACTGCAAACTTTGGTGTTTAACTTTATTCGATTTAGTTTACAGCGACGGCTAATTGCTGATGCTGCCTGCATCCAGAAGCGATTCTGTTTTTGGAACAGTTTAATTGATTGCATTGCGAAAAGCGCTAGACTGCTGCATGAATGACGTCGGTCAGAGCTTTTTTTAACACTTGTAACAGTCTATTTCTTGCATCATCTAGCGGCTGAAATATGGATTGGAGCAGACGTAGTAAAGAAGCTACTAAATGAAGTTGTTAAGCACCGAGCACGAAGAGAACGCTGATGAAGCAGAGAAACATTCATTCGTTTCAGTAGAATACATTAACAGTTGCAGTGAAGTTATTTAATACCGGCCGTCTTTGAAACAAGTTTGAACTGTTTGTCTAAGCGTAAGTTCATGTGCACAACACTGTATGTTTTAGGTACTTATCCTGAAGATCAATAAACAAGGTCCGTACAAGAAGGACGTCTTCAGAGCCCCCGGTCATCAAGGCAACATCAAAAAGCTGATACATTTTTTACAAACTGGCCGGCTTGTCAATATAGAGCATTATTCCGTATACACCATTGCATCGGTCCTAAAGGTACCGCATTAATTTTTTTGTTCGCACAGTCAATGAACAACCCTTTCGGATTCTACGTAGTTTCGTAACGCACGGCGGCTTGTGATTTATTTACAGAAATTCTTACGAAAGCTTCCGGGTGGTATCTTTGGCCAGAATTCTGAAGAGCGGTTATTTGATATCATACAAAATGATAACCCCGAGGAGCAACGAAAACAAATCCATGGGTACCGCTTCAAGATCGCATTTTTCTGAAAAAAAATTTTCATATTGCACAATATGTTCAGAAGAATCTAAAATAATCTGAAATTGACGTAGTAAAATGATTCTGTCGTCTGTTTTGTATCGGAATAGGTGATTTGCTGTTAATTCCGTTTATTTTGTGCAGGGTGATCGGAGATTTGTCGATATTTGCTCAAAGACTTCTAGTATTACTGTTCGGCACATTCCGCGTTATTGCCATGCATGCGGAGAATGGCGGCCAGTCTGGAATGTCCGCGGAAGCTTTGGGTGTAAGCGTCGCACCAAGCTTTTTCATGTCATGCATCAGTAACGGCAAGCAGGCAAAATTGGAGGACATTCAACGCTATAAGCTGGCATCCAGAATTATTACCTTCATGATCGACAATTTTGCCACGAATAATTTGTTTGGACGAGGCAATTACGAGTATTATGCCCGTATTACGGGTCGCGTGTTGCGCGTGGACGAGGACTGGATTTTTGCTTTCGACTATCCGCATGACAAACTTAAATTAGCAACCACCCGCCTTAGTCGTACGTAAAAACAGGCGACCTAGACAACTGCGCGCTTCTGGCATCTTGATGTCTGAAAAACTGCTCATTTTGTAGAACACAAGTTGGCTCACAAGCATAGTTGGCTGCAATTAGAGGCACTGAAATGGGGCATGGCTGTAACGAACGAATGTAAGTGTGTTTCATAACATTTTACTGGATAAAGTATGGATTTGTTGAGTGTGGATAGGTATATCTCCATCCGAAGAAACTGCAGGAAGTATCCAAACCGATCTCAGTCCAGTTGATATGCGATATGCAAATATTCCCAAGATTGTGATGTCTGCTAGCGACCACGGGAGTTTTGGACAGGTACGACTGTTTATTCGTCGTAGATCTGTGAATTATTTGTGCACGTATAAAGTTCCTTGTCTTAAGCGCGAAAATATGCTTAAGTGTTTCGCTTGGGAAGTCAGAGTAAAGTGTAGGCACAAGATATACAAGGCATGTGTGATAAATTATTAATATTGTAGTTGATTAGTGATTGCATGCTGGCAACTTCGCCAATATATGTAATGTTGGTAATATTTGTTACGATGTAGTCAGGCTAGTAATGCAGTATAGCTACTGACAAAGATTACGATCATACTTTTTCCCTTAGTGTTCCGGCGTGGCAATTGCGTATCCCGAGAAATGGGACGTGACTAGTGAAGGTGAAACCGACGAAGTGCCTTTGTCGTTTGCCGAACTGAAAGACATAAATTGTTACGCAGAAAACACACGGAGTCTCTCCTTTTTACCTATCGTTCATGAGCGTCAAGCCGCTCGAATGCGCACACGCTCCGAATGGTTCCTAGCGCCCGCGAGGTCCGTATTTGATGTGGATATTGAGGAATCCACGAGTGTTCCCGCTTCCAGCTGTGATGATAGAATGCGTGCTAACCGCAGTTCCCTGTCCTTTTCCAGTCAAGAGCATTCCCGCGATACTGCTGAAAATATCAGCGACCGTGCATTTTTTGTCGTGGACAACTCACCCTTGGTGGGCCGTCTGACGAATCTTCCCGCATCCCGTCATGAATCGTTCGGTACCGAGTCCGAGCAGCGCTTCCGTCATTTGACACTAAACCCATCTTCGGCTGCTGTTCAACAGAAATGGACCTGCTGAGCAGCATGACGGGATTATCGCTCATCTTTTTGTAGCTTTTTTACTGTATTACGGAAGTTGTTTGGGTCCAAGGGGAACACTTTTGTTGGATACCCCAGTTGTTGTTGGACGTTCAAGATGGAATCCACTCCGAGATTCAGGCTTTAAGCGAAATTTTTCGCTATTGTTAACGGGTTCTTCCTTATTTGTGGAGCCTTTGTTGATGCCGGAATTGAGCTCTGTCAGCTGCCTTTTTGATTTTGACATTTTGCCTGACTGACAGGACAAATTGCCGGTTAATTCTTCCATTCCTCTTTGTTGTTTAAATTTCAACGGCGTTCTTGAATCTTTTGTTAACTGCAGTAGTTGTTTGGTGATTTGTACGTACCTATTTAAAGTAACGGTTAAATGACCGTAAGGTTGCAGTATTTCACTATGGTGTTTTGTATTGTTTTTACGGTGATTTTTCGTTTTTCACTTTCTCGCTGAGTTAAAATGCATTAGTCAATTAAACGAATTGTGACCGAATATGGTACGGTATTCACGGTACACATGTGGTTGGTGCTTTTAAATGGACACGGTATGTTTCATTTCTGTACTAGTACTGTACATTATGGTAAACACTGTAAGGATTTATGTCTGGACAACTTCGATATTTTATATTCGGTTATTAATAAGTGCCTGAGATCAATTTCAAATTTCCTTCCAGGTTTTCACTTTTTCCTAATAGTAACAATACGAATGAATACGAGTAAGGAGCGTGGTAGGTTAGTTCGTTCTGAAGTGCACAATAAGTACTTTATACGAGAAGTTCCAAACTTCCAGTTATAAAATAAACAAGGGTGCGACTATTGTCGTCCCCTTTTTAAAAAAATAAACGCCCCCATAGGTTATTGTCACCATCTTTCTCACCCCCTTTGACTATTGCCACTCTTTGGTCATTTCTTATGAGAAATTTTTGTTAAGATGACCTTTCAGCGAACTTAATGGTAAGGAGTCCGAGTAATAAGGATAATTGTCTGTGGACCCTGTTGCATCAGTTCCGGGGGCGTGATTCATCATTCCACCCAACTACGACGTCAAACTTCTCCCGTACGAGTGTACGGCGTTTACGCATGCGCAGCAACAATCGTCACTGGTCGAGAAGTTTCTAAAATCTAACCGTAAAGCAAAGGTGCTGGGATGCGTACACAAGTACCATGGGAAAACAGAAACATTAATACAGTAGTTTTCGTTTTCAAAATCAAAAATTTAAATATTTTTAGCTAATAGCAGTGAAAGTACATGAGGGCACAGCTAATGGGTCGTTAGCTTTTTAATTTTACGAGTACTTGTTGTAACTTGCATGAAATCAGTTTGGAGGTGAATCGCGAACAACTCTAATAAGGGTTATCAATTTATCATTAATTTTGCGTTTTCCAGTTGGGAAGTTGGTGCTAACCATAAGTTCAATGAGTGTAGTCACTGTAGTGTAGTGACTGTGATCGTGCACTGACAAGATTTGAGTCGGATTTGAGTTCTGCATCTTTGCTCCAGTAATTGAGCTTGTCGATCTATCCAAAAATGGTGGATTATAGCAAATGGAAATCGATTGAGGTGAGTTCATTCTAGTTTGAACTGTAGTCTGTATGAGTCGCCAGCAGGAAAGACCGAAAAGTACTTAACTCATTAACTTTACGATCACATCCAAGTAACAGTTCAGAACTAGGAGTAGGAGTGTAGAACTAAGAAAAAGTCCGCAAGCCTAGCTGTTTCGTGCCAGAGATCATAATTCTCCCTTTAACGTTTGTGAAGGTTTCCGATGATGAAGATGATACCCATCCAAATGTGGATACGGGCAGTCTGTTTCGATGGCGGCATCAAGCGCGAGTCGAAAGAATGGACGAGTTTGGCAAGAGAAAACAAGACGCTCAGGAAGCATACGAAGCGTAAGTCATTTGTGATCCTTCTCTGTTTCTCATGTCGCTTACTTTTATAATACTGTTGCACCGTTTCCACGCCATATGCTTTGGTATCAGCTTATCACGGAGTTCACCACGATTTTAATCCATACGGCATATTTTCTCATTATCGTTTTGGTGCATGTTTTTATTAAATTTTCATTTATATAGAACGTTTTTTACCGCCAGGACGATGAATTTCCCCAGTTTATTTGACGTTTTCTGCACGTGTTGTTGTCGATTGATTAAGTTTCATCTTCCATAATCTGGCTGCGCTTAGTTTTGAGAAATCCTCAGGATTTCTGGAAACTATTGTTAGAATGTGTTACCGGCGCAGTATTGACGACACACAAGTGGTTTTGCTGTTGAAGTCGGTTTAAGACTTCGCGAATACATACGCTGTCGGTCGAGTAAGTTGCTGGCGAAATTCCAGTCTTATGATTCTTATTCCACAGAGCGCGAAAACTTCGATTGGAGAAGCAGCAAGAACTTCAAGCCAAGGCCGACGATCCTGATTTAAAGAAGGACTTGGAAAAAGCAAATAAGGATGAAACAGCAACCAAGGAAAAATTGGACGAAGTAATGAAAGAGGAAAAGGTGAATAGCTATCATACGAGCAGTCCGTCGATGCAATGATACATTTTTAAGTTTCTGTTATTGTGCCCTGCCGGCCTTACCGTCTACGGAAATCTTTCGATTTTGTTTTGATTATTTGTAACTGTTCTGGTATTTTTATGCAGAAACAAGCCTGGAATGTGGATACGATCTCAAAGCCAGGATTTAGCAAAACGATTGTTAACAAACCCGCGAAGCCGGTGACGAAGGACATGACCGACGAGGAAAGGGAACAGTACTATGTAAGGCTGCTCATTCCTATTTCGCTTGTGTCTTAGGCGTTGATTAAAAGGGTTTCGATAATTTTCCAGGTCGATTTCGTTAAGAAGAATGAAGCGGATATCAAGAAGTTTGCTTTTTTCCGAAATTATGATGATAGCCGGGAATTTCTGCAGTCGCACTCCGAATTGGTGTGCGAAGAAACTGCAAATTATATGGTGTTAATGTGTTTGAATTTGGAAATGGAGCAGGTGCGTTGACAAATAACAAGACAATCCAGTTGGGTTGAGACACCTTTTTACTTAATGGATGTTAGCAGTAGAACTAAAGTTACTCGTCGCTGACGAAATGGGCGAAAAATTGAATTACTGTTTTCGCCCTTTGTACAATAAATAATGATCACTGTTGTCCATTTTTGCAGAAACATGCGCTTATGGACCACGTTGCTCATCAGGCGATTGTGATGCAGTTCATTTTAGAACTCGCCAAGCAGCTGGATATGGATCCTCGCGCTTGTGTTAGCTCCTTTTTTAGCAGAATTAAACTTGCTGATAAACAGTACAAGGATGCCTTCAACGATGAATACACGGCATTCAAGGGCCGCATTCAAGAGCGCGCTAGAATTAGAATACAAAAAGCCATGGAGGAAGTGGAAGAGGTGAAATATTTAACAACGCTTCATAACAGTTTGTTTTGTTTTACCTATTTTTTGTCGATTGTAGGAAGAAAGAAATGCCCGTCTTGGTCCAGGTGGATTGGATCCTGTGGAAGTTATGGAAGAATTACCAGAGGTTAGCTTGCATAATATATTCTTGCTCATGAAAACGGGCCAGATAGTCAGCAAGGCGTGGACTTTTGTATGTCGTTCTTTTGAATAACTTGCTTATTCTAGATCATCGTTCAGTAATGTTTGAACGATGTTTTCTGACTTTTCAGGAGCTGAGAAAATGTTTTGAATCGCGTGATACGGAAATGTTGAAGGAAGTGCTGGCAAGTCTGGATAAGGACAAAGCCATTGAATATATGGACAAATGCGTCAAGTCTGGTTTATGGGTACCGGAAGGTGGCGCTTCGAATGAACCGGAAAACATCAAAACGACAGAGGCAGTAGCGGATGGATCGTCCTAGTTCGTCCTTATGGAATTCTGCAGCAGCTTTGCATTCACTTCACCCAATGTAATTCACAAGCGGTCGAATGTTTTTATTTTTGTTTGAAGACTAGTCGTTCGTTTGACCAGGAATGGATTCCAAAGTTTCTTGTGTTCTTTAATTATTGTTGTCACTGGCCACAGTTGCGACTAAATTTACGCACGGACCATTTTGGTTTTTAAGAAATTGCACAGCTTGTACCGTAAGTACAGTATACAAGTACTTACTTATCACACCACACTGCATTTTTTATCGCTCACCTTTACAATTGTTAGAGTTAAGGTTTGTCGGCGTGCCAGTTTTACCGTGTCTCGTGTGTGTTCGTTGTAGGTGCTTGTCTGACTTAATAAACTGGAACGCCTTTTTAAATTTACCACAGTAAAACGTACTACTCTTTCGACGGATTCTGGAAATCAACTAGAATTGACTTTACACCGTCCGAAATGAGAGTTGATAGACGGTATTTATTATCTTCTACGCTTCTACCATCATCTGTCGCTAGCTCCATTGACCTGCGGGAGTCGACCGGCTAGTCGTACATAGTTGTTCTGCTTCGCTATAATCGTACACGAAGACCGCCTACATTTAGGCTGCAATAGTCCCCATTCGCTCTTTTATGGACTGCCAATATACAATTGGCTGCTGTTATGAAAATTAGGCCTGTGAAAGAAGGCCATATTTCAGCAGCATTTGCCATAGCGGTTCCCGGCTTCCCTCAGCCACACATAAACGAGACTGCAAGTTTTGTAAATCACAGTACACGAACTGCGGAGAACCTTCGGTGCTGGATGAACACATGTAGGGAATATCGGAAATCCAGAATCCCGTGATTTTGTTTTTAGTGTCGATTACTGCTTAACTGATCAACAATGGTGCGCATGCACGCGCCCGGGTAAGTGAGATTCCGCTTCTGTTTTGACTGATTCTGTGGTACTGAACGTACCTAGTGCGACTAAAGAACCTCAATGTGGATCTGGATCCTCACTGATTGCATCCATTATTGCGCAGTTTTAGGAGTTCTTTCTTTTAGGAAGGGTATTTCCCAGTCCGCACTACCTTATCGCCGAAGCGTTCCGACCGTAAGTACCTCCAAATAGTTGTTTCCGTGAGGTGATAGTGCGGGTTTCCGACTTTCTTTGCATTTAATTGAGTTCCGAATTGTATATCTGTTTCTATCACAAGTAATTCCATCAATGATTGGTTATTGGCTTATGGTTATCCTTGTGTTTATTAGGATGACTAAGTAATGTGAGGGTCTTTGAGTTTTTCAAATGGTTAAATCGATAAATCGAAAGAAGTACATTAGGATGAAATGGCATCCTCGAAACATTCGTATTGTTGCAGTGGCAAAAAACCAGCCCAGAGGAAGTGGTGGAGAGCATGTGCAAATTGGCAAAAAAAGGCCTCACTCCTTCCCAGATCGGTATGATTCGTTTGAAGCCGTTTTTGCAGTTTCTTTATTATTAACTATGTTACCCATGGCATTCGGTTAAAAATTATGTCTTGTTCAGGTGTGATCTTGAGGGATTCCCACGGTATTGCGCAAGTGCGCTTCTTGACGGGTAACAAGATCCTGCGCATTCTCAAGTCCAAAGGCTTGGCGCCGGATCTTCCCGAGGATCTTTATCATTTAATCAAGAAAGCCGTAGCTATCCGGAAACACTTGGAACGCAATCGAAAAGTATGCTTGATTTTGGTCATTTATGTACTTAACTATTCAAGTAAACTTATTTATATTTTTATGTTGGTTGTGGTTATTCCTGTCGTATCAAACAGTCAGAGTATGGCGTTATGCAATCGTGTCTTGGATTTTAGGACAGAGATGCTAAGTTCAGATTGATTTTGGTGGAGTCGAAGATCCATCGTTTGGCGCGTTACTTCAAAAGCACACGTGTGCTTCCACCGACTTGGCGATAGTGAGTATTTGCATCGTTTAAAGGAAGATATTTTTTTATAAAGTCTTTCTGTGATTCTGTAATGGCTAACGGTTAGATTTTTTCTGAAAGGGAAAAGTAATAAACTAAAAAATTCCAAAGAAATTAAAAAAGATCAATTCTGCAACTTTTCCTGCTGATAGTAACAATAACTTTTCCTTTGCAGTGAATCCGCTACCGCCTCCGCCCTTGTCGCTTAATTTTTGGATGTCTTGTTCATATGGAATTTTATTATGCGAAAATTACAATTTCCGAATAAAAACTGATGGCGTTTGTGTGGCATAACGTTCGTGAGACACGAAGTTGCAGTAGTGTAATATCAGTGATAGTTTTGGACAACAGCGATAAGGAATTTTACTGCACCGTATTCCGAAACGTTGCAGGTTAAATATATTTTGTTAATTTTAAAAACATTAAGTTGTCTTCTGGTTACACTTTACATGCTAACAAGTAAATTTACAATTTTACATAATTCCTGAATTCATATTTTATGGAGAGTAAAATAATTTTTTTTTACCATGTTCAATATCGCGCAAAAAATTACGATGAAAAATGAGACACTGCAGCTAACTCTTCAAAGCTTTAAGCGATGTATAACAAGTTAATAACCGCTTTTTTTGTAGTACGCGCAGTAACTATTCTCCCAGCTTCAGAATTTATATTTAAGAAGGCGCTAAAGATCAAGTATCAGATACGACAAATAACAACCTGTTCCCAAAAAGTAAGTATTGGCCGTACAATCAGCAGTCCCATACTCCCATTAAATTAAGTAAGGTAACTGGACAGTGGACGTAAGCAAAGGCTTTCTTCGAAAACCGAAATTCTATCTCAGAAAAACAATCAGCAGTAATATTTTTGTTGATTGAGTGAATTCGCTCCGGCAATGTACGCCAACGTGCATTTCCAACATTTTGAACTTCCTAACGTTAACCATAAAAACGCTCGTTCGTTCAACTTATAACTATCAGTTTTCGTCAGCAATCTTTTATGTAATAAAAAAATTGGTGTTTCATGGAGACCTACGTTACTTTGTTCAGAGAATCAATGAAGCAAGAACTGAGTCATGCTCGAACGATTTCAGTTATTAAGTTTTTTAAACCAATGGTTTTCCAACTCAAAGCAACGAAGAACCGTGAATGCGCTTGCAAGGGTTCTGCACGAATCCCGTAGTTTGGGACCCCAGCTTTATTTCCAGTAAAGACTGAACAGAAACATGATAAGGATAGACAGTATTTTATGCACGCGGACGTTCCTTCTTTCCCTTAAACAAAGCTAGCAGAGAAACATTGGCGACCTTGACAACTTTGAAGCGGACTCCGGGAATATCTCCGACGGCGTGTCCCTTTCGACCGAATCCAGCGACCAAAACTTCGTCGTTCTCCTGTGCAAGAGTAAAACATGAAAATGCCGCTTTGCTGAAATGCCGCTTTGCTATTTTCTCCCCCAAGTGTACTTACTTCAATAAAATTAAGACAGCCATCACGAGGAACGAATGCCGTCACTTTCTTTCCGTTTTTGATAAGCTGAACACGGACACACTTCCTAATAGCGGAATTCGGCTGCTTGGCTTCCACACCTCTAATAATCGAGAAAGTGCAACAACACATACGAAATCACCATGAATTAATGGGAACTTACACTTTTTCAAGAACGATTCCCTTTGCGTGGGAAGCTCCTCCAAAAGGATTGGCTTTCCACCTGGTACCCAAGTGAGCTTTCTTGTAGTCCTTATCGGCCCATTTCTGAACACGCCGGTTATTCCTGTGTTTGCGCGCAGTCCGAATTCCGTGAGGTTTGCCCATTCTGGCGATAAATTCAAACCCCGAGATGGCAAACCAAGTGCGAAAATCAACGAGGGTTCGTTACTGTTATTACGATTAGAACTACACTTGAAAATCAGAAAATCCAAAGATCCGTGCAGCTTCGTCTGTAAAATTGCGAATACAGTACTAGTACAGTACTTACTCGTAGTAGTCTAGTGAGTCTACTCGTAATGTATTGACAACCAGTCTATACTACTGGCTACCGGTTCCATACGGTACTCGCTATGGACGAAACGCTCATATTTTCAGGGGGCGCCACTCTACAGACTACAGCCGGTAGTATTTTTAGGTATTTTTTTCCCAAATCCCACGTCTTGTGAAACCTTGAATCCAATGTTTCTAACCGAAAATTTCATATTCTGAGTGATTTACAACTAATACATGGCTGGCATTATTAGCATTAAGTTATCTAGGAGCAGAATAGATGTTAACTGTTGAGTGTAAGAAAGCCGCTGAACCGTTTTCGCTTTGGTTACATGACATCCAATAGTACCAATACTAATTCCATACATACGTACTCGAAAAGTTGAAAGGACACTTAAAAAGAATAATCATAATATGTTTAATATTATTGGGATACCAAAAAATGATTACTGGACTGATAATAAAAATGATCCTTACGGGATTGTAGATGGCGCGAGGACAGACCCTAGACTCGTAAGTAAGTACTGCCGTAGCACCCAGGCTTCTAGCCTGCAGAGTGCAGACTGATTCATCATCACTGCCACATCGATGTTGTTGCTATCATGGTCTTAGCAGTAACTCTGCTGGCACACAAAATTAAAAATAATACTGCAGTAAAATCGGGATTTTAAAGTTTTAGCTGATTAGTAATGGTCCACCGTCCAGGAGATAACTGGGTAATGTGTTTATAATTTATTTTTGTGATTTTAATTCTTTTTTCATGGAGTGAATTGTGTTTGTCCCTTGCACTGCATTAGCTGTCGACGGTCAGAACGTTATTCCATGTGTTTTGTGGTTTGGCTGTCGTGGTGCATGTTGATTCTGCACGACCAACTGGTTTCCGGCGAAACGAATTTTATTACGTCCTCGTTTCGTGTTGAGTGAAAATCTGTCGGAAAATCAATTTTTGAATCGTGTTGCTTCACGTGGTTCGAAATATGGCGCAAACAGAACATCCTTGCTACACTCTGATCAACTTCCCAGCGGAAACTGACGCTCCCACAGAACAGCAGCTGAAAGCGGATTTAGGTCGGTGCTCATCTTCAGTCTGTAATGTCTGTTCAACTCTGTTGGAGCTACCATTCAGACATTCTTTGTAAGGTGATTTTTACTTGCTAAACAGAAAAGGGGGATACGAAGACAAAGATCGAAGCCTTAGAAAAAACCATTCGTTGTTTATTGGGAGGCGAGAAGTTCTCATCCATCTTGATGACTATCATCCGATTTGTTCTACCTTCTCAAGACCATACAATAAAGAAGCTTTTGTTGCTATTTTGGGAAATCGTACCAAAGACGCATCCAGACGGAAAACTGCTTCACGAAATGATCCTTGTGTGCGATGCATATAGAAAGGTATACAGCGTCAGCGGCGCATTTATTTGTAATATCTGGTACTAATGTGCACAGTTGCAAAAGGCATGTACTGCAGTACTTAAAACACTTCAACATGTAAAAACTTTAGTACGTTTTTAATTACAACTTTTCATTGGATACAAGAATGCTGCATCCTCGGGATCGGAAGTTTCGGTTGATTTTATGGGTTTCTTTCGCAGACCAATCAGCGCTCTCTATCACTGTTGTAACGCTGCTTTCTAAAGCTTTGGCGATTCTAGGATCTACAGCATCCGAACGAATTTCTTCGGGGCTCCACACTGAGATTTCTGTGCAAATTGAAAGAGCCGGAGCTGCTGGAACCTCTTATGCCGGCCATCCGGAGCTGTCTGGAGCATCGTCACGCCTATGTCAGAAGGAACGCTGTTTTAGCAATTTATACAATCTACAAGTAAGACTTAGAAATATGTGAATTCCCAGATTTTAATTTGTGGATTATCTTGTTTCTGTAGTATTGTGATTCCTTGTGTTCACCAAGAAATTGTGGTTGTATTAAGAGCGCACAGAGTACGTAATTTCGTATTTAGGAATTTTGATTTTTTAATCCCGGACGCCCCGGAATTGATCGGAGGCTTTCTCGACCAAGAGCAGGATATGTCTTGTAAGCGCAACGCATTCATGATGCTTATCCATGTGGATCAGGTGTGTGAAAGATGGCCGGAAGTTTGAAACACATGTCAAACAGTTGCACATTCAACTCTGAAATGAGTGTGATTATAACGGGTTTGGACTTTCAGGAGCGCGCTTTGAATTATTTAAGCAGTTGTTTGGATCAAGTTGGTGGCTTCGGTGATATTTTACAACTTGTTATTGTGGAGTTGATTTATAAAGTATGTTTCGAACGATGTCGTTCTTGCTTCAAATCTTCAGGCCTTATGTTTTTAGGTTTGCCTTACAAACGCAACAGAGCGAGCGCGGTTTATTCGGTGTATTTACAATTTGCTGAATTCTAATAGTTCAGCTGTTCGTCTGGAAGCTGCTGGAACTCTGATCACTCTTTCTGCTGCTCCTAGCGCAGTCAAGGTAAATTCGTTTAACTTTTAAAGAAAAATTTAAATATTAATTAATAAGGTATGCATTTGTTGTAGGCTGCTGCCGCTTGTTACATCGATATCGTGGTTAAAGAAAGTGATAATAACGTAAAATTGATTGTGCTGGACCGACTGACTGCCCTTCGCGAGAGCGCCGTCAATAACGAGAAGATTCTCCAGGTAAACATGCTTGGTCTAAGTTTCATGAGTATGGTTTGATTTATATTCGTTTTTTAGGAACTGGTGATGGATATTCTTCGTGTTCTTGCTTCAACAGATCTGGAAGTTAGAAAAAAGACACTGGAAATCGTACTGGAATTGGTGTCCTCTCGAAATGTCGAAGAGGTAGTTATTTTTTTCGAACTAATTAAATATCGTACTCCGCATTCTGTAATATTGTTTAGATGGTCCTGATACTCAAGAAAGAAGTGCAAAAGACAAATAACGTCGTGGAACAGGAAGATAACGACAAGTACCGTCAGCTTTTGGTGCGGACACTCCATTCGTGCAGTGTGAAATTTCCAGATGTTTGCCCTACAGTTATACCTATGGTACACCAAATTTTGATTATTTTGGTTGTGCCTTTGTGTAGTGAAATCAAAATGTCGTTTTCCTGTAGCTGACTGAATTTCTTGGCGATATTCAGTCCGAAATGGCGGCCGTGGATGTACTGGTGTTTTTGCGCGAAGCCATTCAGCGGTTTCCCAAACTTCAAGCTGTTGCTATTTCCAATATTCTCGAAGCTCTGCCATCCATAAAAAATTCCACGTAAAAGTGATATTTATTTCGATATTGGCAAGAGTGAACAAAATGTCGCTGTTTTAGCATTTTGCGCGGTGCTTTATGGATTCTTGGTGAATATTGCCGATCGAAAGACGATATCCAAGGCACAATGCATGAAATTAGACAAAGTTTGGGACCTGTACGTTTACAAAAGTTTTCTCGGATACAGGACACTTTTAACGCTGGCACTTCTTTGCAGTTACCGATTGTTGAAGATGAATTAGCAAAGCAGAGCGGAGAGCAGACAGTGAAAGATGAACAAATGGAGCAGAGTTTTAAAAAACTTGTGACGGCCGATGGAACATACGCAACTCAGAGCGCGTTAACCACGCAATACAAAGGGAAAAAGGAAGAAGATAAAAAGTATGTTTGGAATACTGCTGTTGTTGCGTTTATCGATATGTCATCCTTTACAGATTGCCGCTGCGCAAGCTCTTAATGAACGGAGATTTCTTTTTGGGCGCCGCTTTGGCATCCACTTTAGCCAAACTAGCGCTGCGGTATTGCGACGTTACCAAAGAACGCGCGCGACAAAACGTGCGTTGCTCTTCGTAAATCGGAATTTTGCTGTAAGTTACTTGAGCGGATTTGTTCCCACAGGCTTTCCTTGCTGAGTCAATGTTCATAATGGCTTCTATTCTTCATTTGGGAAAATCGGGCCTTCCGAAACGAGTAAGTTTCTCCGATCAAGCAATGATATATTTACTGTATTGGAGAAATCCTTGCTGATTTAAAACTTCAGTTTGGAACTAATCGTCTATTTATTTTCAGCCTATTACCGATGATGATCAGGACAGGATAGGTCTTTGTCTGAAAGTTCTGGCAGATCGGTCTCCAGTCATAATTAGAATATTCGAGGAAGATTGCCGGCGCTCTTTAGCAACCGTTCTCCAAGTTAAGCAGAAAGAAGAGAAAGAACAGGAGGTCAGTAGGATGTTCTATTTTTACCGCGTTACACACGTGTACAATATTCGTCCTTTATCCGTTTAAAAGTTTCTGGGTGAATTCCGTTTTTGGCATTGCCTGTGTGTACCCGAGTAATTTAAAGTGCTCATTTGTAAATCAAATAAATAGTTTCTGACTGTAGCAAAAGACACGAAAATTGGCGACCAGTGTCCAGGCCGATGACCCCCTGTCTTTCGCGCATCTTTCTGGACGTAGTGATTTCGCCAATGGTGAAGTATGTGAGACAATACCTCTGAGTACTTACTGGATATGTGAAAAAACTTTAATAATTTTTTTCCAGGATATTTTTGCCGTAAGCTTGTCGGCGGCTGTTGGCCAAGGTGGAAAAAAGGATACATACGATCCGGCATCATCAAAATTGAACAAAGTAAAGAAGAGCTAATAAAATGCAGCTGACTATGGGGATATCCATATGACTGGTGCTCTTTTTATCATTACAGTATTTTGTATTTACATTTGTTCCTTTTTTAATGGTTGTAGTGTTGCTTACGGTACATTTTTTCAACATAGGTGGCGCAGCTTACCGGTTTTTCTGATCCCCTCTACGCAGAGGCGTACGTCCATGTTAATCAGTTTGATATCCTTTTGGATGTGCTGATTGTGAACCAGACTGACGATGTTTTGCAAAACGTTTCACTGGAGCTGGCCACACTCGGTATGCTGTGTGGATACTGAGGACGTACAAATGATATCCCCTTTAATATTTGGCTTAATTAAATAGGAGATTTAAAATTAGTGGAGAAACCTAGTCCGATAACGATGGCGCCGCATGATTTTGCCAATATCAAAGCCAGTGTTAAAGTGGCCTCTACGGAAAACGGTGTCATTTTCGGGAATATTGGTCAGTGTGCTGGGTGATTGGCACGCTAATGTCTAACGTAATCGGAAGTTGGCATGTTACAGTGTACGATCTGAAAAGTGGTGTAAGTGACAGGAACTGCGTCTACTTAAATAACATTCAAGTGGACATTATGGATTACATTGTTCCTGCGACATGCACTGATCTGGAATTCCGGCTGATGTGGGCCGAGTTTGAGTGGGAAAATAAGGTTAGTCCTGGCAAGATAGAAAGGAGATAAACATACAGTACCAGATCCGCTGAGTGACCTCCTTTTTCCTGTGCTTGGCAGGTGGCAGTGAATACAACTATGACGGATCTGCGAACATTTCTTAATTATCTCATCAAAGCCACTAATATGAAGTGTTTAACCCCCGATAAGGTTAGTGGATTTGAAAGTGTTCTGCAGATTTTACTGTAGGGAATCAGAGTTGTAGCAGAAGCAGTTAAATCATGGACCCGTTTAACTTAATGTTTTAACCACGTTGTTGCTGGTACGGTAAAGAAAGAAATTTGGTTTTGGACAATGATTTCGTAATATTTTAGAAATTGGTAGATTATTATTAGTCGTCAGTATAATGTACACATTCGCAATGTGCTAGCCACACCGAGAACTTAATGTGTAAAATTAAATTGCTGGATCATAAAAGTATTGGATTTCAACGTGGGCGATTATTTGCTGATTGGATTGAATAAGGGGAAACAGCTGTATTGATCAACATGATTACATATATTTTTGCTGGATATAATTCAGAGTGTTGCGCGATAATTACAGGATCCAAGAGCTGTTAATATGACCACTAACCTGGTTTGATTCTGCTAGGCACTGTCGGGTGATTGCGGTTTCATGGCGGCTAACTTGTATGCGAAATCGATTTTCGGTGAGGATGCACTGGCCAATGTGAGCCTGGAACGCTCGTACGACATGAATGGCCCCATTGTCACCGGTCACGTACGAATTCGGGCAAAAAGCCAGGTAAAGGAATGTTGTCAGATCAGGTTAAAGTGTTATTCTGATCGGGATGTTATGTATTTTGTTGAACAGGGTATGGCATTAAGTATGGGTGAAAAGATCACGTCCGCACAAAAACAGTCGGGAAAAGAGAACAAAACACGAACGGAAGACTGAACGACCTTGCTTTTTTCATAGAAGTTTCTATTTGGGTTAATATTTCTTGCGATGGTGTTTTTATTTTGGAAGATATTTCAATAATATAGAAGAATGAAATATAAAATTGTGTGGAATCTTGTGGTTCAGTTGTCTATCATCCAGGACGAATTATTTACCTTTACAGCTGCGGTTGTGCGGTCCGCGTTAAGCATTCCGTCTTTCTCCTTACTCACGTGGCGTTTTCTGTTGTTGCTTTTTATACCTAAGGATAAATAGGGATTCAATAAGACAATAACACTCATGTTTTGAGTCGTTTTGTGGGTTTCAACAAGTTGGACTTAGTAAAGAGCGGAATACAGTGCTAAGTGTCCACTTTGCCGATTAAACGGAGACGACTTCTGTCCTAGCGCTGATTTCCGGCACAAGTGCTTGATGTTATGTATGGAATTGTAGCACAGTGTGACAACAATCAGGTAGAAGGGCAGCCTTATCCGGTTTCCGCTTCTCACTACGTTTGTAGAGTGCTACTCCTTTCTAGCGGCCAGTCCAGCGCCATGGTTTATCTTTGTGTTATTGCCAGTTTGTTATCAGAGTATTTCGTTGACGAGCTTGAACCACGCTGTACGTGTATTTATTCTTCATCAGTGTGGGTATCCAGATCCTCAATTATGTAGCGATCACCGCCTTATACAGAATCCCAGTTCAAAAATATGTAAGTAGTGAAGAGTTAAAATCCGCACATCAAACAGAAATCTGTATCGCTCACCGGAAAAGTCGTTTTGCTATTGTGTATCATCAGCGTACAGAATGCGTAGTGCGTACTATAATGTTGCACGAAGTCGGACCGCTCCACGAAAATTTCTTCCATAAAAAATTTTAAATTCCCATAAGACGTAGCCCATCCAGACCCTTTCCGGAGTTTTCATGACAGAATTCGATTTTCGCACTCGTATTATTAATTTTGGGGAATGAGCCCATGCATTACTGTAAATCTATATAAACTATTATACCAGAGATCCAGATTACTTAGTGCATGTATCAGTATCAATATTCAAAGTAGCCATCAGAATTATAAGTACAATCAGGTGCAGATAAAAGACAAACGAAATTTATTTATTTCTTTCTCACTAAACCATAATTTTTGGCAGTTGCCACAAATACTACTGCTGTACTCACTACGCACGATTCCACAATACCATACCAAATTTCTTGAAAATCGAAAGCCAAAATTAATATGTATGGCTAGTACAAAAATCGGAAAATAAAGTACATCTGCAAAGCTGTACGTACAGAGCTGAAGCTTTACAATACAAATGTAAAACTTTGCGATGGTAACTTTTGGCAATCGGGGTAATATCATCAAAAATGAAGTGAGCCGACCAGAAATGAGCGGATCGGAGCTTTTAGGTCATAATTTTTTTTCCGCAAACAAAAAATTATTTTAAATTTTCCTTCTCCGGGTTTGGCGCATCAACCAGTAGAAAATTTATAATACACAACATCCTTTTTTCTTCTTGTGCGGTTTCTCGCTTTGTAACGCTGGCCGCTCCGCTAGTTGAAATTTCCTGCAAAAGTAGAATATATCATTAATAAAAGTCCAAAAATACTTCAACAAATTGATTGATTAGCTTCAGTATTAATTTTAAAATGCGCGCATGACTTGTCTACATCTACGACTTGTCTATATTTAGAAATTGTTAAGTAATTACATACTAGAACTTATATGCTGCGACTGCTGCCTACGTGATAAACGGAACAGATTAAAGATGAAACCGCTGTGATGGTAGATGTTTCAGACTAACAACAAGAAAATTACAGAATGGTGACAGACAATCGCAGCATTAACATTATAATTGTGAGTGCATATACCGTTAGTGACCGTTACGTACAAATACGTGTAATTCAAAGTCCACGAACTAAAGAAAATGCATAGCATCCTAACCGATTAATTACTTATAAATCACCAAGCTTCCGCTATGCTAATTGTGGATGCTTGGGGTCTTAGGCTTAGGCGAAGGACAAGCTGCACGTTTTTATGCGAAAACAGTTTAGTTAATCTGATAGTGTAAATAATACTAAAACACAAATAATTTTATACCTGGCGCATTTTTATATCAAACAGTTTTTATACCTTATAAGCCGGACTAAATCGTGGAAAGCCTTATCGACATTGATTTTTAATTTTGCACTGCATTCAACGTAAGGAACTCTGAGCTGACGCGCCACATCGGCAGCCTCCTCCGAACTGACAACTCTTTGATGCTCCAGATCGGCTTTGTTGCCCACTAACAACATGGGAAACTCATCTCGATCTTTGGCCCGTAGAATCTGCTTGTGAAATCTGTATATCTCATCGAAACTATAAAAGACGATGGAACATAAATGAAAATGACGCTGTCAATCAGTACAATGTAACGAGCGGCATTCTTAATGTAGATGCTGCCAGTAATGCAGTCAATTGTAGCCTACTGACCTTGTGCGATCTGTTACGGAGAACACAAGCAGAAATCCTTCGCCACCTCGCATATACTGCTCCCGCATAGCGGAAAATTCTTCCTGACCGGCAGTGTCCAGTACTGTCAATAAAAAGCTGAATCAACTGCATGGAACAAAACGTTCTAATGAGATTTCTACAACAAGTGCTTAGTTAACAGTAATGATATATTACTTGCCATAATAAATTATAAAAACTGGCTTTACCTTCCAGCTTTGCCACAACGTCGTCAATCACACATTGTCTGGAATAAAAAAATTTGTACACATTTCGGGAACGGGTACTTACACTGGTGTGCATAAAACAAATTGAGTACACCTGAATAGTGTTCATACTGTGCTCGGTTCATACTGAGACGACACAGCAAACAAACTTCAGAAACAGAAATTAATAAGTCAGACATACTTGGAATAAAAGTCCTCTATCGTAGGATCATACGAATCCACAAAGTAGCTCTGGAAAAAAAAGGTTGATGTCCAGAGAAAAGGTTTTGATAGGTATTGATGCACTATTGATGCACAAGTACTCGTATCGAGTCGTATGTACGTACATGAATGTTACTACTTCAGTTTATCTATATTAATATTGCAATTCCCTATTAATTTGCGCTGCTCTGGTGGCTAGCTAATAAACGTATAAACTGAAATGCAATAAGTCAATAATAGCCCAAAAAATGCGTAATGTACTCTGCACCTAACCTTTAGTCTAACAAATGCCTAAGTACGTCACCAAATGCGTAAATCCATATTAGAACATAATTTACGATAGTAACTTCCATAGAAAGTTATGTTAATATTACTGTAGGGCCTACTTTTAGAAAAAAATAAACTACAATATCGGCTAATTGTAAACTTCCACAATAATTTTAAAAAAGCGATGCGCAGGGTACAAGCTGAAGAACTTGGTAAACGCAATTTGAAATTATTTTAAGTGTGTCAATTTACCAGAAGTTTATATTACTTTTGAGCATCTGTTATTCCGTGTAAACGTAAAACCACAAAAATGCGCTGCTGCACAACATTATTTGTGGCTGAGCATGAAGTTTATTCTATTCCGAAGTTGTCCGGTAGCCACTACCGTAGTTAGGTGGGCTTGCATTTCTCCCATGAGAAAAAACTGGGTCACTCGAAGGAAGTGTTTATGTTGCCGCAAATAGCGCTATAAAAATAAAGTACGCACAGTAAAGTTGCGCACATGTGCCAGCCATCAAATTTTCATAAAAATTTAAAATCCGGCGTTCGAAGATTTTTTTAATTTAAATTAGTTCCATGAGCTTTTTGAACAAGATTTTCAAAAAGAGAAGAAGACACTGTTATATAACTACGCGAATAAGCGGCGCGAGATAATCCCAATAATTGACGCATTCGCGAGGGGATTGTGTGTTGCGTAACCGGATATCCGCCGCAATTGCATTGAGATACTCTCCTGTATCAGTACTCCCGAAAGAACAGATTAAACGTCATCAGAACTTTCGGATGTCACTTAATCGCCTATCTAATCGAGTGGGAAGTAAAATACGCGCTATCGATTTTTCGTTTAGGACCTGATGAAAAAAATCTCGGCAAATTTGTAAAGAATTTGTGATATAGGCGTAAGCATTTTCCCAAGGTTATAATTTCGTGAAATCGCTACTTAGCCTTATCAAAAACAAACAGAGAAGATGTGGTAAATGTCCAGGAAGCCGTATTGTTACGTCATTAAGGTGCAATAGTCAACATTAAGGAATAGCGCAAATTTCTGTCCAAGGCATTAATGAATTCGCGCACTAGTTAAAATTGTTATTGAACTTTTTATGCATCGCTGTAGCAGTTTACAAGAACTGCTGATAAATCTTCGCACGTACTTATTGCCTAAAGGCAGCAACACGTAAAATTTCAGCAATTATGGGTGTGAAACATGCGCGCGATGTATAACAATTCTTACGCGCTGTATAGCTTTAAACGGTCCATTGAAGATTTCCGTTTGAGTTCAATCGCACGAAATCGGACATACAAGTATTCGGATTATCCTATTGGATCGACTGGACGCTTCGCTGGTTTCTGGTATATTTTTATATTGATTTGTCCCGCTTAACTAACGAACCTTAGTCTGCATCGTTTTCGACCGTAATAATTAGCATAAACCTGGAATCATTAGCGAGTACACTTTCTTTACGGAGATTGCTCTGGAAAATGCAGTCTTGCAAGAACATATCGCCGTATTAATGTACAATATACGAGTACACAATGTAGGCAAGGCCGCAAGGTTACAAGTTTTCTGCTTTTAACATTAACAGCTGAAACACTATAACGTATTCTGTCCACACAATGCCCAGTGTTCACACAGACACTAAGAACTGCCTTGAGACACATAATTAAGACCTTCTAATAAGTAATAGCTTCGACTACTAATAACAATAAGTAACAAACTGATAGCACTTTCTTCTTATACTTAAACCTGCGCGCATAACATAACACGTATTGTACTACGATTCGCGTTTCAAAAATACACACATGTCACATTTCTCCATCACCTAGATGCAGTGCACAAAAGATCAAAGCAAATGACATTGCACTTGTCCCATTTTCAAATCACAAAAATATAAAGAAAGCAACATGTTATTGTAAAAAATTCATCTCAAAGATCACTAAAATATGGATTTTCAAAAGTGCCACCAAACAAACAAAGAGGCTCCGCTTATAAAATTAACAGTTCATTCGTCCAAAGCGTTGATTGCAATTTGCAGACTGCAGTTTTCAAGGTTTAGTACCATAAGAGCGCAACTAATCAGTAGTAACATAACCAGTTTCTCCGGCAATGACCCGCAAACAAACGCTAAAAAATCAACAACCGATTACGATCATTACAGCACTAAAGGTGTTTGTACGAGATGCAAAAAACGTTCTTCACTGCCTCACAAAAAAAAAACACGGCACCGGTAAAGCGCTGCACTCTTTGTAACACTTGGCTTAGCGATTTAGCGACAAATGATTCCCAGGCATTGCTTGCAAGTGTTAATCAGTTGCACGACCCTCAAGGAAACCTTGTCATCCCCGACAAAATTCTGTCACTCTACAGGTCATTGCGTAAGAAAACATTGTTGATCACAGCAGGGCGCTGCTGTGCTGTCTGTAGTAAATTCTATCTTGCCTTCACATATCACAGCAGGTTTTTCAGATAAAAAATTAAATTCCTTGCGTTGTCCTTACGATTACGAGTATTTTCAGCAAGCAATAGTACAGCTTGCGAATCTGGATAGACATAGCTCTATAACGGTTTATCAAAATTTATGTCGCGTAGCAGATTATATTAGTTGCGAAATTTATTAAAGTAAGTTACTGGCATCACATAAATCGAATTAGTCTAGAAGTACCTTTTAGCACTGCATGAGCAGGGAGATTCGGCTTGAAAATTTAATTATTCGGAAGCTTTACGTGTCACCGGACAACAACTTTAGCGTGAAACATCTTGGGATATATCGGGAATATAACATCTGACGTTCGATAAATCAAGCTGACTATATATATTATACAAATATTCAAGTTAAAATTAAAATTAGTATTTTTTCCGGTTATGTTCGCATTCTTGTAGACACGGGCGAAATAAAGTTTACGTTATTATTCATTTACGAACTCCTGTCACTTATTGTTTGCACTTATCAAATGCCGGTGACAAAACTTGAACTCCAGTTCCTGTAGTCAGAACACGTATGGTCGAATGTGCGTTCCACGGTATTTACGGGATATTAAACGTTTGGTACTGACTGCTACCAGGACATACAAGTCACAAGTAATATTATACATACCGTAAAATGTTGTTGTACCATAAAATACAACTTGGATTTGTTTGATTCCATCATTGCAATTAACATTAACCACGTATTTATGTTTTTACAATTTCTACATTCAAAGCATTTAGACAGCATTAACCTAAAGCGTTATCAGTCAGTTTTTACTTTGCTGTTGCTAATAGGTATTGCGGCTTAGCTTTTGCGTACATGAACCAAATTAGCACTATTCCTAATTATAAACAGCCTATACTCGTGGTTGAATTCAAAAATCTTTGGACTGCCTTTCAAAGTGAATATTCTACGTATCGAATATTATATATATTATCCGTAGAGCGCAAACTACTTTTTACCCTACGTACGGTATTAGAATGTTTAATTTATTTTGTAGAACGTGCTGTACATTATACGGAAATTACTACGCATGTATTGTCCTTTACGTAGTACTCGTACTGAGAAGGTACTCAATCTACAGCAAACAATAATGCTTCTTGTAGAGTATGCGGGACATGCATAACGACACTCCCTGGGGATAGTCATACAGCGTCATACCTGAATAAACTGGATTGTGAGAGCGCTCCTGTAAACAAAATAAACAATCATATCTACCTCGAGTAGATATTAACATCGGCGTAATTCATATAATGAATTTCAACTTGTAGTGTAAATTTGCTTACTTTCCGACTCCTCCGCTTCCGACGACAACTATCTTGTACGTCTGCAAAATATAAATGATTAGGTAGCCTGTGGTCTAGAGTAGTTAAAACTAATTTATTTAATAAAAAGACGAGACTATGTATTTTTCAATATTTCGTGGTAGATAAATGCAACCCTGATACTGTTTTCGAAGCACAAACTACACAATTTTTATACCGGCTCATTTGTTAGCAGTTTGTCCATACAAATCAGATTTGCTATTAGTCTACCTCTCCCGATGTACAATAGTAGCAGTTCATTCAATACCGAACAAATGCGCGCGGAATTTTTTTCTACATCATCATACCGAACTGTTGTTGACTGAAGTAACGTAAACAGAAATATCTCTATTATTTGCCGGTATAAAGTAGTATACACTCGAAAATAGTTTGCTTTTCTAAAATATCATTGAAATTATCTTGCAGGCATGTCTGTAAACAACGGTTATTTTGTACACAGCGCAAGGATACTAGTACCTATAAGATGCAGAAGAAGATATCTTAATCGATTTATTGCATAACGTCCGGTGTGTATATAGCATACTACTACTTATACTGCATGTGTTTACACGTCTCCTAATAGTTCCCTAATGGAATTGGTATCGATTGTTCAGCTCAACAAAGGTTAAACAGACCAACCTGTCCTTGACTGGAAAAATGCCGCCCGTCGTTCATGTCGGCTTCCAAGCAGTCAGCGCTTATACAACAGCAACTCCAAAACGATAAAATCGCACTTAAATCACCAGTTTATCAAAATCATATGCTTTATTTCTTATGATTAGAAAAAAACATTGGAAAGCAGCGATGCTACTTTGGATGCGGCATAGTCAGAGAAGAAGTAAGCATCCCGTTTCCAGCATGTATGCCGAAAGTGGCAAATGGCGGGTTGACCGATAAAATCTATGATAAGAATATCCGCAGATGCCAGATGGTTATCCTTTTCGATAAACGTGGTAATACCGGTTTGTTCATGGACACAAATGCGGTAATTTAAATTCCGCGATACTGCACTGTTGATGATTTACCTCACTACACGCAGTACAAATCACGACGACGGTAACACACGTGTGTGAATTGCCACAGGCATTTGTTATGCGTGGAACATAGCCATAAAACAGAGGAGGGAACCGTTTTTCGCAGTACCGATTATGTCCCGTTCCAGTTGGATAGCTGGCTTCGGTGTCGGGATAATTTTATAACTTTCCTCTATAGAGCAGTAATACGGCTCACTCTGGCGGTCGTTTAAAGAATCCGCTTCAATGCTGTGAAATGTTAGCTAAACTGGAACGCTGTTAAAGGCTCGGCTGGCAATAAAAATACCGGATTATACAACGGCTATATATCGCGGTGGAAGCTGCGGCTTTGATCCGCGGCAGACATTAGGATCTGGATGCAATGTTAAGGAAAAAGAGCGAAACTACTGTAGGAAAACACTGATGTATGTGGTTGCGGTGAAAACCAGTCTGCGAAGTGCGGGGCTAAGGAGGAGTTTATTTGAAAAACATATATCCACAAGCATCAACACAGATATATGCGCAATGTGCGGAAGGCAATTTCATGTGACTGTTGGTTAGCACTTTAAACCTTACGTTACACACTTTGTATACTGTACTCGTATGCGTCTTTGCCATTGGGAAACGGCCTCCGTCGGAGAGAAAACATCAGTGCGCGCGCTGTGCCGCGATACCGGTTTTACCAATTGCAATATGATTTGTGCTGCACTGGCGATTGGGAGCATTTTGCAATCCAGCGTAACCGCAAACTATGTATTTTGTTTGCATATAAGGACGACTCCTCCTTCGGTAAACTTGTACTAGCTGCGAATATTTTTAAGAGCGACACGAATAAGCCGCTGAGGAAACGAATTGGAAAAGAATACCTATCTTATCTTGTATGCGCGATAAAATGCCATTTTGAAAAGTGGTTCAGCTACTCGCGATTGGTAACCTCGGTATGTCCTCGATTGTACGGAAACGATAACGGCGTAGTGGTTACATGAAATTATAATATATGTGCAGAATGGCAGTGACATGAATGGCGCCTTGTGTAACTGTAACAATTACTTAAAGTTTACTTTTATCATGATCAGACCGTGCACCTAGATCCCGGCGTCATTATATCAGCGCAGCAAGACTAACGGCAGGATGCTAATTGGCGTTCTGTTCAAAATGTTCGTTTAAGAAACAGTCGAAAATAGGGTTTTGCCATCGCAAAAACTGTCATGTTAACGTGCCACAATAACTGAACTTATGTATTATCTCCTGGCTGACTGAATTAACAACAAGAACAAAAAATATATCTGAACATCAATTTCTAAATTTCATGAATAAATTGTATTACGGTACTTACTAGAACAGTTACAGATGTATATCTCGAAAATGAAGTAAATCAATTTGTAGTACAAATACACTAATTTTAGTTCACGTTCCTGGGAAGCCGGTCCCGAGTAAAGCAGCTTATAGGAAAACCGTTAGTTTAACTTTAACGTGTAACTATCGCTACTCGTAAGTGAACGGATGTGTGTCAATTTTAGCCGTTAGGATTTATCTAACGTTTTTTTTGTAAGTTGTTTTACTCGGGGGTTTAACTGTAGTTTTTTTAGGATGGTAAATTCATCTTCATTACCACGATTCTCAAATGCAAGCCAGGGAATGGTAGGTACGGTCTGCACCGATTCTTACCGGAAGTTGATTAACAATGCATGGATGATAACGGTTCGGATGCAACAATCTACAACTACCTAATTGTCAAAGTAAGTAGAAAGTACTTTCTTGCCACAGACATGCAGTTTAATACTGTTTGGTTTTGTTTTATTAAATTTTGGTAAAACGTAATATATATTAATCAAGAACAACACGATTTTTACAACATGAAAACTTCTTAAAACTTTTCTGCTCCTTCCATTGATTGGTTTCTGCATTTTCGTGTTTTTAACCATCTACATCTTACACTTCTCGTATGCGCTGAAACATGTTGCAAAATTAAGCTGCCAATAATTTGCAACTGCAATTTAAATCCGTTTCGCGAAAGTATTCAAAAATGCTCACTTTTTGAGAAAATTAGAAACAGTGTGCTACAGACTTTGTGGAGTAACTGTAATGAGCAACACAAGCTCCATAATAAAACGGCTGTCGCCATTTGCCGCTGGTTTCAAAACAGTGTTCCACACAATCATTTTGGACGATTCAAAGGAATCTCGATATATCAGGAATCAAGATAACCCATCTGTACCGGCAGCGGGCCTAATGCTGGAATCAGATCCTTACAACACAAGCTAACCAGCTTTAGTAGCAGCACGGTACCGTGGCAATATTACGCAATGCGAATTCTTCCTGGTCAACATAGACTCGTAAATATGAGTACCAGTAACTGATAAAAAAACAGTGGGCGGTGGCACCGACAAGATAGTCCACCATTAAATCTCACTCAGTGGATTTATTCCTTCACTGTTCTAATCAAGCATGTGTCATGTGCACCTTTATAGGCGCTAACAGGACTAATCCACATCTGCTACCTTAGGCTTCAGGGAGACATTAATCCGTAATTATTAACATCATCATTAAAAGCACTGTTATTTCATCAACCGTTTAGCGTTTTAGAGCTGTAGGTACTCCACAATTCCACCACATCCTGAAAATTAATTAAGACCTGCAAGTTTCAGCACGGCCGTTTTATATTGCCGAAGAGAGTCGAAGTTTTCTTCTCCATTATTCACGGTGGTCACTGCCTGCTCGTATTCTCTGAGGTGCTCGTGGCTCCTACTAAATGCGGCATTTCCAGGGGGAACATCATCGGTCTGGGCGGATTTCGGAGAGGCTCCTGGTTGAACAGCGCTGACTGCCTGCTAAAAATTGAAAACATTTGAAACACCATCCACGGAAATACGAAATTTTTCTTACCATTCTGGCGAGCAATGTCTTCGCGCTTTCTTCCGAAGGGCTGCCTTCCCAGTAATACCGATCTCTGTCAGCAACAGTCATTTCTTTTTCCCATGGTTCCGTTTTCTGCAATTACAGAATTATTATTGTTATTATTATTATTGTTCGTTATTATTGTTCTTCGCAATTAGTTTTATGCATCGACAAAGCCGACAACCATACCGGCCTTTCGGATACGGTAATATTTCTAATACAGGTAAGCAGATTCTTGATCGCTCAGGCTAATGGTAAGGTATACACATATTTCGATGATATACCGGTAGGTATAGTCCTCATGCAATACCAATCTTTCAGAGATCTAAGAATTAATTGTAAATCCTTGAGCGTAAGTCGAGCCTATCATGCGTTTGCTGAACACCGAAGTATCAAACTAACTAAATGAAAGCGGATTTTTTGTGCTTCAGCCTTCAACTTACCCAGGATTCGAAATAAAGTGCGGTTAGAAGGTACTTTGCATAATCGTAATTCTGTTGGCGTGTAGGACATCTGTAACGCCAAAATCTTTATTCCAAAAGCACCCAAAAAATAAATTCGTGCGAAAACATACCTGTCCGTAACAATAGTAATATAATCCGATTTCGGATCGTAGCGGTCCCCTAAAAGGCGCAGAAACTTGTCCCGTGCGTGAAAATCAAACTTCAGTTCCGATAACTTAACCTGAAAAGAAGGCAGAACTCATGGAGTGTTTATCCTGCAAGCGCAGGCTACCGCACGGCTACCGGAGCTACCAGCGGATCATGAAATTAATAAAAAAGCATCTAACCCTGAGAGAAACTATTCGAGTTCGTGTATTACGGATAGATGGCCCCGAGTGACAATACGTGGCAGTAATCACTTCGACCGGGAAATGCAGGTTGCAATCCTCCTCGGTCTGAAGTTCTTTTGGCCAAGGAGTGCAAAATTCTGCAGTCAAAAAAATTAATCATAACACTGATGATAGCATTTAATCATAACAGAAAAAAAAACACTAAAAGGCAGCATAAACGAGCGCAAAGGGATTGATCTTACTTTTCAAAGCAGCACAATGCTTCGCAATGGCTAAAGGAGTTAAATGGAAAAAATTGGGGATTTTCATAAGTTCGGTGTTTCCGAATTTGTCCAAGGGAGTCTTGCTTGTGCCCGTGCTGGTTCGAATGGGAAGCGGAACAGTGGCTGGTTTGAAAGTGGCAGCAGCCGGCCACACATTTGTCCAGTCTTGATCCACGTGCATCCTCTGGGATCGTGGAGGCATCAACTAGTACGACAAAAAGGAAAATAAATTCAAAGGAAAATTAGCAGAACAATAACTGAGATATAAAAAATTACGGTTAAGCAGAAAGTGTAAATTCTTTTTGGATGTATCATGCACAGCAATCTACTGGCAATGGCAGAAGTGGTTGTAACATGCAGCGTTACTTGCGCAGTCCCTAACCGGCGTAAATCATTCAACATATTTCAAGTTTCCTTATGCACGCAATATTTTGCTCACATCTTGGGACCGGAATCTACGATCTTCTTCCCGTTTGCGCTCTTTTCTGGCAGGACTCAGCGAGAGCTGGCGGAATTCTCTGGACTCCCGCACAAGATCTGCCAACGGAAGAAAAATTCATTTTAATTCGGCTGCTCTTATAAGAACATGAAATTCAGAGTCGGATAATCAGCGAAAGACAGCACGAAATGCTAAGCTAATACCATCACTCACCATCGTGTTTGTCCACGGTAACGGAGCTCGCGCTGGTAGCCATTCCATGTCGCAAGGCTGGGTACCTTACAAGCGCTGCCTTCTGAGGCAAGCCAAACATCTGCAGGGAAAAATGACTAAAACTGACTGAGCGGGAATAAACCTTCCATAATAACAACATTCACATCTGTCAGCTGCAGTCGCTGCACAAACTGAAACGTTAACTCCGTACTGTGAAACTCGGAACTATTCATCTGTCTTCAAATAATCTTAATTTATCGCATACCGTAGTTCCATATTTAGTTTACCTTTAAAGATGCGGCTGGCGAAGAATCTTTCGACGTCTTTGGCGATCAAACTGCCGGGGATGGCACAATCAACGATGAACCTCATAAGCGCAGAAATGACATAAGGCATTCAAATAAGTATGCATCGCTTTTTGACTATGACTACTGATGAGGATACCCCGTTCGCGTCCGTAATAATTAATATTGGTTAATAACTTAATGGTTATTGGTTGCCGACGACCAGGGGCGGCTGGAGCTTCCCGGTTTGGGGTGGGCCAGCACTATTGGCTTTGGGGTGGGCCAGGCCCATAGACCACTATGTTAAAAAAATTTTTTTGGAGGGGGCCATGGCCCCCTGGCCGAGGGGTTCCAGCCGCCTATGCCGACGACGATCGAGAATCCGAAAATACAAGGAAAAGGCACTTACCTTTCAGATGCGGAGTGTCACAGGATGGATGCGACTCACATGTACGTCAAAAAAACTTGATCTTATTACTTTATTACGAGTGCAAATTTACTGATAAAATAAATCTATGCTTACAAAAGTTACAACAATTGGCAACACAACAACACTCCGACTCGTACAAACAGCCCTTACAAACCCATAATATTACTTTTTGCAGTCGGAATATCACGTTTAGGAATGCGCCACCCCTTGGCTGTCGCGTATGTGGAATGGCGCTTCCGGAAAATCTTTTTGTATTATCCGCGTATAATTATTTTGAACTTTATTATTTTTCGACTGAATTTACTGTTTCAGTAACAGTTCAATACTAACCACTTCTGTTTCACTTTTCCTTGTGCATCAAGATCTCCAGTGCTGCAAACGGAAAGGGTAAACGATTTACGATTACTCTTTCGACCACTAACCGTAAGTACGAGTATTGACTCTGAATTCTGATCATCGCCGTCCGCTGAGAATTGTTTATAATTACAGTACTACTTTGTAGTTTCGTCAACCGGCATTTGTGCGAGGTACGCAATGTGATCTAATGTAAGAGTATGTCGAGTAGGAACCTGCGGAGCTCTTTTTACACAACACCAGTTTTAAGGCAATTTCGTTTAGAATTCAGTTGATAATATCTTATTAATCAAAATTAATGGGATAAATCGCAAGTAAAGAAGACACTGCGAATTTTTTATTTGTTTTATCTATCGCGCCATATATATTATCGCTGATGACTTACAACGGTATTTAAAGAGGACCGTAAAAAATCGTAGGCGAAGATTTATAAAAAAAATAATTACTACATACATACATTCCTACTGTACTTTCAAAGCATATGATCGAGTATTCTCATTATCAGTGTCACATTAATAAACATAACGGAAAACGTAACAAAAATGACGAGAAACCATATTACCCTCCAGCATTAGGCAAGTGAGAATCATAATCATAAAATTAGCGAAAGACTTTCCCTAAACAGAAACTTTCAAACCAAATTTTGTCCAGGTTCTAAAGCCACCATGCACGTTTTTGTAACTGATAAGTAATGCTACGCTTGACCTTTGAAATCACTTCAAATCAGAGAGAAAGTTTTAACCCATGAGCTGGAATTTGCAGAATGATACTTCAATCTATGAACCAGTATAACTGTTTTTGTTAAGCAATAAATAACAAAAATTGTCGGGGCAGAACTCGTAAAATACATTTGGCAAACATAACAGGATTTGGAGTGGTCTTCGACGCCAGAGATCTTCCGCCGTAAATGTGCTGCAGCTAACTTGCAACCTGCATCGCCAACTTTTAAACTTTAAAACGTTATCCGATGCGCATGCAGCTCACGCAGGCGCGTACGTGTAAGTACACTACGAACACTTCGGCTTGGATAGATGTGCTAGATTTGCTCTCGCATACGCCGATATTATTTTGCCATGCTCACAAGTGATCTTCTAGATTTCTTATGAGGTGATAGCAGGATGAGTTTGGGGAAAGATTAAAATAGTCAGTTCCGGCCCAGCTGGCCAAGACCGTCGAGTGGCTCAAATAGTCAAATGTACGAAATTTACGAATCAGGGTGTGCATAAAAACATAAGCTTATCGGAAACAGACGGATGCCGTAACATCCAAGTACAGACAGGGATGACTCATCCGGTAAACTGCAAAGCGCCCAGTGTACTTAGTACTTACTCGACACGCAGTCGAAGGCTTGCCTCGCTGTCTCAAGTATACGCTATACACAGCGAATTGTGACGACATGATTAATAGTCGTACATTTTTTCCATCCATATCATTTTTTGTGCACCCAAGCAGAGGGGAAAAGAAACTTCGACCCCTTATGAATCGCGACTGCTCTGGAGAAACCTGCGTGATAACAGGTCGGTAATTCTCTGATGAAGCATTCCTGGTGGGATCAGTTTGACTGGTGGCTACTGCTGCTGCTGTGAAGGCAGACACGCGTCGTCCCCAAATGGCTCCAGCAGACGAGAATAATACAAGTCTTTCTGATCTGCCCCGCTCCAGCACAGCGATTCAGAAGCGTTCTGAACAATTAAAGCGCTGGACAGAATCGGAGACCAATAAGGAATTGTCGGACTATAAGGAAAAGAAGCGAAAAGTTGCCTTTCAGGATGATTGTGTTTTTCTGGCCGCCTGTGCAGCTGGCGAAAGGGATGAAGTGCTGCGTATGTTAACGCGAGGATCTGATATCAATACGGCCAATGTTGATGGGCTCACAGCTCTGCATCAGGTCAGTCTGAAACATGTACCGTTTTTATGTCATTTGATTGGCAGCGTTTATTGGGATATTGCCAGTTGTGTTTCCATTTTCCGCGGAAAATATATCGCGACTGCTTTTCCCAAAGCAGCAAAACAGGATGTTTATCAGTTATCTGAAGTTGTATTGTCATATGATGGTAAATGGTAGAATCTGGATTGTTTGGAAATTAATGATGCGGGTTTATTGTAGAAATATTGAGACCTTTTGTTTGATTGTCAGGGATTCAGATAGTTTTTCGTGAAAGTTTTAATGGGCTTGGCAGTTTGGTTTGAAATTTATTGCACACTGTCTATGAACCTATTCACGTTGCTCACCTCAGTTGTCTTAAGAACGAAATTCTTTTGGCTGAAAATCAGAAACCTTCTCTGTTAACGTCCTCGCATGAAAAACAAAATAGTTATTAATAGTTCGTTTTCATTAATCACGTGTAATTTGTGTTGGATGTTTTAACGGAAATTTAAACTCAGTGCACAGTAAGCAGGCGTAATTTACATTGCAAAAAGATTCTACATTCAAACCAATACCCACTACCCACCCATTATTACCAGCTGGTTGATGAGCATTTTTTCTCATCGTTTGACGCTTGCATAGTGTTGCTATTGTGGGTTTACTAGTTTCCTTGAAAGGTTTGTGCTTGCAAGTATGTGATGTGGCTTATAATTTCATATAATCTGTCCAGTCTATTTGCTTTCGTAAACTAGCGTGTATACAATTAATTCTTTGTTCTGGTTCAGAAGACCAATAAGGCAGTAACAAAACTTTCGCCCAGTTAAATTAGGGCTTCCGTCAATCTTATTATTTGTTGGACAGTGCGTCATTATGGTTTTCACTTGTACTGACCATGAGCAGCACAGCTCCTGTGTCGAATCATGAAGCAAAACTACAAAACTATATTTTTGGGTGAACAAAGTTGGCAGTAGCAGATTTCTCAAAGGAAAAGTAAACCGTTGGCTGATTGTACCATTAATTTTGTAATTGGATGTTTTGTGTTTGAAGATTTCAATAACATGCCGATAATGCTCCACAGACAATTTTCGGCACGCAGTACTTGTGTTTAAAATCTCTGCAGCTGAGCTCCCAGAATTTGTTTCGTGAGGTAGACAGAATTTGCTGAACTATAGTTACTAGTTACGCAAAACTATGCCTCAGTTTTTTAATTCGCCGGCGGATTTCTTGTTGTTAATATCATATGCCGTTTTGATAATGTGGCTAATTTTTGTGCCAAACATCGGTATACTATAGCGTACCTATTTATCGCTGTATTTCGAGATGAACTTATTCTGTTCTGTAAATGTAAATTGGTTCCTGGATTTGTTTAAAAAGTGTAGAAATCTCTACGGCTGATTAGCAAAACCCGAGGCAGCAAAACAATACGTACTTATACACAATGATAATGTGAGGAAACCTTTTCCCTGGTGGTTTCAGCTTTTATTGCTACTTGAGGCTTTTTTCTTATCCACATCCTTTTATGCTATCCATATTCTTGGTTTGGAAGTGCACGTGGGAAATATTCTGGTATTGATGACTTATTGCCTAATGCCTCTGGCAGTAGATATGATAAGGAGATAAGTTTTTTGAAGTCCATTGTCTCCTCCTTCCTTTCTCACATCTTGTACCGGTTGGCAGGCTCGTTTTTTATAGAAATACCGTCCAATATGTTCGCTGTTTATTTCTTCCAATTCACTGGATTGCCGCGCTTATTTCGTAATGTCCTGATTTACCATTTGCTGGATAAAAATAGAAAAACTTTGAGAGTCAAATAGCTGCATGCAGTCAGACTCGTAATGGTTCTTGAAAAATGCAGTTGTCGAACTGAACTCGCAAACGATACGTGAACGTACTGTACTTACTGTCCCCGATCGCATATATTGGGTCATGACAAATTGGATTCGCCTCAACATCAGACTAACAGATTTTTGTAAAAATTGTGTCATGATCCAATCTGTGTGGCATTAATGGTTTAATACTATGTTTAGGTTCTCTGATTTACACGACTTGATAATTTAATAGACTTTTCATACTTTTTAAGATATCGTCTAAAACTTTAAGCAGTCATTTGGCTCATTTAGAAAAATAATATTCTGTTAGGAACCAGAGTGTTCAAAATATTCAGTACGCTGTTTACTTCGCAGCAGTTAACCAATCGAGAAGAAGAGATCAACCACATTTAATTTTTAGTTTCGCGTTTTCTAGTAGTTTTTGATCGGGGTGGCCCACCCCGATCTAAGTATTTGTATAATTTCACCGTTTAGTTGGACGTGATTCTGCTTTCTTAAAATTGAAGACTTCACGGCTGATAGCGGCAGAAGACAATTGTGTACCGGAGATGTTGTGGCCTTGTGTGTGATAAATACGATGCAACAAGTGTTGAGCTGTTTGTAAGTTCGAACTTTGAACGACACTCATATTAGTCGTATTACTCGTACATGACTACAAGGATTAAAGATTCTGATTGCACTGCTTTTGTACTTGTGCTGTTCATTTAGTTTATGTAAATTAAAATGCTCGCGTGAATTTGTTAGTGCAAAATCTTTATTAATTACTCCTACGACCTACAGTACTCGACGCTGCAGAATTTGCTCACCGCACAATTGTCAGTTGCATCACTGTTTAAAATGTTAATTACTTCGATTTTTTGTGTATACAGTGATAGATGCGCATATGTGATTAAGCAAGTCGATATTACAGGCTTGTATTGACGATCGTATTGATATGGTGATTTTTCTTGTGGAACACGGGGCGGACATCAATCGTGGCGATAACGAGGGGTGGACTCCACTGCATGCTACGGCTTCTTGTGGATACCTGAACATTGCAAAGTACGGTTGATGTTGTTTAGCCATGATATGCATTATCGCGGCTGGTGCATTTATTGCTTGCTTTTCACTCGATTGGTAAACATGTCGCTTTGCAGATTTCTCATAGAACATGGCGCACGGGTGGATATTGTCAATAACGATGGAGAACTTCCCATTGATATCGCAGACACTGATGAAATGGAGAGTTTGCTGCAAGCAGAAGTCCATCGGCAAGGTTAGTTTTATGCGGCATAGTGCTCGATGGGTGGCTTTATTCGTTTTATGGCTGTTGTTTGGACTTATTCGCTGTCGCACGACAGGAATCGATGCGGATCTCGCGAGGTCGGAGGAGGAGCAGATAATGCTGAAGGATGTCAAAGAGTGGTACGGAGCCAATTCTGCAAAAGAAAACATTCATCCCAAAACCGGTGCTACGCCACTACATGTGGCCGCTGCTAAAGGATATCGGGAAGTGATGCGGTAAGTCTCGTGACGTCGTAATTTGTTGCTTGTTATTAGTGTTTTACTTTTCTGATTTGGACGTATTCAATTTTACTTACTGTAATTGCTAAATGAGCTAGTTTTTACGTATAGTTTGCGCTCAGGAATTTCAGTTATTGTGTCATTGAATGCAGGCTGCTACTTGACCTGGGTGTTGACATTGACGCACGCGATGTGGACGGTTGGACACCTTTGCACGCTGCTGCACACTGGGGTCATCGCGAGGGATGTCGTATGCTGGTAGAATATGGATGCGACATGGAAGCCAGGGCGAACATGGTGCGTTTGTTGTGCTTGGTTTTTTTTATTGGAAATTGGTTATTTCTTCCCACTTATCTGTTTTATTTAGGGCCAATTAGCTAGTGATCTTTGTGAAAACGACATGGTGGCCTTCTTAGAAGATTTGCAGAAACGTCAAAGTGCAGTACGTTAGTTGTTTTTTCTTGAATAATACGCATTCAGTGAGAATCATTTAACAGTGTAAAATTTTGTAGATGGCCAAAGAAAAGTATGCGCAAATGGAGTTAACAAATCGCCCAATTCCTGCTGCCCTACGAAAAAGGTAAAGCTCTTAACATTGCGACAAAGAGAAACGTTGATGGTTGAGTTTGCTTGTTTGTTTCGCTTCAGAGTTACTGGGGTCGATAAGGCCCCACTCCAGTCGAAAGATGTTCCTAGTGAAAAAACCCAGCTCGAATCGCTACGAATTAAACCGAAGGATAACAGTAGAATCTGTGATACGGAGAATGTGCAGCGTGATATTGCGCCGAAACCAGAAACACCAACAGCATCGCCTTATCAGGCTAACTCCCGGTACATCCAATCCACAATAACGCCTAATAAGTTCGAAAAGGTAAGAATCAGAGATGTTCATGTGAGTTGTCCACTGGTCATAAAAACGAAGTCTATCATAGATCGTTATATAATTTTACTGACAGCAGGAATTAAAAATCACGGAGCCCGTGAAACCTATAAGCTTTTTGAATGTCATCCAAGAGAAACCACCACCTGAACCGAAGCCCGCTGTTTCTGTGCCAGTTCCTGCCCCAGTGACGGTGAAGCCCATCAGTTTCCCTGTCCCTGAGGATATTAAGCCAATATCTTTCCTTCAGTCTCGTGAATCTCAGTTTCCTCTCACAGCCAAACTTTCAACAGCTTCGGAGAAACTTAAAACTGAACCGCCTCCACTTGTCCAGCCTCTGCAGAAAGTAACACCTATCAGTTTCCTCAAACCTACAGATGTTGCTCCATCGGTACTAGGACAGTCATTTTAATCCGAGGAATCAGGAATTTATAATTTTTCATTTTTAAATTATGTTTAATAGGCTTCTTCGCCACAGAAACCTGTTGCTGCTGTAGTTAGCCAGCCACCAGTTGGACAAACTGCACAGAAGGTATGCTGCAGTGTATCATTGTGACTTCGGGCTTTGGTACTTATTTTTACGTAACGTTTTTCTAGGGGCTCTCTTCTCCAGCTACTGGACAAAACACTAATAAGCCTTCCCTGCCTCAGTTGTCTTCATTTGAATATATCGATGTAAGTTGAAATTATTGAAGTATCCTGGCGCACATGTATATCTAAAGCTTTGTGTTATCCAGGATGGTCCCTCGGTGAATTCACCGGGGCCGGCGTCTCCAGCAGCGGCTCCACAGCGGGAACGGTAAGATTTGCCCGATTACTGCTTGATCACTGAGTTATGCATACGGTGGCTATGGGTTAATGGGAGCATGACGTCTAATTGTGCACGCCGCACGCCTTGGTTGGATGTCTTCCCTCGCTTCGTTGTTTTGCCATATCGCTTTCCCTACCATTCGATTTTTTAAACAAATAGTGGAAACTGGCGTCCATGTTTACAGTGGCTGCGCTTATAAGCGTGTTTCACACTAACACTATTAAACAGGCCATCGCGGCGTAACACGGACTGGCCGCCGAAATTGTCAACCACAACGGACTTTCCTAACTATAAGGCACCATTAACCCATACGCAGCCTATGCCATCGCCTGTCAAAAAAGCCTCTTCTGAATCTAAACCATCTATTGAAATAACCACCGTTTCAGCGTAAAATGATGAAGTACTATTTTGTCGTTAACAGTGCAGTTTTAAATGTGTTAAATCTGCGCAGATCTGGATCAAAAGCGGGAATTTCTTCGCCCTCGCCGGGCTTTTTCGCCGGTAATGTCGGCGACACTGAAGTGTCTAGCACTGCCACTGTTAGAAGGTGGGTCTTATTGTGTTCCTTACCAATGAAGAAATAACTGTTTGGAACAAAAGACAATACTATTGCATGTATGATTCACGATATATTTTGTTTTTAATGTATAGGTCGTTTCAAGCTCCCAGTCGCGATGAGGAATCAGAAGCTCAGCGCAAAGCGCATGCCAAACGAGTAAGGGAAACAAGGCGCTCCACACAGGTAGGATCAACCCAGTTTATGAACAGATATTTTAAATTATTAATTATTTGACATTCGCTGCTGATGAACACTTTATTACTGCAGGGCGTATCCGCGGAAGATCTCAAAGCAGCGGATGCACAAGCTAAACAACAGCAGGCAGATGATAATTACGCTAAAGCACGTGAGACGACCAGTAGAAATGAGGAGAAAGAGAATGATGCTAGGAGATCTTCGGTTTTGAAGCTTTTAACTATCCCTGGCGCATCCGGTGGAACGGAGATAGAGTCGCCCAAGAAGCTGATTCCCGCTAGTCCAGAGGCTATTATTACGCTACCTTTGAGGAAAACGAAGACGGATGAAGGTAGCATGAAATTTTATTTTTCGGAAGAAAAGCTGGATATGATAAACAATTTATAATCCAACACAGATATGGATGATCAGAAAAACTCACGGCGGCGTCGACCAAAGCGTCGATCAACTGGTGTCGTCAACATCGATATGGAGGTATGATAACGTGATATGGGTATTAATGAGTTGGTGTATGATTAATTAGTTTGCTTTCAAAGGAAGAGGAAGGCTCAGCGTCTGGGACAGACATTACTGATTTAAATTCAAAAACAGACTCAGGTCTCCCAAATGGACGCCCGCCGCACGAAAGTAACGGATCACAGGTATTTGAAATATCTTAGCCCGCTACAGTGCTCGTATTTGTGTTTGCATGCGATACTTGTACTTCGAATGTAGTTTAATGTGCAATATTGGACGAGTCCTTAAGACGCTTAAAATGCAATAATATTAATGCGAGCGGCAAGCCCGGTTCTGTGCCGATGGTTGTGATTATAGTACAGAATACAGATACAGCACTCAAAAATGAAGTAATGCTAGGTGCTGTAAGGGTACAGTGATACCTGGATCTTTTGCTATTTTGACCTGGATCTGTGTTTTTAAAAACAATGCTGCCTTTTATAAATGAAGTCGAGAAATTGTTCGTGCAAATTACCGGATTCGATTTTCGTTTTAAATTGAGCGATCAGCACTTTGGGCAACTTTGCTGAGCAAGAATGATTTTGCACTTGTGACCTTTCATAGGTTTCTTTCGTCTTTTCCAGTTTTCCATCATGGCCTGCTCTTGTGCCTTTATCGTTTGTACGTGCATCTGGCCAATCATTGTGAATAGCTGTTGAGGAATGTTGTGGTCGGTTTAAGACTTTAAGTGTAAAATTGTACATATGCTGTAAAGCTGTTCTGGTTGTAATGAGCGAGCCGTACATTTCATTTTTTGTTCGCACTTACCATAAATGTGGGACGTTTATCACGGCTGGAATTAGCTGTGCGCGCGCTCCTTCTAGTTCTCGCTGTGTTTCTGGCTGGCGGCATGCTGTGCTGACGTCACTAAACTGCACAAATGTAGATGTTGGCCACAGTGAGTTCCGGTGTGTGTGTGTGTGTTTGTGTTATATAGCATGTTGGAATCGTTCCGAAAATGTGTTAGACTGCTGTCAAGGACTTGTGCGCTGTTTGGGGATGTTCGTAAAAATAGCTTAATTTTTCGATACGCCGGTAGAGGCGGTTTCTCCAAGCCGAGTGAACTTGGTAGGCACGCACACTCGGCACAGCTGGGAAAGCGACGAATGGAGAAGAAAGACCAGTTTACTTTGGTTGTGTACGTGCGCATACTGTATGGTCATCAGGTTTACGATTCGTTTCTACACCAGCATCATGAAAGCCTTTCGGTGGATGTTGTTTTCCTACGCGTATTTCCTTGCAGGCCGAATATTGCTTAGATAGTCGTCTAGTCAGGAGAAAGTTCGTAATTATCCCTGTGACTAATCTGCAGTATCCTTGTAACACCTTCGCAAAATACTCACGGTCAGTTGATCATATCCGCAGGTGTACACAGTACACGGTATGGGTGTTGTGTAGCGGGACTTATTAATAGACTAAGGATGATATTTTGGGATACTGTGATTAATGTGATGATCACCACATCAACCGCCATAGTCAGCTCGCTGTCGTACGAGCCGCTACTCTTGAGAAACAGTGAAAGCATGTTGGCTACATATTTCTGCACCGGTTTATGCGTTCCTACGTGATATTTTCTGCCTTTTTTATCCTGTGACTCCTTCGTTTGGTCATTGATCCTGATTGTTTGCTAAGGCATCTCTCACGCACAAACAGCATGTCCTATTCTCGCAGAGGGAGTGCCAGCCTGTACAGTCCGGCCGGAAGCTCAAGTATCACATGACTCATAAATATTTGCTTTGAGAACAAAAACATGGAGTTTTCTAAATTTTTCGTATTTAGCGAGCAGTTCCGGCAAATCGTATCCTACCAGTTACATGGTTCCGGCTTCTGCGCTTTCCAGTCTCCTTTACCGCAGTTCAGCCGGACCCACACCGACGCCGACGCAGGCTGCTTACCTTAGTCATTCGTCCGCCTCGGGTTTAGGAAGTTCTTCCAATAGTTCTTTGTCGTCCCTGGTTTTTCAGCCACGAAATTCATCAAGGTCACGTTCCATTCATGCAGTAAGATACAGTAGCTATTTCACCCGCATTTTACGTTTTAACCAGTTCAGTCAGAGAAGAGTCGTTCACTGACGATTCGTTTTTGGACAATTCAAGTACAAATCCCGCAGAGCAGTGCATTTTATGACCACCAGTTTTTAAACTTGTATGATGGGTAGTTGGAAGGCACTCAGTGGGACACACCCAGAACATGTGATTATTTTGAATTCTAAAGTTAACTTTTTATCCGTAAAATAATCCGTAAAAAGAGCTTTGGTTGTTTGATGTTGCGCCTTACGGTATTTCTATATCGCATCACGCTTGCCTTGAATGCCGCTGGACGTTATACCGCCAATGCCGGCTGAATACTCATATCGGTTTTAATTCGATAAAAATGTTTTCTATAAGGGTGTTACAGTAAGTGTTGCTGTATTCGCGCTTTGAATGCAGTAAAAGATCTCAGTTGCTTGATGATTGATTCTACAGATGTACGTATGTTTCCAGGGTACGGCTACTGGTACTGACCGTTCATATACGCGATCCAAATATGAAAGCAGCACTCCCGAGAAAAGTCCCGCTCCAGTCCCGAGTTACCGATCCAGTAGAGCTAGTTCTATTAGCTCTTTGACCAGTGAGAAAGACGTGGAAAGCACTAACCAAGACTGGAAGAAGGTAGGTTAACAGATTAAGCGAAATATTGTATTCTGTTCTAGGAGTTCCTTTAAACTTTGAAGTAAGTGTCGTAAAACAAATATAAAACATAAAACAAATATAAAACGAAACAGCACCCGCCCGTACAGTGAGTTGTATGCTAAACGGATACGACTCACTGTAAAAAAAGTTCTGTTGCGACTTAGCACCACAGTAGTTTTATACGTCTTCGATTGGCCCCTACTCCTTCCGAGTGCTATACATTAACATTGTTTGTATAGACTATTGTACTTGTATTGTTAAATTTAATTAACTACATCCGTAACAGCCATGACGGCCTTTGCTAAGAAAATTATGTTTGGACAAACGGGTAGGCCGATTTCGACGCGGTAAAGTGCGCCAGAATCGTCTCAACGACTCCGGTGATGTTGCGCTATTGCCGAACCGATGCGCCTCGAGGGGAAAGCAGGTGCCTCAAAAAACAAATTGTTGCCATGGGCCTGTCAGCCTCGGCTTCAGACATCGATCCCATCTGGTTAAAGCAAAGTACTGTAAACAACGTCTACTGCTTTTTATTTCCGGGTGTGAAGTACAGGACGCACCTCGGCTACCGGCCTCCATGCGTAAAAAGCCAAAGTTTTTATCCGGAATACCTCGACAAATTTTAATAATGTATGCGTCCGACGCCGTAATATCACACAACTGGGTGCGGATGTAGTCCTCCGTACACTGGTTATCTACATTCGAAACAGTTATGACAGGAACTACTGACCAACGCGATGTTTGGGCGAACGGGTGGGCCGATTTTGACGCGGTAAAGTGCGTTAGAAATGTCAGAACGGTGCGAAGGTTCATACGCTATTCCGAAATCGATACGCCCCAACGGGGAAACAGAAACTTCGAAAAACCAATTGTTGCCATGGGCCTCCATAGACGGACATGGGCTAAGCCTTTGCACAGTCTCAGTGACAGAGGTACATCGCGCACTTCGGCATCGGTTCGTTAAATAATCACGAAAAAAATTAGAAAAAATCTCTAAGAAAACGGAAGCCACGACCACAGTTCTTCGAAAACATTTGCTAAAAGCAATATTCAGGAAAAAATCGCGGCGTAATAATTAGATTTCCGAGTTTTCTTAGGTTTTCTTACGTATTCTCCTGTAATTAAATTATCCTATAATTTAATACGAACGACCTTTATTCATTACAATTACGTAATTCTTAGGTTTCTTGGGTTTCTTAGGTTTCTTAGGTTACTTAGTTTTCTTGCATTCATTCTAGTTTCATAATTTCTTGGCGGAATTGACCGGTGCTTTGTCGATTGCGACGAAACAAATTTTCGCCGCAAAAGTTGGGTACGGATATGGATCCCTTTAGCTATTTGCTAAAAATAGAATTCGGTAAAGAATTGTGCGCGAATGTAGATTTCCGTATACTGGTTAACTACATCCGTAACAACCGTGACGGCATAGGGTTAAAAAACCTATGTTTGAGAGAACGAGGACGCGGTCAAGTGCGCCAGAATCGTCGCAACAAGGCGGGGGATGTTACGCTATTGCCGACCCGATGCGCCTCAAGGGAAAAAAAAGGGCTGAAAAAACAAAGGTTGTTACCATGGGCCTTCATAGAAATACATGGGTACGCGTTTGCTCTTAGCGTATAGCAAACGATATGAGACGGTCACCATCATTGACCTTTTTGTTTTGTAGTGACATAACATAATAGTAATCAAATTTGTGTGTTAACGTATTTGTTTACTTTATTAAATGTTTTTTAAATGTAAGTGTCAGAAGAATGCTATCAAACGAGGAATAAAATTCGAAAAAAATCAAATATCGGCAAGAAAACCCGTAGAAACGAACATCAGAGAAGAATACGTCAACGAAGTGTACGCGAAGAAGGGAAATCTGCAGGAACCCTCAAGAAAGAAATATCAGGTGCTGCAGAAGAAAAGGATTTAGCGAGCCAGGACGCAAAAATCCTCCGTCACGATTCTTCCTCACGAAACCAAGGCGGCCGTCCAAAATCAAGGAAACTCAGTAAAGGTCATGAATCAAAAGAAAACGAAGAACTGCGAAAACACCTTTCAGGGAAGTTTCGCATACGCAAAGAATGTCCTGACGTAGATAAGCAGATGTCCGACGTAGATGTCCTGACGTTGGCCGAACGGCTGAACCGATTTCGACGCGGCCAAGTGCGTTAAATTCGTCTCAACGGCGCGAATGTTCTTACGATATTGCGCCATCGATACGCCCCAAAAGGAAAGGAGTAGCCCCAAAAAACAAATTGTTGCCATGGGCCCCCATAGACATACATGGTAGATACATTGTCTGTTTGCGGACCGTTCGGAAAAACCGAGACAGACCGCGGCCTTCGGCATCGGCACGTTACAAAGTATTGAAATTCAAGAAACATGTCCAAAAATTAATCGCAGTCAGTCCCACCAGCGTGAGCGGTATACCTCGTATTCTTTCATATACGATATTTCTTAGATATCTTAGGTTTCTTAGGTTTTCTTAGGTTTCTTAGGCTTCTTAGGTTTCTTAGGTTTCTTAAGTTTCTTAGATTTCTTCGGTTTCTTTGTTTTCTTAGGTTTCTTAGGTTTTCTTAACGAAAGACATGTACGGATGTAGATCCCGTAAACTGGTTATCTACATCCGTAACCACGTATACACGATTGATAATGTAGCCAATGTTTGGGCGAACGGCTGAACCGATTTCGACGCGGCCAAGTGCGTTAAATTCGTCTCAACGGCGCGAATGTCCTCACGCTATTGCGCCATCGATACGCCCCAAAAGGGAAGGAGTAGCCCCAAAAAACAAATTGTTGCCATGGGCCCCATAGACATACATGGTAAATACATTGTCGGTTCGCGGACCGTTCGGAAAAACCGAGACAGACCGCGGCCTTCGGCATCGGCACGTTACAAAGTATTGAAATCTAAGAAACATGTGCAAAAAGTAATCGCAGTCAATCCCACCAGCGTGATCGATATACCTCGTATTCTTTCATATACGATATTTCTTAGATATCTTAGGTTTCTTAGGTACTTTCAGGTTTCTTACGAGGGAGATACCCGAACACGTCCGCGTCAGATCAGCATACACTTGGTACCATCAGAACCCTTAGAATTTCAGCTATTTTCTTCAAGAATCAAAACACCCCCAGATAAAGAACTCGAGTTTAGGGATCTCTGAGAAGCCAGCATAGATATGATGGCTGACTTCCATCGAAACGTCAGCAGCCGCCATACGCATTGTCCAGCCTAGATACGCCATGCGTTACGCATAGTCTGGCTGCAATCTGTTGATTCTGTATTGGCTTTGTTGACGGCTGTCTCACCTATTTTGCCCTATCGCGCGCACAGCATCCGCGGTTGCATTGATCTCTATGCAGCTAGTCGATGCTGCTGCGCTTAATGAGTTAAAAAACTGCGATAGCTATCGATAAAGCGCTATTTAACTTCTCGCTGAAAGACGGTTGCGCAATCTCGCATCCGTACAGACGCGCCGTATAGCTCTGTATGGCGTCTGCTGACGTTTCGATGGAAATGAGCCATCATATCTGTGTTGGCTTCTCAGGGATCCCTAAACTCGAGTTCTTTATCTGGGGGTATTTTGATTATCAAAGAAAATAGCTGAAATTCTAAGGATTCTAATGGTACCAAGTGTATGCTGATCTGACGCGGACGTGTTCGGGTATCTCCCTCGTTAGGTATTCTTATGTATTCTTAGGTTTCTCACGTTTCTTAGGTTTCTTAGGTTTTCTTGGGTATTCTCAGGTTTCTTAGGCATTCTTAGGTATTCTTAGGTTTCTCAGGTTTCTTAGGTTTCTTAGGTTTCTTAGGCTTTCTTAGGGTTTCTCAAGTTTTCTTAGATTTTCTCTTTCTTAAATTTCGTAGTTTTCTTAGCGGCTGTGACCAATGCGATTAACCGTTGCGAAGTGTGCATTTCGTAACAGACTTGCGCCGCAGAAGTTTGTGTACGGATGTAGATCCCGTAAACTGGTTATATGAATACTGTACATCTCTTGCAGGTTTTCGGCCTCTCCTCTTTGTTACCGATGTTCTCGGCTTCCACTGAGCCGATTTTGCAGCTTTAAATTTTCACAGAATCTTTTCAAAACGTAGAGTAACACAAAGCTAGTGGTTTTTCTACTCTAACAAGTAGAATAAGCCCAGTGGTCACTCAAAGGCTTGTTGCCATGGATGCCATAGGGCTAACATGCGCTTGTTTTTCACCACGGGCAAATTAGGGTTAAACAAGAAACAGCATTGGCTTCGCCTCTGCGTATTTGTGGACCACATACCGAGCGAACGAATGATTCAGTCAGTTTTAAAATAAAATGAAAAGTAGCATCCGAGGCACAAACGAAACAAATTTTAATGGCGAAAAGTCAACATTTGAAGAACCAGGCATCAGATATCGGCTTAATCGACCTCAACTCATAAGAAAAAGTGCAAACTGCTAACGTAATATATAATGCCAGTAAACGTCCGCTTGTTGGCTGGTCAATGATCTAATTGCAGAAACAGGAAGATTTTCAGCTGATACAAACGCAAGTTGACCGAAGAGCATTCGTTGTGACCAGTTTAATCAAATAAACTGAAGGCGATCTATTGTCTTACATTCCTATAAAACTATCTCTTTTCAAAAAAATTCCTAACTGCTAGTGAATTACTACTGCTACCTCAAAAGACTGCAACATTTGAATTTTCAACGAGTCTATTTGCCCAGTCGTAATCCAATATTCATCCGTGCTCAGCTTGTTAACTACATCCGTAACAGCCATGACGGCCTTTGCTAAGAAAATTATGTTTGGACAAACGGGTAGGCCGATTTCGACGCGGTAAAGTGCGCCAGAATCGTCGCAACGACTCCGGTGATGTTGCGCTATTGCCGAACCGATGCGCCTCGAGGGGAAAGCAGGTGCCTCAAAAAACAAATTGTTGCCATGGGCCTGTCAGCCTCGGCTTCAGACATCGATCCCATCTGGTTAAAGCAAAGTACTGTAAACAACGTTTACTGCTTATTATTTCCGGGTGTGAAGTACAGGACGCACCTCGGCCACCGGCCTCCATGCGTAAAAAGCCAAAGTTTTTATCCGGAATACCTCGACAAATTTTAATAATGTATGCGTCCGACGCCGTAATATCACACAACTGGGTACGGATGTAGTCCTCCGTACACTAGTTAATATCGTATATGAAAGAATACCTCGTATTCTTTCATATACGATATTTCTTAGATATCTTAGGTTTCTTAGGCTTCTTAATTTCTTAGGATTCTTAGGTCTTCTTAGGTATTCTCAGGTTTTTTAGGTGTTCTTAGGGAATCTTAGGTTTCTCAGGTTTCTTAGGTTTCTTAGGTTTCTTATATTTCTTGGGTTTCTTAGTTTTCTTAGGTTTCTTAGGCTTTCTTAGGGTTTCTGACGTTTTCTTAGATTTTCGCTTTCTTAAATTTCGCAGTTTTCTTAGCGGCTGGGACCAATGCGATCAACCGTTGCGAAGTGGGCATTTCGTAACAAACTTGCGCCGCAAAAGTTTGTGTACGGATGTAGATCCCGTAAACTGGTTAACTACATCCGTAACAACCGTGACAGAGTAAGGTTAAAAAACCTATGTTTGGGAGAACGGGTAGGCCGATTTCAACGCGGTCAAGTTCGCCAGAACCGCTGCAACGCCCCGGTGGATGTTACGCTATTACCGAGACGATGCGCCTCGAGGGGAAAAAAGGGGACCGGAAAGGAAAGTTGTTACCATGGGCCTCCATAGACATACATGGACAAGTTGTTCCCATGTGCGTAAATGACACAACACGCCTCGGCCACCGGCCTCGATGCGAACAAAAATAAAATTAATTAATCACCAAAAGCCGACGCCGATAAATTGGTTACGGATGTAGTCCTCCGTAAACTGGTTAACTACATCCGTAACAGCCGTGACGGCCTTTGCTAAGAAAATTATGTTTGGACGAACGGGTAGGCCGATTTTGACGCGGTAAAGAGCGCCAGAATCGTCGCAACGAAGCGGGTGATGTTGCGCTATTGCCGATCTGATGCGCCTCAAAGGGGGAGCATGACCCTCAAAAAACAAATTGTTGCCATGGGCCTGCATGTCGCGGCTTCGGACCTCGCTCCAAACTAAGTACGGTACTAGTTAAGCACAGTGTTGTGACTTAAGTATCTTCTCCGTTGCGTAAAGGACACAACACGCCTCGGCCACCGGCCTCGATGCGCAAAAAAAAACGAAATTGAATCGCTAAAACTAACGCCGATCGCCAAACCGACGCCGACGAATTAGATACGGATGTAGTGCTCCTGCTCCTGCTCCTCCATAGACATACATGGACAAGTTGTTCCCATGTGCGTAAATGACACAACACGCCTCGGCCAGCGGCCTCGATGCGAACAAAAACAAAATTAATTAATCACCAAAAGCCGATGCCGATAAATTGGTTACGGATGTAGTCCTCCGTAAACTGGTTATCTACATCCGTAACATCTTATACACGAGTATGCTTTGTTCCGAATGATTGGCCGAACGGCTGGGCCGATTTTGACGCAGTAAAGTGCGCCAGAATCGTCGAAACGACGCCAGTAATGTTACGCTAATGCGAAACCGATGCGCCCCAACGGGGAAACAAAGGCCCCAAATAACAAATTGTTGCCATGGGCCCCCATAGACGGCCGTGGGCTAATAATCTGCACAGTCGCAGCGACAGAGGCGGCCCGCGGCCTTCGGCATCGCTTCGGTGAAAAAAATTAAAAAATCGTAAAAGTACGACAATTGTATTCTTTGCCTTTCTTGACTTTCTTGCTATCGTAGATTTCGTAGGTTTCTTAGGTTTCTTATTTTTCTTAGGTTTTGTTAGGTTTCTTAAGTTTTCTTAGGTTTTCTTAGGTCTTCTTAGGTTTTCTTAGGTTTCTTAGGTTTCTTAAGTTTTCTTAGGTTTTTCTAGGTTGCTTAGGTTTCTTAGGCGTCTTACAATTCTTACGCTTAAAAAAACTTTCTGAATGCAGAAGATTCGTATATTTCATTAACTAAAAAATTTCGAAACCTTCGAAACCAGGCCCGTCGCGAGACCCCTGTGCAATTTTCAAAAAAAAACTCCTCCTACAGTTTTCATCGGGAAATTTTTCTGAATACACCATTAGATTCGTCGTGAAATTCTGAACAAAATGGTTGAGGCCGATTTTTGAAATTCGCATTTCCCCCTAGACCCTTACTACGGGCGGTCCCCAATTCGACAGCCTGACTTCTGGGGAATTCTCCCGTGCACTTTCAAAAATATACTTCTCCTACAGTTTTTATCGCATATTTTTTCTGAAAACATTCCTGAACGCGCCGTAAAATTCTGAACAAAATGGTTGAGGCCAAATTTCAAAATTCGCTCCTCCCCAAGGACGTCCACCCGGGCGGTCGCCTATGTCACAACCCAAGTTTTGGGGCTTTTCCCCCTGACCCCTCAGAAATAGAGAAATCATTTGCGCTTGAAATACTAATTGTATCACTTAAAAAGGCTCGAGAAGGTGTCTTTGACTGCCCTTGGGGGCCAGGGGGGAATGCCCCAAGAACTGAGCTGTCGCATTGGCGACCGCCCGTAGTAAGGGTCTAGGGGGAAATGCGAATTTCAAAAATCAGCCTCAACCGTTTTGTTCAGAATTTCACGACAAATCCAATGGTGTATTCAGAAAAATTTTCTGATGAAAACTGTAGGAGGAGTATTTTTTTGAAAATTGCACAAGGGTCTCGCGACGGGCCTGTTCGAAACTAAAGTACGCTGCGAACAATACGTACGGATGTAGATCCCGTACACTGGTTATATGAATACTAACTATCTGTGCCAGGATTTCGGCCCCCCTCCTTCGGCGCCGGTGATCTCAGCTTCTACTCATCCAATTTTCCTGCTTTAAAATGCTTTAGAAACCTCCCGATCACGCGGGTGTTCTAAGACCAATCGTCATTGGCAAATTTCAAAAACTCAAGTCCAGTGGTCACTCAAAAGCTTGTTACCATGGATGCCATTGGGCTAACATGGGAGGGTTCGCGCTCGTGGGCTTACTAATTTGCAAATTTCCAGGGAAACAGCTTTTGTTCTAACCATGTTGCAACGTATTGCAATCTGAGATAGTCGCAAGCCAATATTCATCCGTGCTCAGCTTGTTATTATATATCTGTAAGACTGTACGTACAATGTACATACTACATACCGATACTGTCTGTATACTGATGTGGGATGGTTAATTGTTATCTGTATTATAGATGTACGAACAAGAGAAACTGGAGAACGAAAAGCTAAGGAAAAAATTAACAGACGTGGAGAAAGAACTTTCGGATGTCAAAACCGATACCCTTAAGCATTCTGTAAGTTGGGCATTGGTGGTTAACTTATTCACAAATACCGGCGGTGCTTTGTTGCTAATAATAATATGGGTGTGGTTATGCACTAATCAAGCGCGCTTGTTGTTAGAATGTAAATCGGCCTAACGCTTTATCGGAAACTGAAAAGCGGGTATGGTGTAATTTATATTTACTAGTGACTTTGTACTACCATTCACATGTTGTGTTTACTTCACAGGAACGAAGAGCAATGGAGCGGAAGATTGCCGAGATGGAAGAAGAACTAAAGGTACTATACTAGAGCCATAACCGTAATTTTTTTCATGCCATTACATGTATTGTACCGCCAGGAATTAGAGACACTCCGAGCCGACAACCAAAGGCTAAAAGAAGAAAATGGCGCTCTCATTCGAGTCATAAGCAAGTTGTCCAAATAACGTTTCGGTTGATGGGATTTGGGATGGATTGTGGTTCTTACTTCGTGTGAAACTTTCGAATGCCTTTTCCGGAAGAAGTTTTTATTGTGCCAAGAGGTATAATCAAGCAGATTTGCGGTTGGCGTCTTCTGTGCTCACCTATCCAGATGAATTCAATGGCCTTCGATTTGTGTTTTTCTTTTTTTGATTTATTTTACCTATCCATTAATTGTGGCATAACCGCCGTTAAGTCCATTTGGATGATTGGATCTGCCCATCAGTTTGTATACCATTTCAGTGCCTTGTTACCTGAACCATCCGCTGTACAAAGCTGTATTTTTCTCGGTTGGGCTCTGGGTTGGAGTTGGAGAGCTGTTAGTTCGATATGTTTTTCTTACCGCAGAGCTTTTACATCTGCACTAAAATTTTTAAGTTTTTATCAGTTATTTTTTATTTAACGTCAGCTCGGTGGCTGAACGACTGCTGGTGGTATTTTGATTTTGGAGTGCCTAAAGGGAATTTTAATAAAAATAAAGTCAGCGAAAGCACTACCAGTACCAGGTGTTGTTTATTGATGCCAGATCCAACGTAATGCATCGGTCTTCTATTCGTTCACCAGTTAGGTAATGTAAGAAATGGTAGGGTAGTGATCACAGCATTAAATCCCCAACCTGCGGGAGTTCAAGCAAGGTGGGTTCAAGTATACGTCGAAGTACAGCACTTGTGACTTATTAAACTACGTACAGCGCGTACCGCTAACCAGTAAGGCGCGAACTGACCATAACTCACCATCAAGTGGCTTTTATTATGCTTTAACAACATTGCATAGTGTGCAGTGCACCAGGGATGGGCATCGGATAAGATTTCTTTATCCTAATCCCAACTCCTAAGCAACACTTTTTAAAATCATCCTTATCCAAAGTTTTTCTATTTCCTTATAATGATAATCGGATAATTGTCCAAAAAGGCAATTTTTTATTTTTTATAAGAAAAAAATTTGGACAAAATTCAGCGCTTAGTTTCTGAATAAAACAGAAGTTAGTAATGGCTAAAGTTATTAACGCCATCGATTTAAACTAAAGCAAAAGCGCCAATGTACCGGCATTACTACCGTACTACCGCGTCAGTACTGCTCTCCTTAATAATAACAAGAGAATTCGGGTTTATCGAATAAAAATTGTAAGCAACGTTTACCAGCACAAATTGATTTGTCGGATAAGGTTCGGACAAGCAGCCATTATCCGACCCTATCCGAATGCTACGGCAAGTTATCCTTATCCGAACGTTTCGGATAATTATCCTGTATCCTATCCGAAACTCGGATAGGATAAAATATTCCTATCCGATGTCCATCTCTCGTGAACACTTCATCCATTGCAGCTCACAAAACAAGCGAAAAGTATCGCCATTGTCAGTAAATGGTAAATCATTCGAGATCCACATGTGAGTGTCATTATGTCTCATTACATTATGATTTTGTATTTTGGTCGGGAAAGAACTCGTCGTTACGCGTGGAATCATTTGTAGAATTACCGATCGATTCGCCATTTTGTGCTTTAAGCAGTCTTTTTTTCAGGTTTCTCTCCTCCGCTTTCATTTTCCTCTGCTCCTCTCTCCATATAAACTGTCTCTTTTTCTGCATCAGAAAACTGTTCTCTCCGTTATGAAAATCATCTAGTCGTTTCTGCAGCTCTTGGCGAGCCAAGATCCGATTGCGCTCCTGCGTTCGCTCTTGTTGACATTTAATAATAATTCCAGTTGGAAGATGCCTTAACTGGACGCACGTGCTTCTTTTATTGACGTTCTGCCCTCCCGCTCCACCACTCTGCAATTGTTCAGCGAAATACAGCACCTTGCAACTCAAAATTCAAAATACGGTAGCACTTCATACACACGAACACGAGTGCTCCCTGAAAGTCACAATATCGCACTGCACAGCGCATTAATCCAGAATTTACTGAGATATCCAGATATCTTGAGCAGCATCCTTTTAAGTTGGAAATGTAAAATTTGCTATTAAATCTCGATATCATAAGGACAAAAACTAAAGTAAAGGCATCGTCAGATTTACTCAATTACCCTCACAAACGATTCCTCGATTTCGTCTTCGTTCAGCGGTGGATATTGGTGTCTGCTTCGAACGCCGTTCATCATGCCAGTAGAACGAAAGATCCGCAATCCGCTCTTGCTTTGCAGAACTGTATCAGACATTGCTATCAAGCGATAAAAACTTGAAAAAGACATAACGATTATAGAAGCCCGTCGAATTTCGGCTTCATACCACAACCATACTCGATAACAATGTTATTAAATGTAATTAAAACTAGTAATATCTATATTATATAGATATAGTATGATATGTACATGTAATGATGTACGTATGCCGCCTCGTACATGTACGTATACCGCCATTAGACAGTTGACTGTAAATTACTGTAAAAACCAATCCGACGTCTCCCTGAAGAATGCGCTTCGAAGCATAAAAACTACATTATGCGAATCAGGGTTAATAATCTGTCGTCTTTGGGAAACTGAAAAACGAAAAGCTGAAAAAATCCAACTATATTTACTAATCGTAAACATATGTACAGTACAACTACAGATATACGTAGATAGTAACAAGTACTTACTATAGTGTGAGAGTACCTATAGTAAGTTCTTGATAGTAAGTAATTATTTTCCAAACATTAACAGAAGCCCCGCGCAAACTGCGCGAGGTGGCGGCTAAACTAGTTTCTGACGGTTTGACTCCCTCGGCCTGCGCCACTCCAACCTTCGTGTGTCTGCGCGTAATTTTTCACTGACTGTACGAGTATTGTACTCGTACAACAGCAGTATGTCTGTCAGCGACTGTCACTCTCAAAATTTATTAATTTCTCGTGGCGTCGATAATTTTCATAAGTTGATATTGTCACATTATTGTGATTCTCCGCGCTACATTATCTAACTGTATTTCGCTTGCGGCAGTTTTTTTGCGCACTGCAATGCCGTTGCTGAATAACATATGTTTAGCCCGACTTTGACTGCTTTGCCAAGACTCAAAAACAGACCCGAATGCAAATGGATACCAACAACAACAACAAGATAGCAGGTATCAACGGAGATGCCGATAGAATCACATCGTGGGACGACTCCAGTTTAGATCATTCCGATGGTCCCGATGCCTTTTCTTCGCCCGAATTAAAGGCGTTTAGAGCCACCAAAAACCGAATGTTTCCTGTGAAGAAAACCAGTACCCTGAACGAATTATCCGTGGACATGGAAGCGCTTAACATGCTACGCGAAGCCAAGACCTCTCCAGCTATACCTTATCGATTACGCCACTTATCAGCGGAATTCGATGGTATCGGCAGGTAGGAATACTGTGCTGAATTTTATCGAGATATTGACGCTTTTCGTCTAGCGATAGCTGGTTTCTCCCGAGTAACTGTGTTGCGATTAAATCGCTCGCAGCAGGTGCATGTTGGTTTCCCATTGGCAGTGATAGTTCGAGTTTTGCCTTTTTATCGATTTCTTAACCATGTGACTGCCGAGTGCCGCACATTGAGGATAATAATACCACCATGGGTAGTTAGCAAACAAAGCCTTCTTGCAGTTGATAGCGCCTAGGACTTAACTCTGATAAAACTGAAAAGCTTATAGGAACGCTTTTACCTTTAAAACGGCATACACGCTTCGCATTGCGGTGGCGTTACGTCATCATGTAAACTGGTCATGATGGATAAAGGTGCTATTCTGCCGTCTCCATGCGTGTGAAAGTGGTTCTTTTTTGCATTTTCTTATGTGCTCGGTGATGCATGGAGATTTGCGATATTTTGGCTTCGTCATCGAATTGCCGCCGCATAGACACACTGTTCTCCATTCATTTCCGGCTTGCATTTCGGAATCGCTGCTCTGCATTTACTTGTCACTTGTGATTTTAACTTCCTTACATTGCATCATGGCGTAATCGGAAATGAACGGTGTCTTTCGTAGGCGGACACGATCGCTTGCTGGACCGAGTCCCGTAAGTCGTTAAAATCATTTTCCTTGTTGCTGTAGTTATTTAACTGTGCTGAAGGAAAGATCGCCTCGGTTGCGCGACCGTTATCCTCCGGAGTGGCGCACTGCTTCAATAAGCTCCATAATGCGCTTCTCATCTAATGTTCCTCTTGTGGTTGCTCAGGTGTGCCATTTCGGGCCGAAAGCCCAGTTGTTTCATTCGGACAAAGGAATTGTTACAACTGTTAATGATCCTGGAACAACCCGGTTGAACTGGTCGTCATTCCCGCAAAACGTTCTTGTTGTGAAAAAAGTCCGAGATCTGGATGTCTTGGAGCCGTTCGTGCAGTTATTGCAGTATTTATTGGAGGTAAGAATAAGATTACTAACTTTTTTAAAAGCTCTTAAGAACATTTTTCTTGCAAAGTGTGCTGCTTTTTCCTTAAATTATATCAAAATGTAATTATGTTTAATGTATTTGTCGAATTTTAATAATTCATTTGCCAGTAATTAACATTGTTTGCTGAGGCATTGTTGTTGAATGGTGATGGTTATTAACGATTAATCATTCCGTGTTCTTTTTGTGGGATTATTGCCACATTTTTGCCCTGAGGACTTATATCGGCTTATTTGGAATGGTTCATATTTTCTTTTGTAGCACACTAGTTAGACCAGAAATTGCAGAACTGATTACCAGCAGGGTTCATAATGTGCAGTGTGCATTAAATCCAAACCGGCAACTGAGAAAGGGCAACACCACATCTTATTTATAGTTCTGTTCAGATTTTCAGTTATGTTTTCACTCTGTCAAGTTCTTGCGTTTGCGTTAGGTACAGATGTACAGGTTATTATAACTTAGAATCGAAATAGAAGTTTTGAAAAAATAGGTTTCGCGACGGCTATCAGTTGCATTAAAAGACGTTATTATATGGTAACGGTTACAATATACTGTAACTATTGTTGAACAGTCTGTGTCTGAAATGGTTAAAATGCACAGTGATTCCCATTCAAAAGTTGCGTAATGTCGGTGAGCGTTTAATAAAGATAATCTAATAATTAAGTTAATTTTTCTGATTAGATTAGTAGCACTTGACATGATTTAAAGAACAGAAATGGTATTTTGGAATAATTTATTTTCTGTTGCATCACTTATTATGTTGCAGAAAGAGATGACAATCTTCATTGAACAGTCCGTTCTCAGCGAGGAGCACCTACTAGAGAACTCTGAATTTGCCAACATGAAGCACAAACTCAGCACTTTTATTGAAGGTAAACAATATATTTAATCATGTTTGAATTGTAACCAAGCGATTGTATTTTGTTGATCTAGGCTGCGATGCGCTGAGCGACATCATCGATTTTATTATTTGTCTTGGGGGTGACGGCACGTTGCTCTATGCAAGTTCCCTCTTTCAGGTGATTTCAACACGTGTGATCACTTTCACGTGTTACCGACAGTTTTAAGTCTTGTCAGCTTAATGTCGGAGTTTAGACATGTAACAATAACGCATATATAAGAGTAAAAGGTACAAAAAGTAAATTTTGTCAATTTTATTTACAGACCAGTGTTCCGCCGGTGATGGCCTTTCACTTGGGCAGCTTGGGCTTTCTAACGCCATTCGAATTCGTTAATTTTGAAAAGCGAATCGAATGCGTTCTCCGTGGTCATGCTAATTTGATTTTACGCAGCCGGTTGCATTCTGAAATGTTGAAGGATGGTCGCGAGCGACAGTCAATGCTGACAATGAGCAGTTCGACAGAATCCTCACCGGAACCGGAAACGAAAACCGGTGAAGACGATCCCCATGACCACACGGCATTTGTTGTTTTGAATGATGTCGTAATTGACCGGGGTCCTTCGCCTTATCTAGTTAATCTTGATCTCTTCTGTGATGGCCGACTCATTACGTCTGTCCAAGGTGATGGCTTGATCATTTCCACGCCAACCGGCAGCACAGCCTACGCTGTTTCAGCGGGGGCTTCTATTATCCATCCTGGTGTTCCGGCTATTATGATTACTCCAATTTGTCCGCATTCCCTCAGCTTCCGGCCAATTATGGTGCCTGCCGGGTGTGAATTGCGGGTAATGGTATCGGATAATGCTCGCGATCCTGCTTGGGTCTCCTTTGATGGCCGGTGTCGCCAAAAATTGAATTACGGTGATGTTCTCAAGGTGACGACATCGATTTATCCGCTGCCATCGGTTTGCCAAACAGACCAGATACAGGATTGGTTTACCGGATTGGCGGGCTGTTTGCACTGGAACGTTAGGAAGCCACAGAAACCCCTGTCTAATCATAAGTTGTGTAATGGTGAAGAGAAGCCGTAGAAGTTTGCTGGGAGCTTTTATTTTACATAGGTGAAGACTATCCGAGGCACTATTTACGGTGACAAATATCTGTTGTCTGAATAGTTTTGGGCCATGTTCTGCTAATGTTGTCGGAATGTAGATGCATTTCTCACATTTTTGATTTTTATGGTTTGCAATTAGCCTGGTGTTTTTATAGTTCGAAACCGTTGGTAATCTCGTTGCAGGTTGCAGTAAAAAATGCCTGCTTGGATCTGTGATGCTGTTGATATGCAGTGTTCAGAGTGGGGTGATATTTTTATTAAGCAGGATTATTCTATTCTGCCTTTGGCTTTTTTACATTAACCAGATAGAAGAAATTGGGAAGTTATGACCATTTATTAAAAAATATAATTAATAATTCAGCGAAAAAAAATTCGCACAATTAGGCGAACAATATTGACAGCATACGACCACAGCGGATAAAATCTACATTCTACAGACACTCGTAGTCTCGTGTGAGTCGTATCAGACCAGTACTGCACGAGCTCTACGCAGTACATAAAAGTGATAAAGCTGATAAGAGCAACAATCCGAGCGACTGACACAAACGGGATGCTATTTGAGCGGTACAGGCTTTCTTATAGTGCACTACGCAAATTATGCACTACGACTCATCTACGAGTAGAGCATGGAACAAGAACATAATAGATGCAAGCTACCTGCTACCTGATTTCAAACTTTGTAGTACTGGACTACTAGTTACCTTTAAAATGCTAATCAATCTGACTTCCGCGAATTTCATTTAGAATTACTGGTTGTTCGCCTGCAAACCTTTGCAACGAAAATGTGGTGGTGATAAGGGGAGCCTAGAGAGTACGTACTCATCGCTCATCTGGATTGCAGAAACCCCTGACATTTTATCTACGATCGCAGCATGTCCTTAGTAACTTCTGTGGCGATCGCTGCTGCCGCTATGGTTGCGTGAAATTCGGTGATCATGGCTTCCTCTTGTCCTCTTTCTCTTTTTGGCTGCGAACCCAAGGAATGGGCTGCGCTGGAACCCGAGGACTCTTTCCTCATGTAAGCTATAACCCATAGTTGGTCTTCTTTTGCAATTGCGGCTAATTCTGATTTTCCATGCTTCCTTTGTACCTTGGTTTGTATAAAATGAACAGTTAATGAATGAATGCGTGTTTCTAAAGCGACTGGTGCAAACTTTAGTTGGTTTCGTACGACAACTGTGTATGAAGAAACTTTGTGTTTCTGGAAGCCGAATGCGACCTGGTTCATAAATTGTCCACTTAATGGTTTTTCGACTGTTGTCTAATCAAAGATTCTCCATAACTTTTTCAGGTTTCTTGTGAAGAAATTGAATTCGGAACCTGATGATCTTTATGTGCATATGCCACTTGTTGAGCACAGCTCTGTTGTGGGAATATCGGTACGAAATCGATTTTTGGGGCTGAGGTAAAATATTTAGCGTGTGCACAGCGGATTTCGATCCAGGCTCAGCTGATAATTAATTTCTCTTCCAGAAAAAAGATAAATGAAATGCGCAGACATCAGCCATTTCCGGCGTCTTTCCAAGGTGTAAATTTGTCAAAATTACTGTATTGACTAAAATTTGCAAAAAGTGTTTTTAAATCCTACAGATAATTCATGCAGCTTAGCCTCTGACACACGAAGATCGTTGTCGGTATTCGTTTGCCAAATTATTCGAATGGTTACAGCAATGAAAGGGTATGTTGTATTTGTACATTGTGCAAGTAATTTGTGGTTACCGTGTTTTTCGACTTTGTGTGAAATTATAAATTGTCTTTCGTCATTGGTACTGTTTTGTAGCGACGCTGGTGATAGCCGGATAATTTTGCGTGTTGTGCGGGACTCCTGGATGTTTATTAGAGGAATTCTGCTTCAGTTCGGCTACTTGGGCGACGATTCATCGTATCGCAGTATGGATCACGATCAGCGTTATGTGGTAATATGCTCTCATTACGCTGTTTGAAAGTGCGACATCTTTGCAAAGGAAACTTTTTAGGACAACAACACCCACAGGATACGATATCATGCACATTTGGAAATGATCACCTTGGCGGTGTTATATGTCAGCGAAATCCAACGAAATTTTCCGTGTGAGATTTTTCATCACTAAAAGCCAGAAATAAGCAGGCAGTAACTATTCTGTCGTTGGCAGATGAAATCATGCAGCTGGACAGGGACGTCATTTGCGCAGAAAATGTGGAAAATCCTACCAGTCTTCCGGCTGATATTGTCGGTTTTTCTTTTCGAAATATCGTAGGCCTGGCCGCTGAACGTTTTTCTCAGGTAGCGCCATGACCAATCAATGATTATTAACTGTGGTTGTGATGTTCCGGTTGAATTTCTCAGTGAATAACCAAAAACTGTGGAAAATGAGTCAGATTTTTTTATTTGTTTTTAGTTTTCTGCTTCAAACTGGCTGCAGAAACTGATGCTGCAACCGTACGTCTGCTCTTGTCCATCCAACTGCATTTTGATACTTCAGCAGATCATTAGTCGCTGTCCTGGAATGCAAGCGGGAGAAACGTGTTTACCGGATACTATCAGGAAAACGGTTGAGTCTTTCAAAAAACACTCTCCAAAAAACAGCCAGGAACTTCTCAGTAAATATGATCAAATACATGAGTAGCTAGCAAGAAGCAACACAAATTTGGCAATTAATTAGGAAGTGATGTGGTCGTTATGCGCAGCTCACCAAATGTCGCAGATGATGTGAATGGCTTTGTGTTGTGGATGTTATACCACATGGCCGAAGCATCTCGAAGAAGTCATCAGCCGAATGGAATTTTTGCCGCTAACATGACTTTTGATAAATTCGTCGCTAATAAGATCGTGCAGCCTGCGCTTGCAAATCTGGTAAATAAAGCCGTGAAGTTTTTTTTTTGAATTCCCAAGTGGGATTTAACTCTTCCTGTTTCTTGCATTTCAGGAACATTCGTGGAACGAATCCAGAGCTCGTTTTGTACTGGCTTGTATTTATCGTTTTCAGACGGTGGACAGTGCGCAGTTAGAATCACTGGCAATCCTGGCGGATTTTTTCTTGAAGAATATTGTAAGATAGTTGTATATTTTGTACAGTGTCCTTCTCAGTTGTGCTTTGAAGTAGATGTACTTTGCAGAATAACAGTTTTTCATTGGAGCCAGGTTCTATAGACAGTATTCAGGTGCTGCACAAGAATGCCGCTGAATGGGTTGCCAAGTGGGCGAGTTTTGGCCTAGCAGAAGCTGATCCAGCCGTAATTTCGCGGAATGAGAGCAGCTTCGAAATGTTTATCAGGGTATTAGTGTACGCCTTAACAAAATCATCAGATTCCTGGAAACGCTTGAGGGGACGTTTCTTGTCGAAGTTTCAACCAAAGTATTTTGAGAGTCTAACCGCAGCCGGATGGAGTCGCTTTTTCGATCTCATAATGGTGCTTGTTGGACGTATCGGCAATGTTGCTGACTTCTCGTCGCAGCTAATTGAAGCCATCGGCGAAAACACATGGTGCGACAGACCTTCGGTGGAAAAATCTGTAGTAATCGGACGAGGACTTGCTGCGCTGACGCTCTTATATCAGAATTCTTCGATTGATAACATTCTATTTGTACGGAAATTGGCTTTGGAATTTGAAAGATTGTGTCGGTAAACAGAATATAGCACCGTTTCAGTAGTTAACTGTTTAGAAAAGCGGGTTGGCAGCGTTGCAATCATCAGTTTATGCACTGCATATGCTTCTGCTGTATACTGTGCAATACATGACGAAATTTGTAAATGATACCGTGGTTCATGGTTCATGTCTGGTTCATGTCCGTGGTTCATGTGGTGGTTCATACCGTGGTGGTTCATACCGTGGTTCATGTCCGAAATTGAATTTTGTCTAACCTTTTGTAGGCATTTGAAAACCGTCCGTGTTGATCCCGGATTGATCGGTTCACTGTGGTCCTGGATTATAATGTATTTCGATGCCGTTGAATGCCTATTTTGCTGTAAACCGGAAAGCCTGGCTGCGGTCGCTCATATGGTGAATAGTGGATTCACTGACCTTTGTCAAGTCACTTTGGATGAAACAAAGCAAGGAAAACTGTTTGCCACGATACAGCTACTCTTTGACCTTTATTCTCAGATTTTTCCTAACTGGAAATCCGATTTGAAGTCTTCTGCGGCTCGCTATCACCTGTCGTTCTTAAACTCCTTATTCGCGAACATACTGCCTGCTGTCCGGCGTATGGCTACAGACCGTAATCAGAAGTTGTGGGAGTCCATTCCGATATGCGCTGTCCACTTAACCGTGTTCAGTGTAGATGTTGCTCGGCAGAGTTCCAGCGACAGCACCAGCGGATTGTTTCAAACTTTTGGTCTGGCGGACGATGTCCACCCTGATATTACTGTGTATTATCTGGCGGAAATTCTTTCGGTACCAGACGTAATGGGAGTTCTAACTAAAGACCAGTGGACGTCACCAAAGATCATACACAGTTGGGTGCGCTGCGTTTTTGAAATGGGAGAACATAATCAAGCAGTACTTCAGTTGTCTCAGTAAGTCATTTTGCGTATTGAAATGTTTGTATTGCTTTAACGAAAGCGAGTAAATTATAGAAAAATACAGTTGCTTCCGGAAACAGAATTGCTTATTTCGCCACCCTGTGCACCGGGGGACATATTCCGTCGGTTTATCGAAGGATGTGGAAACTCGTTTCGCCGTGCAACAGCATATGACACCAAAATGGTATGGCAGCGACAATTCCAGATATATTTCGCCGATGTGGCTAAATATGTGGGAAGCACTTTACGATCCGGTGCTTCGACGCAGTTGATCTCGGCTACCATCGGTACCGTTGCTCAGTTTCTGCTGCATTGCGCGCCGTTTCTTTATGTTCGTGCGAAATTGAACAACACATTCCGTCAGTTGGTGGACATTGTTTTGCTTGGTGCTGATCACGGGGCAGTTATACAAGCTGTACAGCAGGAGTTTTCGTTTTATTTTTCCGCAATCTCTCAACTGAATCTAAAAGATGATCCCCAGATTGCCGATTTGTTGCAAAGAATTATTCGGACATACTTGACAAAGTTTTCCTTTGTGGCACTGGAACAGCATCCTCTTTTGGTAAGTGGAATCATGAATCTTCTACTTTCAAATGCTCACGCGTGCGAGCTGAAATTGTTTGCAGTTAATGCGGCTTTTATTATTGCAGCTTGCGATGCAGAAACCACCAGTTAATCAAGAAATTGTGTTGTTTTCCATTAACAGCATTTGTCGGGCATTTTTCAATGCCGTCACTCCGCCGCAGCACATCTCTCTCGCATTGAATTTGATTACAAAGCTTTTATTGGCTTTTCCGGAAAGCGACATGCAGCTTGATGTGGCAAATTGTGTGTTTTCCAACAGTCTCGAAATGTACCTTAAGGGAAACGAAGCTGTTGCTCAAGGATGCTTTTCGTTAATCCAAAAAACATTGAACTGGTTTGCAGCAAACCGCACGGAAACCACCAAGTAAACAGAAGTGACCATGAGTTTTCCTTGCATAACTTTCTTTTTCGTCTACTTTCCGAATTTCAGTAGAACTGTTCGTAGGATAAGTTTGTTTCCCTACAAACTAAAGGAAATCACTCACTTTTTTTCTCTATTCCTTGCAGAGTGTCGCTTACTCAAGTTGTAAGGAGCAAATTTTTGGCGAATGCTAATACTCAACCTGGCAGTTTACTCACGATTTTGGACTTAATAGCACGAACTTATCCTGAATTATTGTGCGAAATTCTTCCGTTTTTGACACAAATGTTCGCCAGAAGTTCGAATTATCCTGCTTACCAAACTGCCAAAGCACGGTAAACGCTGTTAAAGTAACGCAGTTGTCCAATCTTGTGGGTTTTCTCCTAATAATTTGTGTGGTGATGCTTTTTACGTTATGTTGCAGACAGTCTTATATCTCTGTCTTGGAGAAACTGGGACCGCTTGGTGCTTCGGAGCTTGCAAAATTATCGTTCGTCAACCAGTAGGTCCTGGGCCGGAAGCCGTTCGTCGCAACAAGGTGAAAGTCAACAAGAGGTTGGACTAAACTGCAACTGGGAAACACACAACAACGGCTAACCAAATCGCAGCTGGCGCTAAAGCTTTTATTGTTGTCAAGCATAGCATGTGGTTTTACCTCTGTACAATCGATATCTTTTTTTTAAGGTCGATGTTTGCGTGGCGCCGATGTAAGGTCAGTAAGGGCTCTGCTGAAAAAAGGCCGTGCTTAAAATAATACCTTACCATTCTGGCGCTTAAAAAAAGAGAAACGAGAACATTTTTCTGAGATGCGAATCATGCGAAGAAATGTTAGTGAACAGGAAAGCAATGTTACTTGGATTTCATTTTCTTGTGGTTGTTTGTTGCACAATGTCTAAAATTGTTGAAAAAGAGCAGCAGAAGTCCCATGCAGTTCAGTCCGTCGTTCAAAATTTATTTCCATTCTAATCGGCGCGGAACATGTTGCTGATTAGAAAACGGTATGTGGTGCCGTTTCAACGCAAAGAAACTGCATTTTGCCATAATTAATTCTTCCAATTCTACGGTGCAATTCTTTTTTGTTTTCACTGGAAGTCCTTTTACCTCACCACTGCATAAGTCTGTACGGGGGATACTGTACCTTTCAGTCTCCGCGCGAGTCTTTTTTTGTTGGTCGGGGCTTTGATGAAGGCCGACCGCCAGACGATAGACGCCGTAGTTGTAAGTTGTAACCCGACTTCACGCTGACGTCAGTCCTCTAGCGCAGCGTGACTCACTGCGATTACTCACCCATTCATGTGTTTCGTTGTGGGATAAAAAGAATGCGAGCATTCGTGAATCGTTTCATTCCCCACAATAATTATTGCCAGAGTTTGTCGAGCTGTGTGACATTTCTGGCATCCTCTTTGTGGCACCTGTCTTCAAGGCTGTGCTAGTAGCCGAATATTAGCTCATCCGTTTTTGCTTCCACCATTTTCTACGTTAGAACCTTGATGCTGCGATCGGTGGACTGATACAGTGATTTCCATTTGTGTAGAATTTAACAGAGGACACTGAAGGGATAATCCTCGCAGCTGAAAAGAGCTTATAGTATTTGTGAAGCTTTACTTCGTTTTCTCGGTTCTCCTCATCCGGAGATGTCTTTATCGGGTCTGTTTTCTAAGAAGAAGCCTGATGTCAAAGGTAAAAACGGTTTCCTTGGGTTTTGTAGTTGCTAATGCTATTTCGTCACTTATTATTGTTTTATATTTGCGCTTATGTTTGTGATAATTTATCTGATCTTCCCTTTTGTGGAGTTTAAAACCAGCGTTCGTGGTTCAGGAGGTTGTTTTGCAGAACAAATTAAAGTTCAGGATAAAGCGCTCCGGCATACCCAACGCGACTTGGATAGAGATCGTCGAGAATTAGAGCGCAGAGAAAAACAGCTGGTAAGCACCGTAAGCTTAGCGTATTGTCGTTTGCAGTTACTTAACAGCGGATTGCACTAATGCTAATGATGAATGACAATCGTATCGTACGTAATTATAGCAGCGTGCACTTGTGTATGGCAATCTGTTGTTTACGTATGTTCTGCCTTGATATTATTAAGATTATTTTAATGAACAGGAGCTGGATATCAAGAAAATGGCAAAAGACGGGAAGAACACTGTAAGCAATAATTTTGTGCATATTTTTTTGTGTGGACTAACAAATTGTTGTTCGGTCGTTGACAGCGTTTGGGTTGCAGGAGGGTGTTAAAATCCTAGCTAAGCAGTTGGTTGCTTTAAGGAAACAGAAGACCCGCAGTATGACAGCTAATTCCCAAATCACGGGTATCAGAATGCAAGGAAAGGTGAGTGACATTTCCAGCGCGTCATGCTGTGCTTATCTCGCATAATTAGTCACTGCACCGGAAAGTTGAAGGGAAATGGCAGAATTTTTATTGGTGTTTTTTTATGTTCATTTTAAAGTTACTTGAGTTTTTTTAGCAGGATTAATCAAGTTTAGCTTTTGTGCACAATGAAATTCCTGTCAAAATTATTTTATTTTCGCTAAACTCTTTTTTTCGCAGACGATGACTTCTAACGTGAAGATGAGCGAAGCTATGGCCAGCACCACTAGGGTAAGAAATGTTTATGCTGCTGGAATTCACCCCGAATTCATCTAATGATATGTCTGTTGTTTTCCCCTTGGAAAACAGGCTATGCATAATATGAACGATCAGCTCAGCCCGCAGCAAGTCGGCCAGATAATGCAGGAATTCTCCAAGGAATCCGCCAAAATGGATATGTCCGAGGAAATGAGTATGTGTGGGCTGTATGCGTTATCCCGCCCCATTCACTGCAAAATTTTGCTTTGCAGTAAACGACACTCTGGACGACATTCTCACTGAATCGGGTGATGAGAGCGAGGAGAATTCCATTGTAAATAGGATTCTGGACGAAATTGGTATCGAAGTTGGCGGACAAGTGAGTACAGTTATTCTGCGTTCTTTTGATACGGTGTATGATTGAGCGTTTTATCTCTTGAAGATTTCAAAAGCCCCTGCTCCCTCCCGATCTAAGGTGGGGGAAGCCTCTCGAGTAAACCAGAAAAGCCTGGACGACGAAGCCGAGGAAATCGAAAAGCAGCTTGCGCGGTTGAAAGCCGAATGATCGGATATTTCGCTTTCCATGTGGAGTTATGCTTTTTAGGAAGTTTTCCCTTCATGCTTGCTAAATCTTTCATCTGTCGTATTGGCATTGAGATTTTATTGTGTGGAACTCATTCCATGTGTTTGAAGCTGTTTCCCTTGCAATTATACTGTATTCAGCATCTTTTCAGTTTCGAGTACTGATGCCTAGTTTTATACCGCATGCCTGTTTAAATGTCAGATACAGTATATTTATCGTCGGTTTACACTTTTGGGGCGTTTATCCTTGTCTAATTGGTGAATGTGGTTCAATATGCGAGATTCACTTCGAGCTTATGTTGGAAATATTAATACTTCGTTTGAGGTTATCCAGGGCGCAAATTCACGAAAAATTCGGTTTATCGTTTTTTGGGTGTCGTATTCGAGCATTCGTATGATTTGCCGAGTCGGTGTTCCAGGTGACCTTGGATAACTTTAGATATTATTCTTGGGTTGCACAATTTGTATAAAATGAATATTTGTAAAATATTCTAGCACTTCAGTCTCAATGCGTGAAAAGAAATAGAAAACAATTAGCATACAAACTCAGTACCTCTTAAAGCGCAATTCCTACAGCGACCGTCGACGCTAAAAAGTCGATTTTCTAAAGCGATCAAGAATTTAAAGCACAATAATCATGGTAACGCAACAACAAAACATCATATTAACAATGTCAGCACAACAAATCTAATGTTTCTATTACTGTCGTTTGAATTACTTTTGAGTTTTGACTGTCCTTTTATTACTTATTTTTTTGCATCAGTCTTCGGTGGGTGAAATGGGACGGTCTTCTGGGGAGTCCAGGCGTTGTGGGACAAAAACCTCTTCGCCTTTAACCTACCGTAGTAAAAAACAGCGTAGGTTTGCTCATCGGCACTGCGCAGATGTAGGGTACTGCCATTTGTTTTCAAGCAGTGTTTTGTATTATTACAGGTATAATTTCGAATAATTTCAAATCTGCCCACAGAACGAACTACAGAAAACCTTTAGAGTCAAGCGCCTTACCGGTAGGTTTTTCTCCAGACCATCAATGACGGATGCAGGAAACGAATAACTAAATCGAGGGACTTTGGCGGTGCACCCGGAAAATATTTTGCCGTGCAGAGTTAATGGTGGATTATTGCAGTTGTGATTTTTGATGGAGTCGACTTCGGCCGGTGTGTCACGGGCCAGCGTGAGATCTAAGGGCGTTTCCCTTTCCGGTGAATTTTCCGTACTGGAGTTATTAGATCGACGTAGCGTCGAAGTCGGCGAGGAAGAGCCGGAAGTGTCCGAAGACACTGAAAAATGCAACCAATTCGTTTATTATCTACTGTACCATTTATGCATGTAATAATTATTAATTTTTTGGTAGGCAAACTGCTTACTAGAATCGACAGCCATGGTTGTAGCGGACTGATCATTTATCGGCGGAATAGGACAAGATGAACGATAGGAAAACTGAGATCCACTTGATGATGTATTTTCCAAGCCATCACGAGCGGGAAGACTGTATGGTTGCGCTGGATTGGATTTCGAATAGGAGCGGAAGAAGTCCGGATACATGCTGCTAAAGCGATAATTACAGATATGAAAGATGAAAGATATTAGAAAAGGTATCCGATTTTAGTAATCTTTCGTGGAAATGCCTACTATATGTATATGTAAAGCGAACCGATACATCTTACCCGAACGACGGAAACATGCTGGGAAAATGTTGACTGTAATTGGTGACGTATGCAGCCGGGAAGCTCGGCAGAGTTGCACCGGCACCAAAGGGCAAACGGTTCAACAACATGTGGAAGTTTGGCGTGACCGCCCCGTTGCTCATGGCGGATGCCGGTGAAAAAGGGGCAGAATTCTGGATACCCAGTCGTTTATCCGACTTAGCAGCGCCGTTTTCCGGTGACGTGTAAGAAGAATAATCCATGACGGGCGAGGCGAAACTATTTGCCTCTAATCGCTTCTTTTTCGTTGGGTAACGTTCCGCCGATTCTGCCGCGTCATCGAGTTGTGAATGATCACGGCTGTGTTTCGCTATAAACGCAAGTCTTGTAATTATAGATTTTGAACGTATTTCACAAATACAGCAGAACTGAGAAACATTGAAAAACTTTACCTGGCCTGCCTGGCCTATGTACAGAGCAGGCGTATTTTAGTAATTTTGTAGAATTTATAAAAATTATGTACGATGTTTGCTAACTAGAATTCTTGGGCGTACATACATCTGAAATTCGCCATCCCAGTTTTCGCTGCCGGCACACCCTCAGAAGATGATTCGGAAATGTCTTGCAAAGGCGTTTTATTTCTGAAAGCACATACGTTGTTATTTAATATTTAACGGAATACACCATACGCGCGCACAAGTTATTGCAGCCGCTTCTACGCAGTTCTTAATTGCAATTATATAATCTGTTTTCGTTCTACTATTTACTATGTAGCCTGCATTTTAAGAACTCCCGACACAGCAAACTTACACAGGGGCACCATTATAATAGCTTTTAACATCCAACTTTTCCCGGAAAAGTTACTCATGCTACAGGAATACGCTATCTACGGCCGTGCTTACCGATGTGGTTTCCGCGTCCAACGTTCATTAGGAAGATCCTCTTGGAAAGCTCTTTCTGAATCGGTTTGGTCGCTAATAACTGATGAACTATTTCCTTTATAATCCTCTGCTGAGCGATTTGCATTTCCGGGTCCGATCGGGTCAATATCAACGCGGAAGTTGTAAGCTGATAGCTTTCTGCGATCCTATTAACATCATAAAATTTCTTACTATTATTCGCAAAAACATGTGAGTACATCTATCGTTTATGTATCATGCAATGCGATGAAGAACTGCTACAAGTGATTTATATACGCAGCAGGAAAAATTCAGTCGCATTTTTGCTCTGCAGATAAAAAATAAAAGCTGCCCATAAGAAGAGAAATCTTATGATATGACAGCATAAAAATAGTGGTTTATGGTACAAGTGTTTACTTATGAAAAAAATTATCTATCTTTACTTTTTGCGACGTTTTTCTATTACTCATACCGTTGACCAAGAGCACCCTTAATAATAAAAGTACCAGGCATTTTAATAACTATTTGCATTTTTTCCGGTTCAAGCAAATTGGTTTTTCAGCCCCAATCAGCACTGCAGGAGACACGTAATAGTGTGCAATCAAACAATATTTCTGACTGCCTTACGTATGAATTCTGGATTCGTTGAAGTTATCGCGCAACCATTTTTTGCATTAAAATTATTAATAGTACTACGAGTATTATTAATATTACTCGTACTATTATTTGTACATATCACGAACAACACCTTTGCCATGGTACAAAATAGCAGCCAACTTGGCAAAATATACGATGATGGCTACAAACTCATAAAAACAAGTGACATGCCCCAGTGATCATCGTGCGGAGTGTCTTCCGTTTTTAACAATTCTACTTGCATCGTTGGCCGAGAAGAATAGCTTCCTAAGGTAACATTATAAAGGGCACGCTTCGTTATCTTTGCGGCTGACGGAGCAACGGCTGTTGTTGACGGATTCCTCACGCACCGCTGCCACATATCGTTTATGTTTTTTTCCTGCAGCTAAAGCTGGAATGTATCTTATCGCAAAAAGGATTGGTATACAATTAAGTTGATGTCGGTGCGTCATGACTCAATGATACATGGAGGCGATCGTAAATCGCCATAAAGCAGACAGATGGTCGGTCTGGCCTCGCTTGATTCTTAATGCACCACCGCAAAAAATTGTCGGCCGTGATGGCAAAAATGCACGCATATCAGCATAAATCGGACGTTTTATTTCAAAAACACATTACGAAGATAAGACCACAAAGCATACTCAGTCTGCACATCGATATCGGAATAACATCGTATTTGTATTTGGTCCAAGCACCGAAGGCGCGTCAAAAGGCCCGCAAGTGTAAGCAGTTAACTGAAACCTGGAGTGAAGCCAGACTGCCCGTTTCACTTAATAAATGAAAAAATTTTGTTAAAAATGTTAGATTTTGTCACATAAATTCTTTTCGAAAGCGAACTATTGCCTCCACGAAACGTCAACAGGAAAGCATTCTGACAATCTCTGTGGATATAAACTAAAAAAATTTAAATAATTCTATTAGTTGAACATAGTATTAAGCTTGCTACGACTACAAGTTACATAATGCATAAAGTACTTTATTTCCGTTTTGTTAGCGAATTGAATGTGCAAACCAGCACACACTTTTAATGCGCAATACAGTATATGATCAAAGTTTGTCGCACAAACAATAACATTACTGCAAACGTATGTACCTACATAATAGTACAATACCGAAGTTGCTACAATGCTAATACACTGTACGTAGACCACTCCGCGTGTGCAAGTCTGCAAGATACACCTTTTATTTTGTATTTTGTAAAAATGTGTGAAAGTTCATGCACGTCTTTCTTGTTCTCTATTTCTGTTTGTTACACACCATAAGTTAACGTCCGCAAAAGCAATAACATTTTCAAGGTGCTATATAACGCGCAGTTCGGAAAGCTTTAAATTAAGCTAGCACAAAGCTGTTAATTAGCACCATCCTGTTTTGCCTGGTCGAATGATCCAAGGCACGAGTCGCTGGTAAACATCGAATTTTATTGCCGGTGCCGGCTCAGTGTCTTGGGGCACGAGACCGTTACATCAAATTATTATATTGTTCCGCTCGTAAATACGATTTGCGCCTATTGTACTTTTTGTGTCGTCGTCGTCGTACTGTGATTTTTATTTGCCTTGGTGCAAATTAAGGTGTTTTGATACGCTCGTAGTCGAAAAGGTAATTTTGACAGTCGCTTTAATTAAGCAGTGATGATCATACTATCTACAGCGCGCCACGATACTTAAGCCACAAAAAAAACGTTTCCTGACGATCGAAGGAGTGAACTGATTTCTTACAAACTGAACTGTTTTCGTTACATCTTGCGTGATAAATATTCTGATAAGCTAGGCTAAAACCTAGGCTAAACCTTATAATAAGTTTTCACAGAATTTTATGAGCGCAACAAAAAACCGATTAGCAAAGAAGTCGACAGAACCACAGAAAAAAGTGCCACAATTATACACATTATTTTACCGCGGCTATTGATCAGAGATATTGTGCACATCTTAACCATATAACATGAGTGGCCAGCGATCAGCGTAACACTTCGACAATCGCATATTTGGCGATCATCTTTCCTATACATTATCAGTATAACGGTCATGATCATCATCGTGCATGACAATCGACGGCAGCGGATGACAATAATGTCATCCAGTGTCGGCACATTGCATACGTGCCCAGTATGCAATCATTGAACTCACCACAGGTGAACTAATGCGGCAGCCCGAGCAGGCACAACTTGACGGGTGGACAAACAGTATCTGCTTGGCCAGCAGCAGTTTTAAACTTTTGCCCTGATGCCGAATGGAGCGTTTCCAGTCCTTAGCCGACTCCCGTCCGCTGATGCACTGGAACTGATTGGGCGTTAACCACAAGTGATCGGTGACACTGCGGAAGTACAGGATGCACTGGCCTTTGCTGCCTTGACAAAACCGGGATAAATACATTTGCCCGTGGTTATCCCCACACTCCACATCCAGAACGACGCTGCCGTGGAAATAATTGTAATCCGGCTTAACATAGTCGGGATACCGGGAGCGCATTTCCAATAAAATCTGCAGTTGAAATTCCGGCGATTGGAACAGCGTCATATCGGCTGTTCCCACTGTTCGTGTGGGTGCTTCAATAGCAGCCAGTGGATCGTAACGGTTGTACGGCCTTCCAGGAAGCATTTGGATGGTCAGATACTCGCAACGATTTCAAAAATTACTGACCTTACGAGTGTACAGCCGCCGAAATATTTTATAACTTTAAAATTTATAACGAAAGCGACACTGTCACAATTTCCGGGGTTCGTAACCAATCCGACGAAAGAGAAATCTTTTTATCACATTACTGCCTAAATCGTAGGGTCACTGAGGAAGCTCGATGGTCGGTAGTAAGACTCTTGCAGATTTCGCACCATCACACGCTTCTGATTGATGGCAGCAACAGTTGAATAGTACTCGTGCGGTCTACAAACGTTTTTTCTTTCATCATTCTTTGCGTAGTAGGGCGGATCGAGCGGCAGAGACACGGAATAGACGTACTACGTGCACTATAATGTACACACCGAATCCTGCCATATGCGCGGCGCGGCCTTCGCTAGATAAGCATTTAGCTGCTGTATGTATCTTCGCCATGCTCTCTTTCTGATGATGAACAAAGACGGCCCACCCGTTACGCCGCTAGCTGGTTTACTGCATTTGCGAAATTCATGATCACAAAAGCGTAAACTGTAACACATGCCGTAAAACCTACAGTTATCAGTATCACTCCGTATTCTTTTAAATAAACCATAAAAAATTATACCGTTTTTGACATTCATCCCCGCTTGTTATTAGGAAGTCGCAAGATAATGAGGGATACTTGAACTTGTTGATACGAGCATTTATAACAATTCTGATTTAGTTTCTATATGTATCCGGATGGCACAAGTGATTGCTTTTAATAATTGTCTTTCAAGGTATTTTGTTCTTCAGCGTTAAAAAAGTAATTTGCTTGTGCTAATTAATACTTGACATGTTTCTGTCCCCTAATTTCTCTTTTTTGGTATTTAGAATCTAAGTATATATGTGCATCAGTCGGTACTAGCGCAGCAGCGCTTGTACTAGAAAATAATTTGAGCACGAGGTTTAACAATTAACGGTGAGTCCAGCCGTCAGCCGTGTAGAATTTGTTAGCGAAAAGGTCAACAAGCAATGGATTTCACACAATCAGTGTTAACGGATTGCGTGATCGAGACTTCAGTTCGACTCCTTAATATCCCAGCTACCGTAGACAGAAGTAAACAGCAACTCTTCAAGCAAATAGAGAACGCGCGGTTGGTTGCTTATCGGTAGCGCCGAATAACACGGGCATCGTCTGCAGCCGGAAGCTATGCAGATTGCGACGCACAAACAACGACGCGCACGCGTCAACTCCGTTACATTTGTGTGGTAGCACTCAATCCGCCCCTATTATACCAGTTAGCGCTGACCTTGCAGCATCGTAGTTTTTTAATTGTAAATTAACTTCGTAATTAGACCGTGTCTTTTCGTTTACAGTTTCGTAATCGTAAGTTCTTTCAGCTATCAGAGCATGCTTCGTGATCACCGGTTACGAGTAATCTCTACGTAGAGCACGAGTGGGAAGTTAATTGAACTGTATGACTGAATATTGGCGTAGTCGCTGTTCCGGTGTATTCACTGACACATTACGCATTTTCCATACGAATTATACTTGTCAGTATTTATTGTATAGCAGCGTACAAGCAGTACGTGGGCATTCCTTTTGCATAGAACTAGGTATTAAAGTATATATTTATCGGTAGCGAATTTATTAGATCGTGTATGCAATACCGTATTGTCTCGTGTAATACAAGGACCACGCTCGCATGTTTAGTGCATCCGCATGTTTAGTGATAACTTATTTTTTCTTTAACTGCCTAACAAAAATTGGTAGATGCGTCGAAAATCCACGTTAATACGGTATTACTGTTTTTCACCATGATCATAATCAAGCATCAGAATTAAAATTATTCAGGCTACAGTCTACAGCTGGATAATACTACCAAACGCAGGGTTTTACTCGTAACTTGTAAGGTCGAAGTAAAAATTGCATTAAATCTTATACGATTTATTATGGCACTGTATACATATTGTACATATTCACCGCCACCGGTCAACGTCAGCGACTCAGCGTTACTACAGCTTATGTATGCTTCGACAGGCGATCGATTATTGCCATTGGTGGTCGACCTATGCGTACTCACAAGCACGGCTGTAAATGGATGCAGAAGCTGCTACAGCATTCGCGGAGCGTAAACGACATCTTCCGCCATAATTTGTTTAGTTTAACCAGTGCGGCTTTTTATGCTGTGTAACTAGAATTAAATGCCGAAATAGTCGTCAAAATCGACCGAAGGCAGCATAAGCACAGCGAGGTCACGACACGGCATATGCGGCAAATGTTGCCGCACAAATCTGTTTGAATGGCCGCGGGGGACGAAGGACTAGTTTGGTCAACGCTGGGTCGCATGAAGCGGAATATATCGTATATGTGCAGTATGTGCAGCAGTGGAAAGATGATATTCAATATTCTCGATATTTATTGTACATGACTACCGTGCACTGCGACTGCACTGCTGGCAGTAATTTCTCTTTTAACATGCTATCATGTCAGCAAAAATTTCACGGCATATTTAACAGACAACATATCTTTACTTCAGCGCAAAATTAAATCAAAAATTTCGATTTTCAAATGTTTGTATTAACATGGAGCGCGGCGGCCCAATCCAAACGTTCACTGGCACAGCGTTCTGCCAAGCGGCCTAAATCTGTTTTGTTACATGTTACTGATTACAGATCATATTTCTGTTCTTTTGTACATTAATTACATTTCTTTAGTACTTTACAGATTACAATTTTCTGTACATTTTTCACGCTGCTGGTGGCGGCAAATTATTTTAGTGGGTAATGTTATTTCTTTTGTTCGGTTTCACCGAATTAATACAGACTCACAATAGATTAAGTCAAAAGCTAATTAAAGCAATAGCGGGCTCTGATACAGTAATAGCAAAAACTAGAATAAAGTTTCGTCAACTTTCACATTCAGCATGCTGCATATCAGCTGGAATTCACAGTTCGATATAATTATTTTTGCCAGTAGAAAATATTTCACATACTTACAAAAAATTAGCACCTTGATTTAGCTTTTTCACGAAAACGCAAATTCTTTCCTTCACTTTTTGATGGATTAATATTATCAAATTCACTTGACAATGATCTCAAGAAAACATAAAACTACAGCCAGAGACGTAGTAACAGGTAATAAATACGTATCCGCTTTTATGAATATGTACAGAGTTCACCGGGCAGCGGCGTGCGGCGTCACATTCAAGCTCTAACTTATACGCAAATATCTGTTTTGTTGCCTGCTCTGCGACTTCTTGATGAAGTTTGTTATTTATAGAGAACAAGTGATAGCGCACCATGAGGAGCAAGCCATTAAGAAAATGATGTCGCGAAGATGCGAATCAGATGGGCGCGTTCGTCAGAGAGGTAGTTGATCATTGATCAGCGCCGGGACGCCCGCGATCGCGTCGCAACGGAACCGTCGATGAAGTCAACATTGATGGAGCGCGAAGGAAATGAACAGAGGAGGCGATCATTAATTAGTGCATCCTACCGAAGGCATCGCTTTAATTAACCGGCTCGGGCAAGAACAATAAATAGGCTCCGCCGCGCGAGAGCAGAAAAATGCCAGGAGACTGGCAGTGCGCTGAGCAAATAGATCCAGAACGGAAATTCGATCATTAACGACGATCGCCAATTCCCCGTGAACTGCCGCGATCGGATTTCCTCCTGCGCCCCTTCGTCACTGTATTTATGAGAAATCGCGGCGCTAAATGGAAGACAGCCACGAAAGCATCCTGGCCGAAATGTGTTTCGCTGTTCGTCGTCCACTGTGTACGGCACCGAGATGCGCGCGATTAATGTCCGCTAACACTATTCTTTATCGGTAAAAATCTCTCAGAGAAAGACCAAAACTGCCAGCCTTCGGCTGCTTCTAACAGAACAACAGAATCATGGGAACACCTATCTGCTGGACTGATCAAAGATGAAAAGAGAATGCGCGCGATGGACACTGGCCAGTAAAACATACAAAAAAATGCCCGAAAAATTACTAAACAATTACAATGAAAAATCAAAGAATCCTCACAAAAACTATAAAACCAGCGGCAAGTAAAACATTGCAAAAATCACCAGAAAAGAGATGCTGCAGCTAACGTAAACAGTTCACGTCTCAACTGCAGAAGAGTTGCTTTCGGAAGCGGCTTTATCAGCTCCTTCTGTCGTCAGCGCTTCCAGTTTCTCCAGTTCCACGTCAATGGCATGTTCTTCCAGGTGAGTTTTCCGTTCCATTTTCAAAGACTCCGCAACTTTTCCTGTAACTAGTTTTACTGCATCGCGCATTCTTAAGACTGGCGCGACCACATAGATAAAAAACCATGCAGTGTTTTATCAGAGTGAACCACTCACACACAAGCGATTTTGCACTGGCGATTATACCTTGTCCTAGTCTTGTGAATGAAATTGTTTTGCAGCGATCAACTTACCTTGCATGACGACCAGCTTGGCTGAGGTTCTGGAAATGAGATTGTCCATATCGCTGAGTTCGGCGGCAGCCTGCTTCCAGCTCCTTTCAGGATCCATCCGCAGCCATTCATCCCAATCAATGACCACCGCAGCTTCTGCATTGGAAGTTGAGCTTACCGAGCCAACTGAATTCGGCATTGTGGCAACTTAAATCCTTGCGTGCAGTTGACGGCAACCAATTTGGAGCAGTCTAAACGAAAAGTTTACGCTTATGTATTACCTGCAGTAAGAAATAAACGTGCTCGGCTTATATCTAACTGAAAATTCCCGTTGAATGATGTTATGTATTCGAAATTTCGAATGCGACTGATCAAAACCTCGATCACAGAACGAGTACAGAAAGGTGACCAGTTTCCACTTTATGTGGCATAGTATGTAATCGGTGGCAGTGTGGCGTAGTATTCGCCGTACCGGCAAAGGCGTACTACATCAAGCATGCGAAGTGAATACGTAAGATTTTATTATATTACTTCTAACCTGCACATTTCTGCTCTTATGGATTTAAAGTGGTGGTTGCGTTACATTCATCAGGTAAGCGAAATGTAGAAAAAAGAAAGTAGCGAATATCAAGCATGCGAAGTGCGCTTGCAATCATGTCCATTTTTTTTCATTTTGTAACTGACCACATACGAGCTACAGATACAAGTTTTTTTTCGTGATTCTAAAAATAACTGTTTGATGAAGTTTTCGGATCTGTGCATTCTGTTGGGGCAATAAATGCCCCAGCGCGGTAGCGCCGGCATTGTCAGAAGGCCAGTTCTTTTTATCACCAATTTCATAAAATTATAATAATTTCATTGCATTTTAACGAAACCACAACGTTTTGTTAATTTCAACGTACATATTTCAAAGCCGATATTTTGTTAACGAGACTGAAAAACAAAATTAAAAACGAAAACACCATTTTTCAGCACTTCGTCAACAGAGGCCGCGAACCAATATAAATACAATTGCGAACATTTAAGTGCTTGCACCGTGTGTTGTTGTATAGCGAAAATAACCAAGTATTCCTACTTTCAGAGATACAGCAAAAACCAAAAGGAACCCTGTAGATCCACCAAATTTACTGCATGCAAAATAAACCACGAAAACGTAAAAGAGCCGTAGCGCGGACAAGTTTTTAAGCTAGCAATTTAGGGTTAGTCTTTATACACGTCCTACAATCAACGAACAACAAGTCTGGTTCTTCATTTCTTCCTTCCGCCACGTTCTTTAAGCTGCAGGATCACCATGGAGCCGGGAATTATGTTACAAGATGCAAGGGATTGCGTATCTTTGACGTATACTCCATCAAACTGCAACTTCTGCTTTCCTTGTGGAATGCCCAATTGGTCTTGGATTCTTGCCTTAATGGTAGTAAATGTGTCTTTAGGAGCAAGAGTCAAATTCAAAACCTGCCCATTCAGTTTCCATTCTGGTTTATCAGCCACATGAGGCACCTGAACTTTGAACGTAATCGGATTTTTATATGTCTTCAGGAATTCCTCCTCAGCGGTGTGATCCTGTTTCTGCCGTTTAGATGCCGGCTCGTCATCGTCCTCATCGTCATCCACAGGAGGAGCAACTGCTTCCACAGGTGGAGGAGCCACCATTCGTGGTGGCATCACCGGCGGCGGTTGAAACATAACCTGCGCTGGCGGTGGCAGAAAGCTCATCCCCATAACCGGTGGGCGCAGCGTTGGTACTGGTGGCGCAGGGGACATAAAAGGAGGAGGAGCGCGTACAGGGGGCGGAATAATAGTCTGTGGTCCGATTTTATCCTTCTCTGGGTCCGGAATAAGTCCTTGGATTTTTGCCATTTCATAATCGTGCTTTCGTTGCTCTTCTGGTGTCACTGTCTTCGCGGCGGTTTTAACCGTAGCTTCGCTGGATGCAGAAAATCCGTCCCAGATAACCTTGTTCCTATCCGGCTCTTTGGATGCATCACCGATTTTCCGACCAATCGATGTTTCTTCGGCGCCCGAACCAAAAATATCCGTACGACGCTCTGCTAGCTGCCGTAAACTTTCCCCAATAGCGGTGCCTGGTGCGTACACCAGCTCCTGCTGCTGTTTGTCTTGCAACTGCCGATCACGCTGTTGTAAGAACTCGGGGTCCAAAAGACTGTACTTCAAGTGCTCCTGTAGTTTCGTCACAGGGATTCGCTCTCCAGTAATAGGAGATATGACAAACTCCGTTGAAGGTGGACCGGTATCTCTTGTAGGTTTCTGCTTGGGATTGTACGGCCGAATGATGACATTTCCTAAAAATATAACAAGTTAGTATATGTTTGAAAAAGTTTGCCTGGGAACATCAAGGAAAATAAAACTGGCTTTTAGGGGAACATGCTATCAGTATTACAAAGATTACCCGGAATTGCGGGATTAATAACCGGAGGAGGTAAGGATGGAGCAGGTGTCTCTTTGGGCTCCTCTCGACGAGGTGACTCTGGCCGAGGTTCTTCCTCCTCGATCTCCATTTCCACGGTGATGTCCTCAGCATCCGTATTAGCCGCAGGAGGTGCCTGTTGCTTTAATTGTTGTTCTTGAAGCATTCGTTCATAAAGCAGGCTTCTGGCTCCAACTTCTTCGGGTGTAGTTGGAGCGGGGAATTCGCCTTCTTCCCAAGGCTGATAATCAATCGTTTCCACTACGGTGAAATCGTGCCAGTCAATTTGTGCGTAGGCTACCCGTTCTCTTTCGTGTTCCTCTTCTTCTCGCTCCTTTTCGCGCATTTCTCTACGGTACCATTCTGCTCGGTATCGAGCGGCATTTAAAACTTTTCGAGGATCCTGCGAAATAAGCAGTCAATTAAATTTTTGCCGACAAACCCATCTTCAATCATGCGCGGTTTTAAGAATTATTATAAAACTATTTATATATTTATATAAGTTTTAGATTACATATTTATGAAAATTATGTAACGCGCTTAACTTGCTGTATGTAGCCTGTAAGAGCTGCTTACACTCATAATTTAAAGTAATTATATGATACCATGAATCCATACCTGAACCTCCTGACGAAGATCACGCACGATAGTTTTGGGTGGCAACAAAACTTTCGTGTACTGCTCCACTAATCTTGTGAAGTAGTCAAAGAGACTATGTTGTGGCTTCAGGAAATCAAACTGGAAATTCGACTTTTCTTTCTCCATTAATTCGGATAGGAACTCTTTCCCATTTTTAGCTACACATTGAGCTGTCAACTTCACTACTTCTAAATCAAAACTGGAGATAGAAGGAGGATCCGCAAAAAACTCAAATTCCGGCGGGGGATCCTTTAGTGTGACTAAGGTTTTGACCTGCTGCCGTATCTTCTCCTGAACCACATTCGCCGATGTCAGCAAGGGCGGGGTGCTAGGCCGAGCTACAACCTGAGGCTCTTGGCCCTTTCCCTGGATGAATTCTCCAACTTTATGTTCGTAGTAGGCGTGATACGGATCACCAGGATTCAGAAAGTTAAACTTTGGATTATTGGCTTCCGTTTGTCGAATGCGAGACTCGAACTCAACACCATTCCGCGCGACAAACGATGCCGTTTTGTCCACAATATTCCTGAGCTCTGGTGGCGGATAGATGATCCCAATAACGGGGGTATTGTAGACTTCTCCTTCATTTTGGTCATCCCGGATATCGGGTCGAAGGACGAATTCGGCCTTTTTTGAGGCATCCTCGAGGATTTCTTCAACCTCGTTGGCGACCATGTTTACGGTTTGCTGTTCAAAAGGATTCAATAAAAAACTCTATCGTACCATTAAAAACATCAAAGGAAGCTAAAGTGGAAAACAAATGTCGTTGAAAAACAAATCTTGAATGTTACCGTACAGCTACATCTGATGAGATTCTGCGAGCTTCTGCAAACGTTACATGGACGAACACCGTAGTGACCGTACTGCCTGTGTGGGCTATGGTGCATTTCGCAATGGTGCTGCCTCCCGTAAGCGGAATCACTGCGACACGAAGCCCAATTGTATTTTCCATTACTTAGCTTTTAATGGAACTACGGAAGTTTTATCCGAAAGGCATGAATCGGAGCCAAGCTTCCAGCTGCTCAGTAATGGAATTCGTGAACGAACAGTGTGTGAGTTTGAATCAACTCATAACCAATCAGAAGAAGCCTAATTATGGCATTAACTATCCAAATGGTGCGCTAAAATCCGCTGTCTGTATTATGGTTGTCTGTTCTTTTTGGATGCGGTGCAGAAGCGAGAAGTCGTCTGTGATTTCTACCGGATTATTGGAAGTTCTTTAAAAAGATCAAAAATGTCGCAGGTTTCTGCCCGACCTCTTGTTACGGTTTACGATGAGAAGAATGTGGCAACGGGAAAGACTGTCGTTCTTCCTGCCGTATTCCGAGCTCCTATTCGACCGGACGTGGTGAACTTCGTCCACACGAGCATGCGCTTTAACACGCGCCAAGCGTACGTGGCTCGTGAGTTCCTTAGGATTCCGATGTTTTACAAATTTCTTTATATAGATATGCCGTGTCCGATCTTGCTGGCCATCAAACATCGGCGGAATCATGGGGAACTGGTCGAGCTGTGGCTCGTATTCCTCGTGTACGCGGTGGTGGAACCCACCGATCCGGACAAGGTTCGCTGTTGACTGCTGAAGCCATTATTGATTACAGGGTTGCAAAGATACTGATAGTGCTTGTTATTAGGTGCGTTCGGCAATATGTGTCGCGGAGGACGCATGTTTGCGCCAACCAAGACGTGGCGCCGATGGCATCGTAAGATCAACGTGACCCAGCGTCGCTACGCATTGGTTTCAGCCATCGCCGCCACCGGTGTTCCGGCTTTGGTTATGGCTCGCGGACATATTATTGATCAGATCCCGGAGGTTCCGTTGGTGGTTTCTGACAAGGTCCGAATATTATCGAAGCAGGGATGACAGCAGTCTATCAACGTACTTCTGATTTAGGTGGAAGAGCTGAAGAAAACCAAGGATGCTGTCACGTTTTTGCGCCGTGTTCGAGCGTGGGGAGATGTTCTGAAAGTGTACAAGTCGCGACGTTTCCGAGCTGGTCGCGGTAAACTGAGAAACCGTCGCCGCATCCATAAGAAAGGCCCGTTGATCGTTTATAATCAGGACAACGGTGTCACCAGAGCTTTCCGTAACATCCCAGGTACGATTGCTTCGGCTTGTGGTCATCATAAAATAAGTAACGGTTACAAATAATGTTCGCTACATTGGAATTTATTTTTCTAATCATGGGACTCATGGGAATTTATTTTTCTAACCATGAGAATTTAAAATTCAGCATAATGGTATTATCTATCGATCTGAGTAACGAAAACGTGCATTCCAGGCGTGGATGTGGTCCATATTCGCAGTCTGAATTTGCTGAAGCTGGCTCCGGGAGCTCATTTAGGGCGATTTACAATTTGGACTGAGTCTTCTTTCCGTCTGCTGGACGATTTGTATGGATCATACACCACTAAGTCTAAATTGAAGACCGACTACAACTTGCCGCAGCACAAGATGACCATCACGGACCTTAAACGACTGCTGCAATCGGACAAGATCCAAGCTGCTCTGCGCCCCCGCAAAAACAAGCCCTCGCGTCGTGTGGTGAAGAAGAACCCTCTCAAACACATCCGTGTGATGCTGAAGTTGAACCCCCACGCGGAGGTAGTGAAGCGAAAGGCTCATTTGCGCAGCGAGAAGATCGTCAAAAAGGCGGCTGCCCCAAAAGACTCTAAAGCCGCAAAGGCTCCTTCTGCTAAGCCACAAAAGGGCGCTGTTAAAGCAAAATAGAGTAATTTTGGATTTAGTTGTCTATCTGTCAATTTTTAGCGAATAAATAAAAACCTGTAAACATCTCCCTTTCGCTTGCAAACGATATCGTAATCGACTGCTCCGTTGAGCGCTCGACTGCTCGTAGAGAACAACACACTAGACACGAGTATAGCTTCGTAACACTTAATTTAAAATGTCAGCCCAGCTTCGCGATTTTTTTTGGGCTAGTACAGTATTAGCACACATGCCACTGATGCCGGTATACAATGCAGTATACCACACATGCTACAATTTTACGTACAGCAAAGGCGGCCTTTACATTTTCCAACATGTTCTCTGCCTTGACTTTTAAAAATTATCGTGCCGTTTCGTGCCATGTCAATCCTCAGACTGCCTAATAGGCAGTGCCTATCATTTCAATGCGCGGAAAAAAGTCCTTTTTTATGTGTTTTCCTCGGTGGGTTGCTCGCCCTGGATGTTTTCAACACTAAACCCCAACAACTGTCCTTGCCGACAGTGTTGGTTGTTTGAGCAGGTTCTTCTGAGCTCGAATATTAACCAGTACAGGTACAGCACAGAATATATTTTTCAATAATGTATACGGCATCATATAGATATACTTCTATAGTATATAGATAAGTTACCTGATTAACGTATACTGTCTAGAGACTCAACTTTTTTGATTCCGTCAAACTCTCTTTTGCTGTGAGGTTCTAACAATGTTTTCCAGATAAAACTAGCTATATATTTGAGCTTATTCAATAAGAATTGCGACTAAATCAGTTCCACCAGTTGCGCACGTAACAACCCGTAACTACACTGGTACATAACAGAAGTCGCTAAACAACACCGGTAACGTAGTACCAACACTAGTACTACGATCGCTTGTCTGCTTTCCCATCGTACGGATCAAGAACGAAATTCGGATCAATTTCTTTCGAGGTTTTGATGAAGACATCCATCATTTCATTTCTGGCTTTTTCGATCAAATCGTTTATAGTATCCACCGAGTACGCACTGGTATCAATAGGAGGAAGCACAGTCGTTATCATTTTCCCAGCTACAAAAGTTGGTAGTGTTAAGTAGTAGTCATTCGTTGTGCCAAATATTAACCATAAAATACTGAAAATAACTGGCGGAAATAACATATCTGGTACTAAGACAGGTTAGACACGGTGCCGATAATTTAACAATTCCATGAAAGCAGGTTCATATTTACTCTCAAATTTCCAAGTCTTTTTATCGTAGAACGACTTGTAGGATGACACAACAATGGGCACTATGGGGACCTTTGCTTGAAGTGCCAAATGAAACGCTCCCTTCTTAAATGGTAGTAAGCCATCTCCGTGGTTCCGCGTTCCTTCGGGGAATATCCATATCCTTGCCTGAAATTCAACAGCTCAAGTAAAAAATGCAGGGTGTCCTTAGTATCAGTACGAGTGGGGTTCATGTGGAAACACGTGGATTAAAAATGCTGTACCCGTGGGAGCACAATAATATTTCTATATCTGCGGCGCAACGCATTATCTTTATAATAATATGTTTGAGTAGCAACAGGTGAACAATATCCTTTGTATCACAACCTTAACTTACATTCTTTTTCTTCAATTCCGAGGCAGCACCATCCATAGTCCCCCTTCCTTTGCCGGGACGGCGATCCACAAATATCCCTCCACACAACCAACAAGCCAAACCAAAAGGTCCAGCAAATAATAGCGCTTTTTTGGCTAACACGGTACATCGTTCCGGTACAACATCGAATAAAGCTAAATCAGAGAATACCGGCTTAGGATCAGAGCACAGAAGTACACGGTATTTCTATCTGTTTCATATAGTGCAGCTTAAAATTGCTGAATATCCACATCAATAGTAGAAGTAGTGCTAGTGAAAAACGGATAAGAATTATTTAAAATTATCACAGTCACGCGGATTTCAAAAGCAACTTTCTGCAGAGCAGGTAATCAGGTTATCCCGGAGACAGTAACATGCATCTCACAGATATAAATACAGGGCATAATTAGATACAGTATGATATAGATGTCATTAGGAAAGACTTGTAATCATCTCTAACCAGTAAGGTAAAACTTTAAATCATAAAGCGCTTATCAGTCAAAAGGACAGAGACGCAACTGCTTAAACACACTAGAGTAGTGGCTAGTCGTATAACTGTATCGTACGTATCATATCCAAGGAAGACTGATGATTACTGATCACAACATATGAACCATCTCCAGCTTTACGAAAATTTTCCTCGCCACGTTTTTCCACTTGAATTCCAAATAATTCTTTCCCTCTCAATAAATTTAAAAATAACCATCCTGTGATGCTCCTAGAAAAACAACACTTACTTATCGGTAATTAATACGCGGTTCAGGGGTCAAGAAAAATGTGTGAAGAATTAAATTAAACGCGTGGTCCAGGAATGAATGCAAGAATGTAATGCCCTTGCACGAATGACGAATGCCACATAATTTCATATACACCTGATACCACTGCTTAACACGCACGGAAGTTATCCTTATTATTATGTACCAGACTATTGAGACTAACACTATTAAATCATTAAAGTGTTGCGCAATATGCACTACCCCAGATGTTTTAACAAGTGAATTATACCTTGTATTATCGGGATTTCGGGGATCCTTAAGTGATAACGGAATCACAAGGGAGCTTGTGAGATACACTATCGTCATGTAAAAAAACATCTTGGCTTGATAACGAAATGCGGGGGAAGAATCGTACAGTTTCCATATTACGGGAATAATAACTGTTAGTGCAATGCAGAAATACTGGAAAATCACTATTCCCAAAGAAGATTCCGGTTTAGATATTTCTGGCTCCATATTTGCAGCAGATGGGTCCGGTATAGATCCACACCATAACTGACTCCAAGTTCGTAACAAAACGAGTTCTCGTCGCTCCTTGACAAAATAAATCCACAGAATCCCACAAAGTATTTTGCTGTGACGGTTCTGGAGTCCGGAGTCGACCAAGGAAATGGCTAATTATATCAAGCTACAAAATTCAAATGGCTAGAGAAATAAAATACCTCAATGGATATCTCGATTTTCCGTAAGTCAAAGTCTGCTGAAAGTCGTGAAAATGCACTGCCATAAAAAGTCACAAGTCCGGACTTTGTAATCATGATCATGCCTACGGCACAGCTGATAACGATCGTAAGGAACATGGACAACGTAGTAGTACAGTCTATAGGCTACTGTCGGTATGTACAAAACTCATGGTTTATGATTAATTCTATGAATAAAATTATAATAATATTTAAATAAAAATATTGTACAATGCAGGATTATGTACGGTACCATACAAAAAAATTTTACAAGTCTGCCGTATGCGTAAGCAATTATGATATTCTTATAATAAATAATAAATTAATATCGATATCGATAATTATTGCATACACGTATGTGGTTCATTGTACTAAATCCGCATATTGTACAATACATCTATAATATCATGCCATACACTGTCCCTTGGAGTTGGGACAAATCTATATCCATAATAATTGAAAATAATAAATAGGTACGGTACAGTTTTTAATATCATTAACCTTTTTACGGCAATAGTTTTAAAAATATCATAATTATGAAAGGATGATGTGCTTTTGCAGATGAAACTGACATCCACATAACACATTGGTACTTTGCAGATAAATTTTTTTTTTGTTTGCTTGTAATAGAGCTTTAATTTTTAGTAATACGTCTATCAATTAAACAAATGAAAAACAGGAGCGTCACACAGCATCAACAGACAGCAGAAACAGGCGCCCGAATCACTGAGAACATTTGATCTAAATCAGCCGAGGCTGGTGCCGTTCCCAGGACGGATGCGGCAGATAAATTATTAACAGCAACAATCATTCGGCAACAACAACCAAATAAATTCTTTGTCTATTGTAATGGTCCGGTGCGCCAAAATATTTGTATTGTACAGTAGATTTCAACAAAATTGCTTTAAACATACAGTACTTACAACTGTACACGTATTCTATTGTGCTGCGGTATCCTGAGGTCATCGTCTCCGGTACGTACTCCTCTTTTCCGCTCTGACCATGCAGCATCGCCGAAATTATTGGATTATTACTGGGTGTATTTACTGTCTGCGCAGTCGTTTCCGTGTTAACGATTTGATTTTTTGCAATATTTGCAACATAAAGGATGGGGATTATGGCGCCGGATTGAATAAAATATTTAATTAATTTATGCCATGACTTTTTAATCCCTCCTAATGTTCTTATTATGCACTGCTAAAATTCGCGTGCAGTATCGGTGTACAGTTCTTGAGGAGCACTATTTCCGAAAACCATGACGAAAAGCCAGCGAAAAATTAGCTCCAATTCGAGCTTCTTAAAAGCTCTTGAAAGTGATTTTCATCGATTTTGGGATCGCCCACAAAAATACAATACTGGTGCAAATCGCAGTTCAAGTAATCCTACCGGGGCAACCGTGGTGGAAACCCTGGACGAAATCCTGTATGCTTACGAAGTAAGTGCAAAGCGATACTCTTGCTGGTTCAGGGAAGCTTCGTTATATACTGTTGACCAAAAAAACGTTTACGTAAGTTTAGCTCGATGAGCAATATTTTTTTCTTCGGTCTTTAGTTAACGAGTAGGTGCTTGTGCTAATTGAATTGAGTAGGTATATTTTCCTTTCAAAATCAGCACTTATGCTCGTTATACGATGCATGTTCACATTAGCAGTCAAACGGAGGTGGACGCAGTTCAGCTGTTAATTTTGCCTGGCAGAGTCCTGATCCAGAAAAGAATCTCTTCTCAGCTGGTCGCAATACCGGGTTTGGACCGAATGCCTACAAACGGACCTATACGCTCTTCCCCAGACCCGGATATTACCAGCACAAATGTTGCGGATGTGGACCGCGTATGGCGTTTTGCATCTTCTTCTTTCTGATCCTTATTGCTATTATTGTGGCCCTGATTTGCTATTGTAAGTGCAAGTCGGTTTTCCGTTCGTCGCAGTGTTAGAAAAATCTAATAAGCGTGGACGTTGATAAAATAAGTTAATGCTTTAGCCGTTTCTAGATGTTGTCCAATATAACAAATGCAATATTGTCAAATACTGGTACAGCTTGGCTTTTTTTAACGAGATGACCATGACGAGTAAACGCCCAGTAAACGTGACACATGAGTTGATTGATCGTGTCAAATGATTAACAAGTTTTTTGTTAAGTAAATGCATTTGAGTATTTTTTTAGCGGTTTATTCAATGGGATCCAAGAACGACTCCTCTGATGTGGTTCAATCGCCGATTCCGTATACCATTCTCACAACTGATTATTCCACTACTCCACCGGAAGTCACACGCAGAGGAGGTTGGTCATTTTACAGTAATCAAAACAATTTTATTCTCCATATAAAAACAATTTAATTTAACATAACTTTAAAATTGCTTTAACATTACATGTTGTCAAATCCTTTTGATGGAACCCTCGGGTTATGATGTAGTTAGTGCACGTTATGCACATTTGCGAAACGTTGAAATACTTCTCCGAAATGATTGTGCTATCGAAAAGCTTTCACATCTTAATAACTGCATTTGATATTTTTGAAATCTATTACAGCAAAATTTTTGTTTCAAAAAGGAACGTTTGCGGTGTTTGTGCATGAGCTTTCGGTCCTTTTGTCTGATCCCGCATTTGTTTATAAGTTGTATGTCAACTGTAGCCCCAGCCGGTGGGAGAAAGGTCAAAGCTCCTCCGGATATTTCTAATCAGCCAGCATTCAGTTTTGATATTGACCCGAAAATGACCCGCGCAACAGCGACGACCGCTCCTTACTCCGTATTTCAACGTTATCTGGCAACTGTTCCAGTGCTGCCGGTGGCTCCTTCCGACGGCTGTTATCCTCACCGATGCCACCGTAATGCTGTTTGTTCGAACGGGACATGCCGCTGTCGTGCCGGCTACGAGGGCGATGGAATTCGTGTTTGCGCTAACATCGACGAGTGCGCTCGTTTCCGAGGAATCTGTGGTTGCAATGCTCTGTGTGTGGACACTCCCGGAAGTTATAGTTGTTCCTGTAAACCAGGATATGAAATGGTTAATGGCTCTGCGGAGTGTACGGATATGGATGAATGCAAATTTCGCAAACCGGTGTGCCCAGTGCTAGCCCAGTGTATTAATGTTTCCGGTGGGTATCGGTGCGTTTGTTATGATGGGACCGAACCGAACGCTGAAGGAAATGTCTGCTGGAATGCCGTTGCTTGATATTTACAGTGTTTTTTGTTCCTGCTTTACTATTGTAAGCAGTAGGTATTGCAGTGTTGTTGCTTGCTTGTTTTCAACAATTTCGAAATATGTGACAATGTTTTTCTTTTTTAAAACTTTCGATACCCGAGTGTTTGGCCAGATCTCACTGTTGTAGCCATTTGTCTAAAATCAGTTTTTATCACAAAGTTTTTACGAATAAAACCTGAATAAAGAAGACCGCATTTAGGTGAAAAAATTAAAAACGTAAGTAATTAAAACCACAAACACAGACAAGGAAAAAATTTAAATGCGGAATAGAACATAAAAAAATACTGAACACGGTTGCAGAACATGCAGACGGTGAAGTGTACCGCATAAAACATCGGTGACCACTACAGTCAAAACTATGATTCGGGAACAGGAATTTTCCACTGGAGAGATCTGCCGATTTCGTACATTTGTGTAAGCACTTTAACAAATGTGCTGCCATCAGATTTGGAGGAATCTTTGGTGAGTGCCTCGTATTTCTGGTACAGGTATAAGGCGGATTGGGCATCTGTTCGAGATAGCGCACGAAAAATTACAGTAAAGGAAAGATAAACTGATATATACGACTAGCAATAATTAAAATGTGAGGCTACAATTTACACAAGACATCCCCAACACAAGAAGCGTAAGATTTACCTTCAATGGAATCATGTGAATGAATCTGGATGTGGCTACCCAGAAAGTACCATGCTAGGAACCTTAGTGATATCAGCCTCTGATCCGGTAAACGGAAAAGTTGAACAGTATCGATGATTTGATCTTTTGGCACCTAAATAACGCAACAATAATTAAGTATATACAAACCTCATTGCTAAATACGAGTATATAATTGTATATAATAATAACGAGTATATAATAATTGCTCGTATATAAGTAAATGCCAACCTTTATGTTAATAACTCTGAAGTCGTTGTTTAATCCATGACCGATAAACCTCACACCCTGATCAACGAGGTAACGCAGCCGCACATAAACAGATTTTAACGTTTGCAGCCGTTTAGAGGAGAAATCAGCACACAGATCTCCCGGCTGGATACCGGAAAACTCCGTCAGGTGATCAACGATCTACCGCGAAACAGAATCAGGTCTGGGTTGTTAAACTGCAAGGTACCCGGATTTTACAAAAAGTGTCTAAATATGACATCCTGTTTACCTTGTCTCTAGCCACAACATATTCATCCATAAAGGGTGTACCAGCCAGCACTCCATGACCCCGCACGACGGTCACCCGGCCCAGAGACATCATAGAGGGCTTAATAATAGACTTAGTTCCATCCGCATGGAATTCCACTTCGCCGTCGCTGAGAGAAACAAATTCTGCATCCAGTGCTACGACATCGCTCGGTCCAAAGCATTCTGTCTCCTGAATAGGAATGATGGAGCTCGGTTCGTGATGACCGGGCGGTATACTCTGTTCGCAGTAGCGCAGGAAGATATCTCGCGTAATCGGATTATCCACTGATGATCCCAATTTATAAAGAAAAACTCAAAGCATCAAATCAACCGATTCAGCCTAAAACGCGGGAAACATTATGCGCCCTACCCGTGGTCGGCCATCTCTTCTGCACGTCCGCTCGAGCATAAAATACCGTACAAGGTATGCGGGAATTTAGATCAAAGTGAAGTGCTTCTCGCTGCAAATTTGAAACATTACTACCATCTATCGTTAAAAGAAAAACAAAATCAGTTATTTGCCTGAGAAACCGGTGTTATTATCAGATCATCAAAGAAATGCCAGGGATCAGCTCCGCCACTTCTATTCCTCACTTTGATGGCGCTAACAAAACTTTGCGAATCTCCCTTTTCCTTGCAGCGAGCAATATAAGTGACGGCAGCCACTTCGTACTCAGTCCATTTTTGGCGTCCTAATGGTCGCGTGTTCACCACCTCCGTTTTGCCATCACTACCGATGTTCATCCAGAGGGACGTTGGGATGAACGTTGGCGGGTCCGATTTCGAACATTCTCTACAATACATTTTCATTAATATCTGTCCAAAAACGAAATTAACTCATCATGAAATCTATGTGACAACGAACAAAACGAGCTCACGCTTCGATATCCCGAGGATGCAAGAAGAGGCAGTCCATGCGATTACACTGAGCACCGTATCGGCAAGCCTTAACATCTTTTAACGTTAAAGGTGAACTTTCGGCCTTTTTCTTTATCAGCTGCTGGATGGTCCAATTGGCCAGAGTCTGTTTCATTGCTGTAGCGTTATTTTCGTTGTCCAGTCGAAAGTTGAAAACAAAAATTTCTGGGAGCGAGGTTACGTTGCGTGTAAAGCACTATGACAAGCCAGACAATAAGTGTACGTTAATTGTGGACATATATTAGTATGCTTGCAAGAAACCAGAGAGCTTACGGCAACATTCTCAAATCCACAAGTATCGCAATGCAGAACCCACTCCGAACATTCGTTCAGCGTATTCCGCAAGATATAGTGCAAATCTTGACCCCGATGATCTAGAAATGAACACAAATTTAACATTGCTAAAACTGAGTACAAACAGATTAAAATTACTCTGCGCTCCGAAATAGCGAAGTGGCAAGGTAAAAAGCGTCCTTTGCTCTTGTGAGATGTGCCCACAAGTGTGCGTAATGGTATCCAGGACGCGCACCGAAGCTAACCGGGATATACTGGAGTCCTGACTCGCATAGTAACCGTCATGCATCAGTTCCTTATGAGTATGCTCCAAAACGAACTGTATCCACTGTTGTAGAAGAATCTGCGGCATCGTACCAGAGAGATCGTCCACTTCGCTAATGACCAGCCCACGATGAACGGCACTGTCCATCGAACGGATAACACGGTACAAATTACTGGCCTGCAAATATTTAAAGTTGATCCTACTGTTTTTTCTACATGATAAATATTCATGGAACGGTGGAACCATGAAATAATTGGACACATAAAAAAAAGTTAAAAAGCGCATACAGGTAGGTAAAAGGAAAGACGGTAATTTTCCATGAAATAACTGGGGAAATGAAAACCAAATCCCGGAATCAGAAAGGGTTTACCAATAAGAGATGCACAAGATGCACATTTCTACATTTACATAGAGGACACCTCATAATTATTAATACGCAAATACATTTCTCCTTCACACCCGCATTCGAACCTCACTTTCTCCCAAACGGTATTACTAGGGCGGGCTGAGACAATAAAATACCTGGCAAGGCTCTTCTGACCCAGCAACATTCATCATATGGAAAAGAAATCCCAGTTCACATGACAGGCAGAACTCATTATAACAGTGATGATTCTGGAAGATCGCCGCCAGCGGGCCAATGTTGTACAAAGCTTGCAGTATACCATTACAGTAAGAACTAGGAAGTTCCGGTTCCAGGGCTGGCAGGTTCGAGGAATTAAATTCCCTCCAGCTGCATAAACCGTATTAAGCTTATGTTTAAAAGCTCCGATAAACTTCTTTACCCTAAAAAAGAAAATTGGTAATTAGATCACATAATGCATAACATAACTTTGCTGTCATTCTCACTGATCTGCGGCATCCGCGACCGGCTGCGGCCCATTGACACCGTATCGGCCTTGCACCCATTGGTCGGAGTGAACGGCACAGGTGAGTCTTTTGGCAGTCCCACCGGACGGCCCTCTGCCACTTCCAGCGCAACACTCCTGAAAGATGAAACTCGTTACACCTGTCAATAGCGACTCTGGTAACAGTACTTTTGTGGTGATTCCAGACCCGCTGTTGACGTGGTTGGCCAACTTTGGGAATTTATTTGGCTTCGCAAAAGAGGATGACTTGTCCCAGCGGAAGGGCCATCACTTCTATAATGCGCAGACGCAGTATGCCCGATGTTATGGTACAAAAGCTGCAAACAGACTTTGATCACAAGTGCCCGACACACAATTGCCCGACACTCTATTCCTTCCGAACATATGAAAAGGTAAAAGTATGACTTATAAAAGTATGAAAAGTCAACCCTTTCGTCATAATTAATTAACATCAAGGACAAGTAAAATCGTAACGATAGACAAATTTAGTACTGTAAAACCTTAAACTCATCTGCTGACCAGTGCTTATTTTATGCGCAATTCACCAGTATTTGGCGACACCATGTTCACTGTATGACAGATAAAACAAGTAATATTTTACTGGTGTCTATGTGTTAATAATTTGTCTGGCCCACAGAAGAATTATTTTACATTTTAAATACGTGAAATAATTTTTGTTTTAATTATATAATATACTATGTTTTCAGTATTAAATTATAAATGTTAAGAGCATCGTTGGTCAAACTAGTACAATACCTCTGGAACTGCACAAGGGCGCGAATGCGAATTCCACTGCGGATGGGAGGAGGGATTTCCCCGTGAGAATATGTGCACAAGTCCAGCGGCGTCGCCAATAACAAAGCTATTCGCTGAGCTAGAAAAATCAATGCTGACTGGTGCAGCCGCAAAGTTTCCCAGTCGATGAACCTCTTCGCATACTTCCGCACTGGCAAAACTGTTAATAAACTGGAATCGGCCTTCCATGTCCACAGCCACACAGTATTGTCCAAAGGATTTTGGCATAAAACGAACTAAACTGGGAGCAAGACAGGTATTGATCGGGGATGTTGCCTTACAGACGCGCAAATCATAAACGCTCAGCGAATAACTTGGAAGAATGTTGTCGATGCTGTCCACTCCATGTACGCACATAAACAACGAATAATCATACACATCTACATCGCACAATATCATACTATCCGGTATGGCGCGATGGTGGCGTGCTTGATTAGAACGAAGGTCGACTATGCTGATGTCGCCGCCGCTGGACGCAAAACACAAATACCGCTCGGATCCTCGTAGAAATACCGTATCAATGTCGGCAATCTGGAGATTCTCAATGTAATCAGGTCGTTCCAAATTTAACTTGCGGGCAGATCCATGCTTTCCGGCAATGACAATGCTTCCATTCGGATAACAAGTTGTGGCGGCGGAAACGGCTAAGCAGGAAGAGAAAACTCCCGGGCTAGATAGCCTGTAAAGTGCACCTTCAGGACATTGTCAAAGGATTTTCTGTTTCCCTCATGTGATTTGATAGGCCTCAAATTATCACTAATCCAAAAACAGATAAAGAAACAGGATATTTGCACCAGCTGCGATTAGTGCAGTCGAGGTCAAATGCAAAAAAACGCATGACAGTCCTGTTTATTCCTGATCGCATAAAAAAGCATGCTGAGCAGTTTGAAAAATGCTGGAAGTACAATGGAGGTGGCTGTTTTAGCACACAACCGTGTTGTTGACACGATAAATTCTGCTCGCGTTTGTTCGTTTCTTCATGACACAGCTATTACACCTCGGCTGGGTCGTCGCACGACAATGTTTCACTTTGAAAATACTATAAGGTATCAAGCGCACTGTTTAGCTAGACAAAACCAAAATACCTTTCTCAGAATGTTGAGTGAAAAGCTTAGTCGATTTTCTAAATACCAATTTCCACTGATCTAACTCTAAATTCTACTCTTTGCAGTAAAGTGGCCTATTTTAGTTCAGATCCAAACAGAACCACGAAGGAGGTACGGTGGAAACGCAAGCGACATTTAGAAAAACAACACCACGTGACTAAAATATTTTCTTTGAAACTCGGTAAACTCAAACTGCTCTCGCTGTTAAACAGTGCTGTGAGTTCTGATAAAATGCAAAGCGGATCGGTTTCAACTTCTTACTTTCTGTAAATGACTGTAATCGAATAACTCATAATTAACCGCCATAAATTCTAACATTTTCTGTAATTATCACAAATTTCAATAAGAGAACTCCTTGTATCTATTCACTATTTTTTGTCAAGGCAGGCAATGGTAAAGTATGCACTGCAGATTCGTAGTATTTAAATGTAAATACATTAACGATATTCACCCCGTAGCATAAAGCAGGCCACCTCCACGTTTGTGCAGGTTCAGTCCGCATGATGTCAGTGTAAGAATACCAGGGTCCGTGACGCACATATCCTTGAGCTCTGCATCGTATAGCGTTGAGAAGGTAGTATATCTGGACAAGTAGGGACCGCAATAAGACGAGATTCGTCCCTAAATGCACCACAGCAATTAATAACGGCCACAGCGGACGCTCTTCTGATCTTGCGTTGTTGCCCAAGGCAAAGTCAGCTGTAGAAGTAAATTACCTCTTTCGACGCCGTCCACAGTAACTCTTCATAGTCGTCAAACTTCACGATTGTGCCGATAGTTCCAGAATCACCAAACGTATTAAGCGTCCGATACGGGACGTAGGAAATGGTGGCATTTCCTTCCGCGATGCCTTCATCTAGGCTCATTTCGTGCTGTCAACTGCGCAGCAGTCAGTGGAGAATACAACGGGGTTTTATGTTTTACGTAATAAGTGTGGAATACGCAGACATCGATTCCGTGATGGATTCCATGATGGAACATCGGTCCAGACGTTACACAGAAAGCCACACAATTTTTTTCGATTTTTTTAATATAAGATGCGATTGAAAAGACTACATGGAGCTGGGTTAGTTTAGAGATGCGTATACAACAACCAGGGCGACCTTCTAGCACAGCCTGCAACTGTAATCCTCAGTGGTTTTTGGCATAGCAACATCGTCCATAGCTTCACCAGAGGCGCCCTGGCTGCAGAAAAAAAGATAATCTGGGGTTACATGGCAGGACACAATTCAGATCAACTTTCGCAAAAGGCCAGTTTTCATCACAAACGGATCAGTTAAACTTTTAACATGAATTATGCAAGTAAATGAGGGATCGCAAGTAGCAATGGCTGCGTCACCTACTTATCAAGGTACACGTTAGGTCATTCGCTGATATTTATATAACGGAATATCTGAATAATTTATACTTAAACCTCAAAGCTGCTCAAGCACTGCCTTACATTAAGTACGCCAAAAACTACTGTTATTACTATTAGTAATAGACATCCGAAGTTCTACATTATGAGGCAAAATCATTCAAATCACAAGTTAGAAATGCTCTTGAAATTGTAGTCTGTAGCAGTGTAGCTGCAACAGTAAGTACGTACGTTGGAAATCCCAAAAGTGTTTAGAGACCATAGTCAACCATTCCGCACACCAAAGTATCTAGAAGATCATGAATAAAAATTTGCGCACTGATTCAAAATCAAAATTTAGATCCCAAAAAAACTGGTTAACCAAGAAAATGTAAGTAAATTTTAAATCGTAAATGGCTGCGAATAAACGTCTATCCTCGACTTAACGAAAACAAATACAGAGGACGACTCATTCAGACGGTTCAAGTGGCAAGAATCCATATGAATTGTGCCAAAACAAGGGAGACTTCCAATCGTCCACCGTCTCACAGTATACTGTAGTTTGTACGCTGCGACTCTGCGACTGTACGATAGACCATTTCCAGGCACCTACGTATGCGTATGCCGTCTGCCATTCGGTCTTTTTGATTTGTTTTTTGTTGCAGTATAAAGTAGTCTACAGAACACGACAAAGCAGGACAAATCAGGTCGCATACAACTTCTTTGCAGTGGACAGACTTTTAATTTTTATCATTACACATTTGTTGACGCATTCCAAACATTTATTTCGGTTTTACCGGATTTTAGACTTACTCCTGGAGTGAATATTAAAAGCTGCAAGACAGCAAGAGCGCAAGTTTTACTGTACGATTTATGCAGTTTCCTCGACTTCTAGACTGTGAGTAATGTACATCAACTAATTCTTATCACTTATAATCTTATTATTATCTTATAATCTTATTAATCTTATTGTTTATCTTATTATTGTTCTGCTGTTTTCCTGTTAATTTGGGTTTTATCTGGGAGCAGTGTGGAAGAGCGTGCATTTGTAAAAGCTGCATGTCGCTATAGAATCTTCAACAACATGGGGAGACATTCTGCAGGACCAACCCGTAATTTTCGCCGCGAATCCAACATGCGTAGCGGAGAATCACGCATCGATTTTCTGAAACAAGTGTTGACATTCTTCAACGTTTTCTTTCTGGTATGTGTACGTAGACGACAAGCGGAAGCTTCTGGTTTGCATTTCTGTGAACAACATGGCATGAGCTGGCTGCTGTTACAGATTGCGGGATTGGGAGTGTTGGGAGTGGGAATATGGACGGTGGTTGATCGACATAACTACACACCGATCATTCTCTCGACGACCTACGCTGTGGCCGCTTATCTCCTCATTGGAGCTGGGTGTTTGGTCCTTATTACCAGTGCGATTGGTTTTGTTGGGCTGTGCAAACTACGCAAGAGCTGGATGGTTGCTGTACGTGGCCGTTATCTTCGGTTTAAGATTGTAACGCAAACCTGAAAATTGTGGCTTTTGCAGTATATTCTCTTATTGCTTCTGATCTTCATATTGGAGGCGGCTGCAGGAGTTTTGGCTTATCTATACGCGGAACAAGTAAGCAAATTTTCCCAGTATCCATGTTGTTCTCTCGCCGATTTTTTGCGACATTTTAGATGAAGTCCGATCTCAACCATCGCTTAAAAGAAATCATTGCGAAAGATTACGGAACGGATCTTGCAATGAGCAACTCCATGGATTCTTTGCAGAAAAGCTTTACTTGCTGTGGCTCTGCGGATTATTCGGACTGGCAGAACAGTGACTGGGGTAATGCCGAGGATCGACAACATGACAAACTGGCGGATTACATTCCGGTGCCGGATAGTTGCTGCAAGAACACAACTACTGCGTGCGGATTTCGTAGCCATCCGTCCAACATTTATTACGATGTAAGTCTTGGTTTTCGTTGTGTAGAGAGAACAGAATTACTAAAATAGTAGGTAATTTTGTAAAATTATTCTAGGATGTACTTCATCATTCGCTGCCTTTCTCCGGGAGCGCTTGTACATCATAGGTGGAGTGGGAATTGGCATTTGCGCCGTGCAGGTACGCACGCACAGACTTTCTGTTGTTCAAACTACTACAGTACGCCCCAAAATTTACAAACCACACAGACGCGCTTATTTTTCGTAGTTGTTTGGAGCCGTGCTATCTTGTTGTCTTGTTGCGCGCTTGAAAAAGCCAAAAGAGCCGATTCTGCGTTATGATTACACGAGAGCTGGTTAATTTGGATTCTGGAGGAAACAATTCGCTCAAACATTTTGTTCCCGTATGCCTTAACGCCTTGGCGCGTGATGCTTGCTTGCTACTGCCATCAGTATCCGAAAATTGTTGCTGTAGTCTGTGCTCGGTATGAATCTTTTGTTTCGTCTTTATGGTGCATTCCATTTCTCATTCCGATTGCTGCCAAATTCCTATGGATCTTTTATGATTTTAGTTTTTTACAGTGGTGAACTGGTGAATGGTGCTTTTCGAATCTCTATGTTGTGGATCTGTTTTATTTTTTACTCGCCGTTTTTCCGGTGTCGTTTTACTTTTATCTAAGCGGTTTTGATTTGAGTTTTGAAGCATGTTTGTCTGATGGTTTTTTTTCGAAGTTATTATTGGAGTTTTTAGGAAGAAAATTGTCAAAACATCCTGCAATTTGTTTTCGTGTTGTATTGATTGGATTCTGAAATTTGTACTACTCTACTGGCTTCCTTTGATGTAGGCTACGATATATGTCTGACTACCTATTTCTCCCAATACTTGGACTAATAACAGTGATCAGTGAGATACAGTCTGATGCCCGATCTTGAAAACTAAACAACTACAGTATTTGAGTCCAAGTAGGTGCGGACTTAGTAACCGGGATAACCCAGCTGGTACTAATTTGAAAGCGAACAAATTAATATTCTTTATGAAAATGAAATTAAGAAAATGCCGAATTACATCACTGTACGTAATCTGGAGACCGAACAGTTTTTAATGCGTGGGCGTTTTCTAATTCCCCAATCATCAATGTTATTACACTATTAGTAACAGTAGTTATAAGTAGATCGCCATTTGGAAGAATAAACTTTGGGGAGCGTGGAAAAGTAAATTTAGGACAGCAGCTGTAAAATGCAAATTTGCAAGGCTTTTGAATCTGGTGAAAATAATTCTTGGATACATTTTTACGATTTTCTTTTAGCTACAGATATTAATATTCTTTAGCCAAGCAATTTCTTATTTTGTGGCCGTCTTTCCTTACCCGTTGCAACGTAAGTACTTATAATTGCAGACAGTGCTGGTAATTAATATGACTTTTCCCATAATATTTAGCAGTCTTCCATTTTACATACGAAACTGTAAGCACTATATATTATTACATTTCATACGCTTGACGTGTGGAGGAGTACGTACGAGGGATTCCACCGTACATCCACTGACTGTCCGCCTTCACCTGCAAGTACAACACGGATATCAGCACCGATCAGTTCTGTGATTCGTTATATTCATGGCTTAGCGGTGTATCTGATGTTTTACTTCTGAGTCTATTTAAGTCTGAGATTTTACTAATATCGATAGGGATTGGAATTCAGTCTTGGATTTCTGATCTGACGACTACTTGCTTTTAACTTTCCTTGTGTTGTGCATATGATTGTGTTAGCGGAGTAAAGCATCTTCTGTGATTATCGACGTTCGTAATTTGTATCGGATTATAGCGGTAAACACGGTATGCTCGTACTTCGTCCGACCCGCATATGTGACGACCGGAAGTTAGGAGAATTCTTCAGCACAATCGCTTAGGGATTCCTGATCTTCGTGTTCCTGAACCTACCAGATTCCGCACATTTCCCGTGATCCGTTGTAACGATTGAGACAAGAGCTGCTATACTCACTGAGCAAGGCAGGGATAGTGGTTACGACGATCCCGTCCGGAGAGTCGTTAGCTAATCGTGTACTTCTTTGTACCATTGGCAACCTCATAATACGACATGGCGCCCACCGATGGTTTTTAATTTCCCGATGTTACAGCTGCATGTCGCTATAGAATCTTCAACAACATGGGGAGACATTCTGCAGGACCAACCCGTAATTTTCGCCGCGAATCCAACATGCGTAGCGAATCACGCATCGATTTTCTGAAACAAGTGTTGACATTCTTCAACGTTTTCTTTCTGGTATGTGTACGTAGACGACAAGCGGAAGCTTCTGGTTTGCATTTCTGTGAACAACATGGCATGAGCTGGCTGCTGTTACAGATTGCGGGATTGGGAGTGTTGGGAGTGGGAATATGGACGGTGGTTGATCGACATAACTACACACCGATCATTCTCTCGACGACCTACGCTGTGGCCGCTTATCTCCTCATTGGAGCTGGGTGTTTGGTCCTTATTACCAGTGCGATTGGTTTTGTTGGGCTGTGCAAACTACGCAAGAGCTGGATGGTTGCTGTACGTGGCCGTTATCTTCGGTTTAAGATTGTAACGCAAACCTGAAAATTGTGGCTTTTGCAGTATATTCTCTTATTGCTTCTGATCTTCATATTGGAGGCGGCTGCAGGAGTTTTGGCTTATCTACGCGGAACAAGTAAGCAAATTTTCCCAGTATCCATGTTGTTCTCTCGCCGATTTTTTTGCGACATTTTAGATGGTCCGATCTCAACCATCGCTTAAAAGAAATCATTGCGAAAGATTACGGAACGGATCTTGCAATGAGCAACTCCATGGATTCTTTGCAGAAAAGCTTTACTTGCTGTGGCTCTGCGGATTATTCGGACTGGCAGAACAGTGACTGGGGTAATGCCGAGGATCGACAACATGACAAACTGGCGGATTACATTCCGGTGCCGGATAGTTGCTGCAAGAACACAACTACTGCGTGCGGATTTCGTAGCCATCCGTCCAACATTTATTACGATGTAAGTCTTGGTTTTCGTTGTGTAGAGAGAACAGAATTACTAAAATAGTAGGTAATTTTGTAAAAATTATTCTAGGGATGTACTTCATCATTCGCTGCCTTTCTCCGGGAGCGCTTGTACATCATAGGTGGAGTGGGAATTGGCATTTGCGCCGTGCAGGTACGCACGCACAGACTTTCTGTTGTTCAAACTACTACAGTACGCCCCAAAATTTACAAACCACACAGACGCGCTTATTTTTCGTAGTTGTTTGGAGCCGTGCTATCTTGTTGTCTTGTTGCGCGCTTGAAAAAGCCAAAAGAGCCGATTCTGCGTTATGATTACACGAGAGCTGGTTAATTTGGATTCTGGAGGAAACAATTCGCTCAAACATTTTGTTCCCGTATGCCTTAACGCCTTGGCGCGTGATGCTTGCTTGCTACTGCCATCAGTATCCGAAAATTGTTGCTGTAGTCTGTGCTCGGTATGAATCTTTTGTTTCGTCTTTATGGTGCATTCCATTTCTCATTCCGATTGCTGCCAAATTCCTATGGATCTTTTATGATTTTAGTTTTTTACAGTGGTGAACTGGTGAATGGTGCTTTTCGAATCTCTATGTTGTGGATCTGTTTTATTTTTTACTCGCCGTTTTTCCGGTGTCGTTTTACTTTTATCTAAGCGGTTTTGATTTGAGTTTTGAAGCATGTTTGTCTGATGGTTTTTTTTCGAAGTTATTATTGGAGTTTTTAGGAAGAAAATTGTCAAAACATCCTGCAATTTGTTTTCGTGTTGTATTGATTGGATTCTGAAATTTGTACTACTCTACTGGCTTCCTTTGATGTAGGCTACGATATATGTCTGACTACCTATTTCTCCCAATACTTGGACTAATAACAGTGATCAGTGAGATACAGTCTGATGCCCGATCTTGAAAACTAAACAACTACAGTATTTGAGTCCAAGTAGGTGCGGACTTAGTAACCGGGATAACCCAGCTGGTACTAATTTGAAAGCGAACAAATTAATATTCTTTATGAAAATGAAATTAAGAAAATGCCGAATTACATCACTGTACGTAATCTGGAGACCGAACAGTTTTTAATGCGTGGGCGTTTTCTAATTCCCCCAATCATCAATGTTATTACACTATTAGTAACAGTAGTTATAAGTAGATCGCCATTTGGAAGAATAAACTTTGGGGAGCGTGGGAAAAGTAAATTTAGGACAGCAGCTGTAAAAATGCAAATTTGCAAGGCTTTTGGAATCTGGTGAAAATAATTCTTGGATACATTTTTACGATTTTCTTTTAGCTACAGATATTAATATTCTTTAGCCAAGCAATTTCTTATTTTGTGGCCGTCTTTCCTTACCCGTTGCAACGTAAGTACTTATAATTGCAGACAGTGCTGGTAATTAATATGACTTTTCCCATAATATTTAGCAGTCTTCCATTTTACATACGAAACTGTAAGCACTATATATTATTACATTTCATACGCTTGACGTGTGGAGGAGTACGTACGAGGGATTCCACCGTACATCCACTGACTGTCCGCCTTCACCTGCAAGTACAACACCGGATATCAGCACCGATCAGTTCTGTGATTCGTTATATTCATGGCTTAGCGGTGTATCTGATGTTTTTACTTCTGAGTCTATTTAAGTCTGAGATTTTACTAATATCGATAGGGATTGGAATTCAGTCTTGGATTTCTGATCTGACGACTACTTGCTTTTAACTTTCCTTGTGTTGTGCATATGATTGTGTGTTAGCGGAGTAAAGCATCTTCTGTGATTATCGACGTTCGTAATTTGTATCGGATTATAGCGTGGTAAACACGGTATGCTCGTACTTCGTCCGACCCGCATATGTGACGACCGGAAGTTAGGAGAATTCTTCAGCACAATCGCTTAGGGATTCCTGATCTTCGTGTTCCTGAACCTACCAGATTCCGCACATTTCCCGTGATCCGTTGTAACGATTGAGACAAGAGCTGCTATACTCACTGAGCAAGGCAGGGATAGTGGTTACGACGATCCCGTCCGGAGAGTCGTTAGCTAATCGTGTACTTCTTTGTACCATTGGCAACCTCATAATACGACATGGCGCCCACCGATGGTTTTTAATTTCCCGATGTTACAGCGAAATTAAGGAAGGAATCTGGATGGTAATTAATTGATAGAAAATTGTGGTGGTCCGTAGAAAGGTGTCGAACCGAAAGGTACACCGAAGGAGGTCAGTGTCCAGATCTGGCCTAGAGTTTTATTGGGTGAGCTTCCTCCCCGGGCTGAGCTTCCTCGCCCAATTGGCTGAGCTTCCTCGCCATTAATTAATTGATAAATCTGGGCCGAAAATTCAGCAGTAAAACTGGTGGAAACCTTAAAGGTCAGCCAGAGAAAAGTGGTGAAAATAAAGTGAGAAGTGGGTGATTTCCGGGTTGTCTGCGCAAAGCGATGACCGGAGAAAATAAAGCGTAAAGTATAGCGTCAGTGCGCCTGGCCTACATTCAGATCGTAGCCGCAGATTGCATCTGAGCTAAGCCATTGTCTACGGCAAGCTAAGATAAAATCTTCAGCAGGTGAATACAAAGGCAGCGGAATCGCTAGCCAAATCAGTAGCTAGCTATACCAGGCAGCTGAAAAACGTAAACAAACCAGGCAATCGGAGATTGACCTGCAGCGTGGAAAATAAAATCGGAAGTGGAAATAAAAGTAAATTCGTAGTTGAGACCGCAAAGGTCGTCAGTAGTAAATTAATTATAGGGAGGGCAGCAAATTGCCGTAATGAATTATCGTCTCAAACCTTAAAGGTGAGATGATGAACCAGATTAAACAGTAAGCACAATCGCTGCTGTTGTAAGGCACAATCGCCATAAATAAATTATAGGGAATTGTTTGGTAAGGCACAATCGCCATAATTAATGATAGGAAATTTGGATTTAAACTGCAAAAGGTTGTAATCCAGCGGGCACAATCGCCTAAAAACAGTAATTAATTATAGGGAAACGGGACTTGAGCCGTAAGGGTTTGAGTCGGGAAGAAAAACTGCACAATGGCAGATTCGGGAAAGAATAATTCGAGGGCGATCATAAAGATTGACCCGAAGATTCTTGCCCTATATCAGAAAGGACCGTATGATGCATCGCGTCAGAAACGATTCAAATTTAATGTGGATGTCATTCCACTGGAGCTGATGTATCGGGAATTGGGAATTGAAGTACCGGATGTACCGTACTGCGGATTACCGTGGGTTCAGTATCAGGAGGATCCAACGCTGCCGCAATACCAGCGGAAACGGCCTAATTACATAAAAAATTGGTTGTCAACGGACAGGTGCATTCCTGAGCCGTACATAAAGGAATATGTGACAGATGAGCAGTTCAAAGCTGCCGCGGAGCGTGCATTGGAAAAAGTTCCAGAATTTAGAAAAGAAGTTGAAGCCAGGAAACTATTGGCACCACAGGAAGAGAAAACCCTGCAGGATTCAGAACCGTCAACCAAATCGGTACAAGAGAAGACTATGGATACGGTGTCAAAACTGAAGGAGAGATCGGCGCCAGAAGAGGTGCTAGCTCAGCCTCAGGAAGACAAACAACCAGCAACGGAAGTAAGCCTCATTGATTTTGATGATGCCACGGAAGAAAATGATCATTCGTCTAACTACGAAACACCGGCTAATAAACATGATGAAACTTTGCACTTACCCAAGATGAAAATTGTGCGTACTGGTCAAGCGACATTTCATGCGTCCCAGGCCGGACTGGAAAACTTTCTTTCTGATAAGGATTTCGAATTCACGGATGAGGAATTTTTGGAACAAGCAGCCAATGTGGATGATAAATTGACCGTGGTCAAAACGAAGCAGGAGTTACAGGAAGTCGTGCGAGATTCAATTCCATTCCTTATACGGGGAATACGCAGGATTGTGGCACAGTCCAAATTAAAACTGGACTCTATCGGTGAATCGCAAAAGCTGGATCAGCTCCTACAGGAAGAAAGAAAGGAAAAATTGAAATTCCAGTCGGAATTTAATGAAATGCGGAAGAAATGTGAAGCAGCTTGTAAAGAGCGGGATACCGCATTGTATAAGAATCGCGCATTATCAGATAGTTTACAAAATTATCGTGAAAATTCAGATACGGATAAAAAGGAGTATAACAAATTACTAGAAGAGTTTCAACAGTTAAAGGATGGTAACCGCGAAGTGGAAAATGCAGCGGAAGAACTTCGGCGGGAAAATGAAAATTTGCGGGCATCCAGAAATCCGAAGGTGAACCAGCAGGCGGAAGCCGAGCTGCAAAAACAAAATCAGAAATTAACCGAACAGAATCAAAGGTTGCGTGCTGAATTACAGCAACAGAGGGATGCTTATGCCGAGTTACAAAAGAAAAATGGACAGGATGTGAATCAAATCGAGTCACTGAGAAGACAGTTGACAGAAGAACAAAAGCGTATCAATCCAAATGCAGATTATGTGGCAGAACTGCAACAGGAGTTAGCCACAGTCAAATCGCAGAATGAAATGTACTTGTCCTCTTCACGAGCGGCAACGTCGGCAGTGACCAAGAGCAGGGAGGAAACCCTGTTGGCCACAATTGAACAATATAAAGTTGAAATCGCGGCAGAAAAAGCAGAGAAGGAGAAGCTGCAAAAGGAATGCAGAGTAGGGAAAGATTGTGCAAAATGTATTAATGCCGAAAAAGAAATGCGGGAAGCACAGGCAGCAGCCTTCGTAAGACAAACGGAAGTAGATAGATTACGAGCTGAAACTGATCAATGTCGAATCATAATTAATGACCTGCAACAAAAATTACAGCATACGGGTGCGGCGTGTGCAGAGATGCAGGAAGAACTCCAACACTATCGGAATCAGCATGCAGCTCGAGAAGTGCATTTCGAATCGGAAACACCATTGAGCGCCGGTGATCTAAATTCTCCGTCACGGAAGGATCTCCATGATCACCAGACCTTTGGACCGTCGGATTCAAATTTACTGTTGTCCCAACGTGAGCCCAGCACGGTACCGCCGTTAAAGCCGGCCATCCGAACAGAGAAATCGGTCGAACCTCCTAAAATAAGAGAGAAGGAAAGTTTTATTAAACTAAAAAGAATACCGTCACAGAGAAAAGAAGTGTTACAACGGCACACGGTTGAAACCGAACGCAGAAGGAGAAAAAGTGTACGCCACACGGAAACCGAGGAAGAAATGTCCGACACGGATGAACAGAGTGAGGAAGATGATTACCGTGAGCCGCCGAGTGCGACTGGTTCAGTCTCTTCCCGCTCATCCCAGAGAGCGATCCGTCAAGACCCACACGTCCAAAGACAACAAGATACGGAAGGCAAAATCGTGGACATCCTGGCACAGCTGGCAAAAAGAGGTTCTGAAAAAACAGAATCCAGTATGAAATTACCGAATTTCGATGACTCACGTCCTGAAAGGATACAGCAATGGGTAATTGCAGTAGACCAGTGTCGTACCACAAATGGATGGAATGATAGACAAACCTGTCAAGCAATTTCCGGTGCATTGAAGGGTGCTTCATACATCTGGTTCGCCGAATTGTATAAGGATAATCCGACAAGGACATGGAACAGATTCTTTAAACAGGCGTTAATCAAACACTTCAACGGTGCATCATCGAAAGGGGAAATGAGACGGGCAATGAATAACAGGCATTGCCTAAAGGAAGAATCAGTCCGTACGTATATGGACAGTTTTATGATGTGGTTCAAGGAATTACGAATTGAGGAAGAGGAACAAGTGGAAGTCCTGTTGGAAGGCCTGAAAAAGCATAGACCAGGCTGGTATGCAACCTTATACCGCAATAGGCCGGAAACTTACGAAGAGTTCGAAACGCAAGTACAGGATTGCGAGAAATTGCAGAAAATTCTGGATGAGGAGAAAAAAGGCGGTGAGCCGCGACAACGTGTAATTATTCAAGAGCCGAGAAGTGCCGGCAGCATTAATGATGCAGAAAACCGTACCAATCGTGGCGGATTTCAGTCCCGCGGAAGCTATTTCCAGCCGCGTGGAGGCCGCGGGAATTACCTTGGTAATAGAGGCGGATACTCAAGACAGTATTTCGGTTCAGGAAATTATCAAAATGACCAAACGGGAAGTCAGCCGTCACAGCCGCCGCCGGCGCAGGCGACTTCCGTTCCGAATATATCCCAGCCGCAAGTACAGTACATTCCGTATCCGGTATATCAACAGCCTCAGGCACAGGAAATGCAACCGGTACAGTTCGCTCAGACTTGTCCACTGCCTCCCACGCCCGTAATTCAGCCGCAAATGCAGGCGCCTGTTATCCCTATGCAACTGGTGCAACAGCCGCTTCCGCCGTTGCAGAATTTCCAGCAGTTTAGGCCAAATGCCCCCGTAAATAATAATCAGGGTATGAATCAAGGACAATTTAGGCCGAATAATTATGGAAATAATTTTCGTGGGAATAACTTCCAGCGCGGAGGATACAATAATAATTATCGGCAGCAGCAGCCGAATAATAATCAAAATTATCGGCAGAATTCTCAGCAACCGAATCAGCAGGAACAGCCGTTTGATGAGCGAAACATCTGCAAGGAAGCATGGCGAAATAATCAAGGAAACGAAATCTGTTACCGGTGTCATGGAATGCATTCAGTGGCATCATGCCCGAATCCCTTAGCAGTGCCTCGACTGTATCGTCCTACACAAGAAATTTTAAATCGATGTAATAATCCCCAGATAAACATTATGGAATTGGAAATGGTCGGTACTTCAGTAGCAAATGGCACTCCGGCAAGTTGTAATACGTTGGAAATTGTGGATCCGAACCAGTATCCAGTAACGGATGCGGTATGCTTGAAACCGACTTTAGATGCACAGGCATGGTATTCGGTAATTGATGTGAATTATCAGAAGGTAAAAACGATGATTGACACCGGCTCCAGCATTTCGGTGATGTCACACCAAATGGCGAAAGACCTGGATCTGTACATTCATCAATGTCCTGATCACATCCAAGGGAGAGTGGTCCATACGGCCTATCAAGGAAGACAGTTAATCGAGCCCATGTGTGCGATCATAACCATCCACGAGTTCGGGATGGCATTTGAGCATGCAGTATTGGTCAGTTCAACGTTTGAACGAGACCACATTGTATTGGGATTGGACTTCTTAGCAACAAAACCTTTTATTCTGGATATGAATACCATGACGTGGAGATTGTCCCGCCGACGCCCGAATTTTCCGACATGGTTCCCAAGAAAGATGCACTCAATGTCCGATATCATAAGAGCTCATCACTTTGATCCAATGATCCCACCTGGAGTGAAACCATCGCCGTCAATACTGGCACTATTGTTAACAGAAAGAATCGGTATCGCGAAAGAAGCACAATTTGTACCGTACGAGTCAGCCCACCTGATTTTGACGAAAGCACCAGTGGAAATGTGCATGATGCACATCCAGCGAGCGAAAGAGGAGTGGCCACGGCCTCCAAAACCAGTAGTTCAAGCGAATGCGAAGTCTCTGGACTCGGGTCAGATGCCACCAGGATCGAACCAGAGGGATCGGGCATTTCTGGAAGAAGCAGTAAAGGAATCGGTCAAAGGTTACATAAAACCCAACCACGAAACAGTCACCAAGCGGAAGGAAAATGTTGAAGTACAACACGACATGCCAAACCCACCGATAAACTCAGTTCCCAGTCAAGTTTGTGGGGGAGGCGCGACGCCGCAGAAGAATGTCCAGAAGGAGGAAATATCCCACGGAGATGTGAAGCCGTTACCGGCAGTACAAAACCCTGTAAAAAATTCCATAATTAAATCGAGCCGATGTTTTGCAATTGATGCTAGTCAAGTTTGTGGGGGTATTGGTAAGCCGATTAAATCGCTTACCACGCTGGCTGCGTTACTACATATTTTACCGGATGAACAGTACACGTTTGCGGGTTTTCCTAAAAAGACAAATAAAACAGCGGAATGCGTAGTGTTTGGGAATAAAGTGCTGAACGTAGTACCGATTGATTTCAATCACCAGCATGTAGACGAAACACATGAGCGGGAATATCCCTCCAAACTAGCCAGAAATCCAGAACTGATGCGCTGGATGATGCCGCCAACCCGACCGCAGGACAGAGATAGATTTCCAACGGAAAAACAATACAGAGATGTAGAATTCTGGAAAATTGAACAACAGAACTGTATGGACAGTCGAATGTGGCTCCGATATTTGAACAGACCTGAATACGCGAATACGAATTACCTGAAATACGAATTGAACAGAATGATCACCTTTGAAGGATTGATCTGTCGAATTCCCGATCATGATGGACAGTGCCCACGTATTTATGTCCCATTCCAATGGCGAGAAAAGTTAATCGCTAAATTCCACGAAAATCTGATACATAAACAAGTGTATGGTCCAAGAGAAAAACTTTATCCGTACCTTGTGAAAATGTTCTATTGGCCGGATATAATTATACAAATTGAAGAATATGAGAAGGAATGTGAAGAGTGTCGTCATTCTTTAAATTATCGGCAGCATTATAATTCGGCACATCGGAATGAATTGTTGGCAATGTCAGACAAGAAGAAAGTAACTTTTTCACCGGAAAATCCAGCTCCTGCAGGGGATTTCGAAAATGGCACATTTGTTCCGGCAGAAGGTATGCCGCTGTCCAACATAGGTCCAGCTCCCGTTTCCTATGAAGACAGAATGGCGGAGAAGCAAAAGCTGACTCATGAACAGGCATTAAGTAAATTACCGTTCGGTCTGGATGTGTCTAATATCCGGTTGTCACCCAAAACGGCACCAAATGATTCAGCAGTCTATGTCGGAGCCCCACGGGATCCGACGGTGGCATATCATGGGCAGCGGAAAACAGAACAATTACCGAGTTGGCGAAACCCGGAGTTATTAGCGACACAAGCCGCTATGGCTGATGTGGACGTGGGCGAACAACACCGTATCTGGAACGAGATTCAACAAAGCAACGGTGCCAACATAATACTAGCAGAGGTTGCCGGTGAGCAAGACGTAGAAAAACTAGGAATTGACCAATATGAGTACAAACGGAAGCGAAAATCGGGCGCGAGTCGCCGTTTAAAACAACAATTAATTCAATTAGCCTTGGAGCGTGAAAAATTAAATGAACTCACCCAGCAATGCATCCAGCAATTGGAAGAAAATCAGAGGGTAGCAATGTCGCAAGAAATCCAAAGCTCTCTAGCTCCGGCGATAAAATCGCAGGATGCACGGGACTCTGAGGATATTCCGGCATATATGTACACGAAGGATGGCATTCACACGCTGTCGCGAGAATCGGAAGTCCAGAATGAGGCGGATGTCGTCGAGCAGGCTGATAAAATAGCGGAGGACATTTATCGAGTCGAGCCAGAACCGGTGCCCATTGAATTTTTCAGGATGGAATTATTTCCGGTGTCCCCAGTAATGATCCAGCCGCGTTCCCAGGGAATCATTCGAGTTAGAACAGATATGTCGGCTGAAAAATTGCAAAAATTCCAGGAGAAAAATTTGCAGAAGTTACCGTACCTGTACGAAGGCAAAATTCCAGCAAATAATAAAAACGTTCTTTTGTTTGATGGTGTGGTATCTCTCAATGAAAAAGGAAACACACGAGTTTGTGTTATGAACGCTTCGGACAAACATATGGTACTAAATAGAGAAACGAACCTGGGAAGTATAGTGGTGGTCGATGAAGTGTATCAAGTTGACACACCGGGATATTGGGAGAATTACCATGATGAATTCTGTAAAATTCCGCGTGACGAAAGCGGCACGCCGATAGCGGAAAGAATATGTGATTGCTTGGCAATGCAGGCACAGGAAGTGCAGTCCAATACGGAAATTGACCCTGAAACAGAGGAAACATTCGCAAAAATAAAAATCGGCGAAATCTGTCCAGACAAGGAAGCGTTAAAACGGATCTTTTATGAAGCGAAATCAGTCTTACCAACACAGGCTCGTCCAGTCGGATGTTGTACTATATATGAACACTCAGTCGATACAGGAAACAGTGCCCCAGTGCGCACTCCACCGTACCGTACGTCGTTCGAGGACAGGAAATGGCTTCAAGCCAAAACGGCAGAAATGGTCAGAGATGGAATAATAGAACCTACTAACTCAGCATGGGGAAGTCCAATATGTATCGTTAAAAAGAAAGATAAATCGAGGCGTCTTACCGTAGACTTCCGGAAGCTTAATGAACGATTGTTGGGAAGTTCTTATCCTTTACCACGGGTCGACGATATCCTAAATGCACTCGATAAAGCAACTGTGTTTTCAAAAATAGATCTTAAATCGAGATTTTGGCAGATAAAGATTAAGCCAGAAGACAGAGCGAAAACGACAATGGTGGGAGAAGAATTTACCTTCCAATACAGAGTACTCCCATTTGGGATGAAGGACGCGCCGTCCGCGTTCCAGCGTGCAATGGATTTAACACTGGCAAACATGAAATGGCGCAACGTGTTGGTGTTCATAGATGACATAATCGTTTTCTCTAAAAACCTGGCAGATCACATGCGGGATTTACGAGAATTATTCCTTCGGCTTCAGGAATGTGGCTGGACCATAAGTCCTGAAAAAACAGAATTATTTGTCAATTCAATTACATTTTTGGGACATACGGTAGATCAACACGGTATAAGCACAGATCCAGAAAAGACTAAAGCGGTCCAGGAATTTGGCCCTATAAAAGACAAGAAAGACATTTTAAGATTCTTAGGAATGGTGGGATATTACCGCCAGTTCATTAAGAACTTTCAAGAGAAAGCGGATCCGTTACAACGCTTAATTCCTAAAAAAGTGGACTTTGAATGGGGACCAGAACAAGCAGATGCTGTGCAGGAACTTAAAGACGCACTTACCTCGGCACCAGTGTTGGCTCGGTACGACCCAGAGGCAAGGTCGAGAGTTGTCGTTGATGCAAGTACGATTGCGGTGGGAGCAGTCCTTATGCAGTGCCCGAAAGGAAAGGAACAGGAAGGTTCGGTAAATTGGAAACCTGTTGCATTTTTGAGCAGAAAATTAACGGAAACGCAGAAGAAAATCTACTTCCCTACTGAATTGGAGGCGTATGCCTTAATTTGTGCATTAAAGAAATGGCGACATTACCTTTCGGACTACGAGTTTGAAGTCCAAACGGACCATCAAGCGCTTGTATTCCTTCACAATATGAGAGACGCGGCAGGTCGTCTTGGAAGGTGGGCGTTATATGTGCAACAATTCATCACTAAGCCGGTGCACATACCTGGAAAAGAGAACGTAATCGCAGACGCATTGAGCCGTAATCCCGGAGACCAGCCAGAGCCAGAGTCAGACGACTCGGATATTGAATTTGACTACCGGCAAACGAATCCGATGATTGGTGATGCAGCCATGGTCCAATATTGCCAGGAAGTACGAGAACGCGAGTACCCGGAATTATATATGAATATGATGGAGATGGCCAAGGAGCTGAAGGTGATCGATGAAAAAGACGAAGTGGGAAGCATTTGACGTGGATAAAATGCAGAAACTAGTCCAAGATGAAAAGGCGGCCTTCTGGGCGGAAGAACAGTCAGATCGGACGCTCGTATCCTGCGCTGGAAATTATTGTTAGAGCATAAAAATGAAAGAAATCGGAACATGAAAAAGATACATCTGCCCAAGTTCACTGTACGCCGGAAACCCTACAGCAGGCAATCGTGAGGGCTGATGCGCTCCTGAGGCAGCTCCAAATAAATGATGATGAGCAGGACGCGGATCGTCGAGGAACAAAGCGCCCACTGGAAGATTGAGTACCATGTGGAATCAAGGGAAACTAAAAATATGCAGAAACTGATTGTTAGAACTTTTGTTGATAGAAAATGCGGACTAAAAACTTGAATAAGTCCTCGTAGAATTTGCTTCTAAATAGTGCACTTCGTCTACCGCGTTTTAACTAACCAAAGAATGTCTCTGTTTACCGTATCATGATAACCTGGTACTTTAGAGAAGGAAAATGATTAAATCTCTAAGGAATAGCTGGAAATCAATAAACATGGATGAAAACAAAGGAGAAGTTAAAGTGATCGAATTCAAAACGAAGAACCGTAAACTCTACTATGTTAAATGTTGGAAACTGTCGCTGTGTCAGCCACCTACAGTAGTGACTGCCAGGGGCGACCGGAAACGGAAACTGCTATATCACGCTGTGAAACGGACGTCGCAGTGTTGTGGTTTTTAAACTTAGTTGTAAATTTATTCTCCTTTAAGATTTGCATTTATCTTTTACTATTATGGCGTCTCCTCAGTCAGCTCACATGTTTTTCGCCAATGAAGTTTATGGGAAGTTGAAAACTCCCTTGGTTGAATGGAATCTTTATGAACGGCAGTATTCTTATGCGATTAACGTTTGGCGTGAGAGTGCCAGTGGAATCCCTTTTCAGAAGGCTATGGAAAGAGTACGTGAGCAAGACCTGGGCACCGAAGAAGAGGAAAAGTCCCTGGTTAAACAGGATTATCTACTGGATATGCCTGAGCCTGATTCTGATCATTTCTGCAGTTTCGCCTACAGAATGATGGAAGCGCGAGCTCACATCCTGCAGCAGCAACGAGATATTCGCACACAAGGTAGAAGGATGACAGCAGACGAACGGAAAGAGATTAAGCTGGCCGTTCAGACCTACGACACGATGCAGCGAGGAGCTGACATCGCAGCAGATGACCGGGCCAAAGTATTGTTGAACCAGAGAATGCGACGCCAGCAAGCCATGTTGGAAGCCCTGTTGAAAAAGAAGGCCATGGAAGAAGGAGGGCAGGAAGCAGAGGACACGAGCGATGAGTGCAATTCTGCTGAACATGAGACATATTTCAGCAGCATTGGCCACCGATCGGAAGCACTAGATCAACAGCTGGACGAAGCCGCGTTGAGTGAGCAAAACAGCAGAGTTCACCAGTTTTGGAAAGCCCAGCAAGAGGCGGTGAAGGACGCATTCTTCAAATGTCCAAGAAAACCGAAGAAGACCGGAAACAAAGGAGAGAAACCTCAGGAACAACCAAAGCCAGAACGGAAACCACCGACTTCCGTACCACAATTGGAAACCGTCAAAGTAAAGAAGTTACGTGTGCGTCCCATCTCCAATTACACCAATATTGATCAAATTGAGCGGGAAATGAAAGAGATTCTAAAACAACCGAGGGAAAAGCAGGATCGTCGGCAGCTGGATTGGTTGTCAAAACAGCATATCCGCTTGCAGTTTGAGAAATTGTGATCAGATTATTGTTGGATTATTATGGTGTTTATAATTACAATATTTTCTTTTGTTTACAGCTTATAAGTACGGTGATAACCGATCTTGTTTTGTTTTTAAACATGGTATTTATAATGAATCCTTATTTGCTCTGTGAGGAAGTTTTAGCCGGAAGTCTAAAGATAAATCTGAACACGGCCGTCGATAATGGATAAACTTTATGGATATAAAAAAAAAAAAAAAAATAAGAACTATAGATGATTTAAAAGCTATCGGTTAAGTCAGAAAATAAACCGTAAAATCGCGAAGAGATAGAGGGGACAAGCAGCTATGCAGAATCAGCACATAGCTTTCAGCATCCTGCCCTCGCCGACCGAATAAACGTAAACGCCTAATTTTTACTTCTAAAATCATGAGAAGTAATAAGGAAGGGATTAAATCACCCCCGGAGATGAAAACACAACAATTGTAGGAAATAAGGGACCTCCGAGCACTATACCTATGAGCGTAGCATATGTAGTATAGTATCCACCGGAAGTTGACATAGAGCGGTATGGTTAGATTTCTGGTGCCCCGGAGAGGTATAAACAGACTATACATACCTACTTTTGTTATTCGGTACATTTCCGAAGTAAAAATAACAAAACTGGAAGACGGGAACGAACCTCCAAGGAGTAACCGGAAACCAGTATAGTGGCGAAATGAGCTATATTGATGGGGGGCACTACAGTAAAAGCATACCCCTGGACCTAATACACTCGCTATCGTGCAAATTGTGTTGTTTCCGTCTCTTAAACATCAAAATAAATTAAAACATCTTATTCCCGATAATTAGACACTAAAAGGAAGGACAGGTCGTCAAAATTTCGCAAAAGAACGGTGAAAGGAAGAACACATCGATGTCGAGTCGAACCTCAGCATAGGGGAGTTACGAGCCCATGCTGACATTTTCGATTGAGCACGTGCTCGTATTTCAGTACTTCCGGTGAAACCATATTCAGTTTTACAAATTGCAGTTTTCAAGTTCCTTGGTTGTACTCCCTTATTTTTCTGATAATTTTGACTAAAATTTTGAAGCAACTATGCCTCGTGAGACTGCAGTGGACGAGAAAGTGCCAGAGATCATCAAACCGCTTGCGATGAAGAAGACACTTCGTGAACCAGAACTGTGTAAGATACGCGAAGCCCCGGAACTGTACGCAGAGTCTGTTTGGAAGGAACCGTATGAGCCAGTAGCTCCAGTTCCTGTGCAGGAATCAGATGTGGGAGACCTTCTTCAATTCGATGATGAAGAAGTTTCTGGTCAGGAAGAGCAAGCCTCACAGGGAGAGCAAAAGGCAAGCGGCAGCGGGACAGTATCAAGCAGCACGCCAGTGCCTAATGAGTTCCCTGTCAGTATAGTTGGCGCAGTGCCGAAGTGCGTTTTGATTCTTCAACAGCATTTGCTGGAAGAAGAAGAGTTCCGCAAGCGTCACGAGGAACCGGATCAGGACAAGCCCCTTCAGCCAGAGCGACAGAGATGGGAAGCGGAGCAGTTACGCCTGCGATTGGCTGAACAGCGTGGCGGAAACTATTACACCACCGTCAAACCGAAACCAAAAAACCTTCCTCTTCCGGACTGGCATGTCAAGTATACAAGTCGTATGACTCCGGAGCAGATTCAAAATTTATCTTACGAGAAGTTTATGCGCATGTTCGCGCGCCAACAGAAAGAGCACTACGACAAAATTTTGAGCGGACGAGGCCCATATTGCGAATATGCGTACCCGCGGGGATTTGGTTTCGACTAAAGGATTGCTGAATATTTTCTCGGATTCTTTTAGTTCACTCTTTTTCCTGGTTTATGAGTTTCGGAAACTTTATTTCCCCTGATTTCTTATGCTCATTATTTCAGTTTTGTTAGTAGAGGAAGTGCATCTGCTTGCACTTGTATTTGACTGCTACCGCGTGTATAGATTTTATTAGAATTTTATTAGAACCTTATCAATAGTTTTCCGAATTCACTTGCGTTGCCTGGTTGCCGATTGATAATAATAAAAGCAATAATTGTCGATCTCGAACCATAATAATAAAAACTGACTGATCTGAATTGTGGCATAACATGACATGATCCACCGGAAGTTGTAACATCTAATATCGCATAACACGACATGGCGAACCACCGTTATATGTTTTCGAACACAAGGATTGAAATCGGGAATAAAAGCCAGTAATAACTGCGTAGTGTATGGGTGAGCAGTGGCACTTCTCCACGCTCAGGTCTAGAGTTCTATACCCGGTGAAATAAACATTTGTGATTTAGAATTTAGTTTTTTGTCAAAATTGTGGAATAAACCTTATAATAATATTTTCCGTGATTGCACAATGAGCTTAAAATGTGAAATTACTGTAGTAGTGTAGTGGTCGCCACTGCTAAATAATGCTTCGAGATACCAGGTTCGAGACCACAATAAGAAACTTTTGTAATAGGCTCATTCATTTTTTGCCATTTTTACGTTTCAAATATGGCGGATACAATTTTGGCGATGGCTAGATTAATCTTAAACGTGAACTCATGTAGTGGTCTAGTGGTTAACAGATCCTCAACAACGGTTTAAGGTCGCTGGTTCAATACTCAGCGATGGCGGTGATTTTATAAATAAATTTAATTTTTAATCCTTTTTATGGTTCCATCATGTAGAATCACAGTTTTAGAGACTATTGGTCAAAATTTAAAATCAGTAACGCCGTAGTGGCCGAGCGATATGTCACTCATCTCCGATAGCCGAGTCAGCGAGTTCAAGTGTCTACATGGCTGTCAATTTTGCAAATTAACTGCCTAATAACTATTTGAAATATATATTTTTCAACTCCTTGTAAACAAATTTAATTTTTAGATCAGGAGAATAAATGCGATGGTGAAGGGAACAGATTTTAACACCAAGTGACTATTTATACAATTCCGGCACTATCCGTAACAGTATAAATTACTAAAGCCGTAGTGGCCGAGTTGTTTACGGATTCTTCCTTGTTGTTGCCAGAATCTAGAATCGAATCCCAGCAAGGGCAAATATTTTGTAAATAAAGTGCCGTAAATTAAAGTGAAAAATATCTTTTTATCTCGGTCTTAGTTTATCTTAAATTTTATTTAAGATGAGAAAATCTGAATGTCGCGGATTGAATTTTGTGAGAACATCGCGTGAAGATTTATACAATAGCGGGATTTTAACACACTTGCAGTGGAAACGGCATTTTTAATTAAAATGAGTACATGGTTTAATTATCGAAGATTGCTACCAATGAGAA